AGAGAGCCTTTGGTGTCTGTGGAAATAATGCTTATCCATCTTTTATGTTTTACTCATGGTTCACAGTAAAAGGCAGATACATTGCTGCATGCCTGAATTGTGAAACATGATAAGTTGCCAAAAATATGAGATAAAGGCTTGTGAATGTTGCGTCCACCTAGTTTTTTGTTGTTGATCAAAACTGCAACGAAATTACATTTAGCTTGTAATGACATTACAGTACATCTGCTTGTGTACAGCAGAATATATAATACACTATAATAATCGAACATTATTAATAAAATATGACATAATGTTGGTTGATAAGAGAAGCATATCATTTTACAACATGCAATTTATATGTTTCTCTTATCCACAACAAGTGCAAGAGTAGACAAATTCGACACTCTTGAGGCCTGTCATTGAAAACATAGTTGACGCTTTGTAACAGAGGTATGGAACTGATCAGGATGTGTGAGTGAACTGAACCTCAGCGACAAGCCTAACGAGTTCCCCAGGTCCACAGAATGGGTGTTCGTCCTGTTTTCAGAGAGAGGGCTGGAATTCCTGAGCAAATCTCTACAGCAGTGATCGGTTTGAAAATGGAGCGCCAGCTTTGAAACGAAGGGAGATGGGGGTTACTCTGTACGCACCTCCCTGTAGGAGAAACTAATGCAAACCATCTGCTGTCATACCGACTTGCAGTTCAGCATCTGGCAGAGAAGCAACCAGCGAGCGGTGCTGGTGTCTGCTGCTCCAGACAGTCAGGATGGCAATCAGACTATTTGTCTCTCTTCTACTTTTCAGATACTCGCACAAAGACAAGACAAAACATACAATATGTTTTTAGTTATTTCACATCTTAGAAGCCATTCCTGAAACGTCCTATCGTTTACTTTATTTGTACATGTCAAGTTTCATCCCTCAACATTGTTATATACATAAATTAATCTTGGCTGGATTTCATGTTCTCATGTTTTCATGTTCCCTCAAGAAGAAAACAACTTTGACTATTCATTCACTTAAGGCCTACTTCTAAGATAACACGAGTGTACGTGATAATGCCACAAAAGCAGGAATATATTACATCCTGGCAAAAGCTCAATGAAGTTGACTTTATATTATACAGATTTTGTCCTTTTATTTTGTCTATAAACAACCCGACCTACTGGTTCAATCCATCACTTTGGATAGCAGCTAACAGGTTTTAGTCCTACCTGTTTGAAGGGGCATTGTTTGTGTGTGAATAAAGCAACCGGTTTGAAGCTAAATGATGCACAACATTTACTTTCCAGAGACAAAATACTCTTAACTCGACAGACGTTTGCTCATCCTCTAAGCATATATTTATACTCGTGAAGGATAACATCAACAAAACGTAAAAGTGGATTTCATGGGGGAACACCTATAAATAAAAGAGATATCTCCAATAACAAAGAAGAATAAGCAGTCATTATCAACGTAGAATAATGTTAAAAGCTGCATCCCATACCAGCTGTAATATAATGTGCAAAAGCCAAAGTGGGAATTATGCTACAGAAGACTGTGGCTTGAGGAATTGTTTCCAAAACACAATGACAAGGCCACACTACCTCCTCCATAACTTGGCTCTAGGCGTGTCTGCTGCAGGGATGGCATTCAGTAACCAGGAAAAACCTGTCTCTATGTAGTGCACACACAGATAACAATGCTGGAAACAATACACACACACTCCACCTGACACATCCTCCCTGAAGGCCTCTTATTCCAAGACAAACCAGTTTTAAAGACAATGCTGCACCTATAATGCATGCATCCAAGTAATGTTAAATGACATTACATCTGGGTGTCACTCAGAAGTTCTGGGTCAGGGCTGTCTAATTGCTTTCTCTGAAGTGTAGACCGTAACAAGTATACGACTGTCAGGATCAAGAGTCAGTGACAGGTGACTTTTAATGGTTGGGGGATTATGATAAATATGGGCAGAATAATATCAACACATGTCATATTGTTAGCTTTTTCTCACATCAATAGGCAATCTGTCAGGTTAAGTAACAGAAACTGGAGTTGAGTATTTGTAAATGTGGTTAATAGAAAAAGTATGAAGAGATAACCATAACGCATTTAAATTCACATGTTGTTTGTTTTGGGGGATTTATTAGATAAATATATCGAGTATATGGCTTTTTTACAGCTCTAGAGGATCCCACTTGTATTAAGCATGTGGATTATATTGGCTGTACTAAGTAAATAGTATCATAATATCTGAGGCAGTGTAAATATCACTCACCATCCTTTGGCTTTAACCCAACAGTCTTCTCCGTCGTATACCCTGCGATCCAGTGTTTGTGCGAACCTCAGTCAAGTCCACACTGTTCAAACAAAAAATCTGTAGTTGTTAAAAGCTAACGCCAGTGGACGAAATCCAATTTTACAGAGGATATTTTTCCCGATAAAGTCCAGAAAGCATGGATGCATGGACCTTCAGCGGTGTCCTCAGTCCATTGTACGGACAGACCTGAGCCCTACACTGACAGCAGCAGCAGTATCACACTCAGAGCTGGATGGTAATTTACGGAGAGCAGTGCCCTCAAAACTCGGCTCTAAAACATAACACAGGAAACGCAGCCAGGAGATCCAATCAAAGAGCGCTGCACGCGGAATACGCTTAAATATTCATTAGGCGCTGGGAGAGGAACGACTGGGCATGCGCAGCTTTGGGACTTCCAAACAACAGACTGAAACACAATAAACCTAGACACTCTTTTGACTTACCGTCTACTGTCAGCTTCAATACATTAATGTAGGAAACACTGTAAAATTGATAGTGGTGTAACTTTGTATATGTACTCAAGTACTGTACTTAAGAACAAATGTGAGGGACTTCACTAGAGTATTTTCATTTGTTGCTACTTCTACCCCACTACAATTCAGAGGTAAATAGTGTAGGCCTACTTTTACTCCACTACATGTAGGCTATTTAATATCTTTAGTTACTTTGCACATTTGGATTAATACAACTTAATTAAGACTTTAGTTACATCTGGAGTAAAATTCACAAGATATAACTTCAAAATGAAACTTAAATGTTGCCAATTATGTCTCAAAGCTATGTCTCAAATTCCATGCAATATACATTATTAATACAAGGTCTGAAAGAACAATATACGAGTACATTTTCCTTTTTACATGCAGCATGTGGAATAATCTTCGTATATATCCTCACTCGGGATCCCAGGGACATCACTGGTATACTTTGTGGAAGTCCTTTACAGTGCTTTATGACTTTAATGAAGAATTATCTATTTATTGAAAAAAATGTGTACAGTAGAATAATTGAGTTCAACTTCCCCCTCAGGCCAATGCAACTCACAGGCCTTTCTCTTTTGAAGTGCTTGGGTGGCACTAATGTCCACTTCTCACAGCCAGTCTCCAGACTTAGGCTCGCCTTGCAATGATGTTGGGCGGTGGGGCGACTCTCTGGGTGTAACCTGTCTAACAGGTAGGCATACTGTGTGTGTAAGTGTATGTGTGTGTGTGTGTGTGTGTGTGTGTGTGTGTGTGTGTGTGTGTGTGTGTGTGTGTGTGTGTGTGTGTGTGTGTGTGTGCGTGTGTGTGTGCGTGTGTGTGTGTGTGTGTGTGTGTGTGTGTGTGTGTGCGTGTGTGTGTGTGTGTGTGTGTGTGTGTGTGTGTGTGTGTGTGTCATATCTAAGTCTTATTCTAAATATACCTTTACTTTTACATCTAAGATTAATATTAAGACAATATATATAGCCCGGTGGGAACCAATGTGAATACTCACTACAACATGAAGACTCACTTGTATTAAATATGACTGCCCAGCAGGTTGTCTCCTGAACTTGTATTGACAGACGGTAAGACATGTGTAGTTAGACGAGGAAACAAACAGAGCTGTTATAATGTATTATGATTAATAGATAAACGAGGAATGCTTCAGAGAGCGTTTGTGATGCCAAATGTGCAGTGGTTTGTCACCACCAAGTGGAAGTTTTCGGCCTGACAGAAAATATAAAATTATTTGAAAATCTTGGCCAGTTTTTATTTTTTATGTTTTAATACTGTCTTGCAGGTATTCAATATTGGACATTATCAGTTTCGTTAATTGTATTAATTCATCCTGTCACGTTTATTCATTTTCACAATTATCTCAGAAGATTGATGACATAGATCTGTGATAACAGCTTGGCCTCTATATTTTTAGAGAATAAGGAAACATATTAACTGTACTCTTTTCTCTCTAGAGCCTACCATAATTTTTCAGAATTAATTCATGAAAAATGTAAACTCTTAAAATATGTTGCATTGCTTTTGAGTAGTTATAAATGCATTTCAGGTTGAGTTTAAATGCACTCGCAATATATTTGAAATATAACAATTGAGATTAGGTTAAGGACACTGCAGTGTGTGAGGCAACAATGAATAGTTCATTTGAGTCTGTTTATTAGCAATTGTCTGTCCTTAATGAAACAATAAGCCACCTAGTGCATATAATCTACCAATGTATTTCTCTTCAAAGAAGAACCTAAAACATCCTGTTTTCAATGATGGGCTGATATTTAGTTTTACTTGTCTTGAATATAAGCATAATATAAAAACTTTTTTAAAATCTTGGTTATTTTTGTATATATGTTGGGTTTCAATATGTATATTATTTCCAGTGGTTTGTGTCTGACTATACAAATTATAATTGTAATGATCCTGTTATTAAAAGTTTACATATTTTTGTACATAAAATAACTGTAAAGAAAAAAATGACCGAATTACGCACTTAAGCCGTTAACTCTGACAATGTCTCATGGGAGTTGTAGTCCATGTGTGGTGTACTTGATCAAGGTAAACTAACACAAATTAATCTTTTTTTATATCTCATATGAAGAATTTATCAATATTGTATATAATGTACAGTAGTGGTTAATGTAGCTAAGAATGTGTGCAGAGTACAGAGTAGTTTGACAGTATCGGTACGAAAAGTAGAGCTGAGCAGCCGAGCCCGGAAGTAGGGCAGGTCCTCTTTATAAACATGGCCGTTAAGTCCTTACAGCATCAGGTTCTGCGTTTGGCTGTATCAGTTAGACATTCAGGAAGTCCCTGAGGGTAGCTTGTGCAGTAACAGGTGGAAAGAAAATGTAGACACTCGACCGACGCATATGCATTATTTTTCTGTTGTTTTATATCTGCGTGGGAACAACATTTATAAACTTCATAAAGTACTTTATGCTAGCTAGCTAGCGAAGCTAACACCGACGTCTCAACGTTAACTCCTGTCAACTTTACATAATCTGCTCCCTGACAGTTTATCGAAATGGAGGAGTGCCGTTGTGCGCCTGGCTCGCCTCGATGAATATTTTACACACGGAGGTGTCGGATTTACTCAGCTGACTAAACTTTATTGAAGGCTCCTTTTGGGTTGTTGTTTTTTTCCACTGGCAACAGCCAACTGCTGAGGGCGGACATAAACAATGTTTTCTGTCAAACCCATGAAACCAACCTTCAAGAGTTATCTTCCTCCTGTTCAGGTATGTCTTTTTTGCTTCAGAGTGATAACAGCAAAGTAAACTTTTGTGCTTCGTACCGAGACAGTGTCAAATTAAAGTTTGAATTCATTTAGGCTTAGGTTTTCGTGACTGCGGTGTGGCTGCGGAAGGACAGTTTATATGTAACGTGTGGTCGTGATTAGAAGAAGAGATAGCAATCTGTATGCAGCCTCACTTGCTGCTGTGTTGTTTACAAGGGAAGGAGAAGTACTCAGAACTGGTACCAAAGTCAAAGTAGAACTGCAAGAGTGTAGGAATACTTTGTTACAAGTATAGGTCCTGCATTGTAAATGTTACTTAAGTAAAAGTACAAAAGTATCAGCCTCAAAATAAATACTCATTATGCAAATTGGGCTATTTCAGAATAATATAAATATATGTTTTGATTATAAGTATTGATGCAGTAATGTGTTTTAACAAAGCTGATAAAAGTGCAGATAGTTTCAATTACTCTGTATGCTGAAGGGTAGCTTATGAATGTTACTCCAGGTGTAACTAAAGTCCTATTTAAGTGTTGAATATAATGTGAAAAGTAACTAAAGGTATTTATTAAATGTAGTGGAGTAAAAGTGGACAATTAAACTCTGAATTGTAGTGGGGTAGAAGCACTAAGTAGCAACACATGTAAATACTCAAGTAAAGTACAAGTATCTAAAAAATTACAGTACTAGTAAATGTACTTAGTTAGTTTACACCACTGGTTGTTTAGAATCAACAAACACTAAAAACAAGTTTTAATTGTTAGTTTGAGACATTGCAAAACAAGCCAAAGTTTGCACCTACTTCTTTTTAAATTTGGAGAATTGAAACTTTATTGGGGAATCTGATGGAGAATAGGTTCCAAGCAGAATGTGGCACCAGTGTGTGAGAAACTGGCCTTGTATTGCCTACATGTGTATGCGCTTCTCCACACAGAAAGTCAAAGCTTTGCTCACAGATACTGGTCCAAACTCCCAAGCATAACCAGTGTTTGGCTGGCATGGTCAACAGCTGGGAAGTGCTTTGAATTAAGGTTTTGAAAAACATAAACCATTTTTAAAGAAGAAATGTGTCAATATATGTATTCTAGTATCAAATAATCCTTCTGTTATGCTCTTGTGTTGTTAATCAATTACACATGTCAAACTGTAAATAAAAATATATACAGATTACGTTTATTTGTGTCCAAGTTAATCTAGGATTTACTGCACAAGATACATTATAGTGATTGTACGTTTATGAGAAATAATACTTATTCACTAAATCAAGATTCAGTTTAAATTAGTGGCCTTTACACTATCTTACCGGATGTTAAATTCCAACACTTTCCTATTAAACAAAATATGCTTTGACCATTTCATTGTTGCTTTTTCATGTACTGCGTAGGCCTAGTTTCTGACTTTGTTTTAGCTGTGCAGTGTGTACACAGCCCATTACATTGTAAATAAAACAATCGTTTTGTGTGTGATCAAACACAACTAATGTACTGTAACCTTTTCTATACATAATCCTAAAAATGTAAAAACTACTATCGTCCTATATTCTTCCACCCTTAACACTTTCAAAGCTGAAAGTCAGCACTTTAAACTCAAAGTCATCATTCACTGTTAATCAGTATGCTTGAGTCGAGCCACCAATGAAAAACACATGAGTGTGTGTATCTGCAGATCTGAGCAGTATTTGGGGATACAGTATTAATAGCATGAGTTGACTGCTGTGTATCTTTGGTTCCTTCTAGTTTAGTTAACAGATTGCAACAGCATGGTGTAACTGTTTATGCAACGTTAATTCAACAAAACCAATCATAACAGCTGTCAGGTTGTTCAATGTGTATTCATTGTCAACTTAAATCCTAGGCATGTTGCTAGAGAATATTTTGTATCTAACTTGCATGTCATTTTTACTTTTTGACCCAGACTGATGTGAAGAAAACCTTTGAACCACCTATTAAAAAGCTGGAGCCAAAGTTACTTCAAGGTAAGTTTATTTTGTCATTATCCTGAGTGGAGTCGGCTTTACCAAAGGGTTATGAATTCTCACGATACTCCCTCCCATGAGGATTTAGAAACATCCTGCCAGTTATATTTGCACAGTTTAGTGCCCTTTGCCACACCGCTTATGTGTGGCGTTTCCCACCTCTCTGTTGTAAGAGGTTCCCATTTTACAGAACACTTTAAAACTCTTATCATAAAAGTGGATTTAGAAAAAGGAGTTAAGCAATGCACATTTTTCCCCTATGACATCAAGGTCCTAAGTGAGCCTAGTGAATTAACAGGAGCAGCAGGAAAGTCTTCATTTCAGTGTTTTATTATGGTCCCAGCTGTTGATTTGGGAGAGGCTCAACACACCCTTAGCATAGTGTTACTTTGTGTGTTGTCTGGAGTGAATATACAGTGATGTCATCTATAAAAGTAAGACCACTGTATGTCAGTTTTACATATTATAGAGGTTTCCTCATGGTTACTTCTTAGAAAAAAATCCTCATTTGCAAACCTGCCGTACTTGTATTTTGTTTCCGTTGCGGTCGACATGAATAACATTATAAAGCACCTGCTAAATGGTTGTTAAAAAAAGCATTTCCATTCATTTCTATGTAGCTTTTACCATTGAAGGGGTGTCTCTCCTTTTGCATCTTGATTTTGGAGCCAGACACAGGAACAGTTTTCATGATCAGCTGATATGTTTTGAACTTACTGTGCTACATGCTACTTTGAGACAGTCCTTTGATGTGACTGCAGGACTCCACCCTGCTGCCTCTGCTCTCATGCTTTGAACATCCCTGGGGCAACTTTTTACAGCAGCATTAACTGATTTGTGGTCATGTTAATAAGAGTATTTGAAAAGATATGCCTAAAGCGCAAGTCAATTCTATGATATGACTTGCATGTTGCTGTCCAACTTATCATCACATCAACGTTGTTTTGCAGCATATCCTTACATGACTAGTTTACAAGTGCGTTTATTGTCAATTTCACCGTCTCAAACGGATGGATAACAAGAATTAACTTGTTTTTAAATAGAATAAATATGTAATACAATTGTTGTATGTATTGGTGCTCTACTACTTGGTTAAATGTACAAATGAGCAACAGAAAAGATGAGGGTAGAAAGATGAAGATGGACGATACCAGTGGGGTTGGGTTATATTTTACGAATTACAAGCAGGATAATAAATAACTAAAACGGTAATAAATGAGTCTGAGCAATTTTAATAAATGATCGCACATACAACATTTTAGCCTGGTAACAGGTTGAATTTATGTTCAGCAAGTCTTATTTATCTACATGTCATTTATGGGGTAACTCACTTAATGTACTCTACTCTCCCTTGAACTCTGTAGTTGAACACTTCAGATTTTACACTGACTTTTTATCTCATGTGCTTGTCACCAGGGGAGATTGTAGTTAATGAGGTGAACTTTGTGAGGAAATGCATCAGCGCTGAGAGCAGCCAGGACGACCTTTGGGGGAAGTTGATCTGCACCAACTTCAAGGTCTCCTTCATCCCTCAAGATGCCTCTTCCAAACAGGTATTTGTGTGCTTTTTTGAATATTTTCTCTTTCTTAGTACACTTATAAGCAGGGGTGCACATCACTTTTTTGCCCTGGTTCTCAAAGGAGCACCTGGAGATGTTGCTTGGTGCTCATCCTTAAAATGAAATAAATAAACCGGTCTTTATTTGTCAGACACACGGCACAGAACACACAGAGGTGAACACAGAACACACATGCAGAGGCGAACACAAGACAACATTAGCACGACCAGTAATCCTACAAGCTGTCATCACTACCCTCCTGACTGTTCTCCTCACTGTCTTCCTCTCTGTCAGACATGGTAGCTGATGATGTAGGCCTACTATTTTCTCTCTGGTTGAGTCTGCGATTAGCTGCTTGCATCCACAAGTCAACAGCTGGTTTTGGGTTGAAAGTCCAGTTTTAAAAGGATATGTTGGGTTACTGTCCTATAGTATACATTGGAATGATTTCAAACCTGTTTATCCCAATAATTATAAAGGAGTGCCTTGAAAATATGTGTTTACATAAATTGTGACCAAACTGTTTGAACTTAGACTAAAGTGAACTATCTAAACACTCAGAGTCCTTTACCTCACTGAGCTGCAGTTATCAGTCTCTCGGTCTGACTGGAGAGGACTCTCCCTCCACATCATTGTAGAAACATCTTCTTCTTATATCCGCAGCTAGCACCAGATTCTAATAACAACAGCGCTGGTACCGGTGCACCCTCCCTCTCTCCCTCGCATTTTGGCTGTGAGCTGCGGGCGCCAGATAAGCCAACATCCCCCATTTTCATCACTTACAGCACCCATCGTACAGGGCAAATGAAACGTGTAACCGGGGTGAAAAGGGTGTTACATTTACTTAATTATGAATGTTGTTACATCAAGGCCGAAAATTAGGATGAGCACCAACAGTCAAAAATGTTATTTTCCCTCCCAGAACTACCAGCGCAGCGCCTCCACAGATCTGGCGCCCAAGGCGAAAATCAACGCCAGTGCGACGGGCCGGCCCTGAGTTCATATGCAACTCGCAAATATCTTTCTCTCTCTCTTCTCTCTCCTCTCTTCTCTCTTTTCTCTTCTCCCTTCTCTCTCCCTCTCTCTCTCAATGTTGGTACGCAAATGCGCCTTTTTTCAAATGACCCGGTGCTCTTTTTTTGGCCGAGGTGCGCATGCGCACCTGCGCACCAGTTATGTGCAGCCCTGCTTATAAGGTTTAATGTGTTGTCATTATGTGTCAAAAACACCTTTTGTAGTTTCCTCTTACATTGCTTAAAATTGTCAAAATGTCCTTATGCTTTAAACAAAGACTTGGCTACAGTTTTAGCTTTACATTTGTTAAATGTATTACTGCCCCAGCCTACTGCAGAATAGCTTTAACATGTGTATTTCTACAGCCATGTTTGCTTGCTTGTGCAGCTGGCAAAGAGGAAGGAAGACTTGTGTACTTTCCTGCACTGCATTGTCAGTGATATCGCATGAGAAGTGAGACAGATGTCATACCCAGCTATGCGGAAGATTGTTTACATGAAAACATGTCTCAGTCTTAAGGGGATCTACTCAATCTACCCACCAGTATTTCAGATAATGTTTCAGCGTGTTATGGGTGTCATTAATATAACTTCTACCTGTCACTTTTTCCCGTTGTTTGCCACAGAAGTCCCAGCTGTCCCACCTCCTGCTCGGAGATCACGACATACCCCTCACCTGTCTGGAGCAAGTAGTAACAGGTACGTCTGGTGTCACATCACATTTCTGGCCAACATTATCTTTTTTTGCAGGTTTGTTATTGGTATAATTGTCTATTATAATTCTGTTTAAGCCCTTGACAATATACCCCAAACTATTGGTTTCCAAATGATAAACACGACATAAAAGAAAGCTAGTCTTAGCATTTGAAACTGTATTAAGCAGATTAAAACTTGTACTCAGCCGACTGCTTTAAAAGGAACACTTAGCATCTTAAACAAGTCATTTTACAAGAGTGATCTACAATCAGAAATAAAGTCAGATTGCTCCCTTATCAATCTTTGACAGCTTGGTGGACTGATATCGTTTGTTGCTCTTTCCTGCTCAGTGATCTGATAACAAGTGATGTCACAGCTCAGGCAGTGTTTAGTGGCAGCGCAGCAGGGGGGGGGGGATTAGCCGTGTTTATGTATCACATTGCATCGATTGCTGACACTGCAAGGGCAACTGGCCAGAGCGCGCTTTGTTGTGTTACAGTGGTGAGGCACGAGGCTTGTTTTTGAGCTGGTTTTAAACTGCTACTGAAGACACTATTATCTTTGTGGAATTTGCACAAGTATGGGAGCATAAAGAATAAGATAAGGCCCTAATGCTGGGCAATACAAATATAATCAAACATGAATATGTTTAGCTGATGCTTTCACACAATATCTTATTACACCAGGGTCAGGTGGTATGGTATCCCTGCCAAAATCCCAAATGTTATGTAGCTTCATATTGAAATGAATGTCAAGTGTAATCCACAATGGCATATCTTTAGTTCATTGCTAACTGTTCTGCAATAGTGCATCACTTTTCCTGTAATTTGATGTATTGATGATATAGGATGAACATTACATACTTGGTCAAGCTCATCCAAGCTTCTAATGTTTTTTTCTATAATTTGTTGCCATGTTCTTATTTTGCATCTCTAATCATTGGGCCCTGCATCAGAGGAAGTTGCATTCATCTGTTGTGTTTGTTTGTTCCTGTCAGTTAATGATACAAAAGGGAAGAAGAAAGTGTTGGGGTCAAACCAGAAGCTGAAGTTTAACCCGACGGAGCTCATCCTCTACTGCAAAGACCTGCGGATCATAAGGTTCTGCTTTGGCGAGGCTGGGCCTGAGGGGGCCAAAAAGGTGAGTCATGGGCCCACTGGATTTAGTTTACATCACATCCACTCATTTAAAGGTGTTCTTTTGAGAGAGGCTTTAAAAAGATCAGATTGATGTTTGCCAGGCTATGTAATATCCAATGTGTCCTCATTGGTAGCATCAAATGCATTTTGCCATCCCACTTCCCCATGTATCGACCCAGGGACACTGAGATAAATAGACTGAGCTCAACGCGGATGGCATCGTTTTCACCACAGCTGGCTCATTGTTTAAAGAAATACGTGCCACAATTTTAAAGAATGCATTCAGATTACACATATTGTCTTTAACATCCTAATGCCATACCTCCAAGTGACTAATTGCTCAGTATTAATCATCCGTTCTCCTTTTCTCGGTGTCCCTTATCCATTCACTGTTGCTGACCAAACTTTTCCTTTCCTGACTCTGAGCTCAATACAAACACACACTCACGACCACTTCCTCAGCGACAAAGATATTTATAACTTTAAAACTTTGACGTGCCACCCTCTCACTCCCTCCATCTATATAGAAACAATTCACTCCTCTAAATGCATTTCAGTGTGGCCATTAGCCCAGCAATGAGTAAGAGACATTGAGAACAATGCTTATGGCCAAGGAAACTGAGAATGATCCTGATTGTTGGAACGACTGGCAGCGTGACTCTGACTCATCTCCTGCACAGAGTAGATGGACAGATGATTCAATCTTCACACCAGTTTAGAGATCTGTTTTATATAAATGCCAGGATATATTGATATGTTTGGATGTTTAGGGGATGGATAGTGCGGTAGTTAGATAGTTGCACACAATAGAAATGAAAGGAAGTCATTGTAATGCGGATACAGAGACCAACCATGTCAAGGCTTTACCTTTTTGAATCCAGCTAAAATAATGTACCATCACAGAAATTAGTGAAAGTCCTGGTTTATTTGGTTTATCTGGAATTGTAAGTGTTCTGTAAATACATGTGTATTTGTTAATTATGTACACAAATGTCTCCAGGAGCTCTTGGCTTCCCCCAGCCTCACTACACGGCCCCTGAGAGTCAGGCAGCTGAATATCTCTCGACAGTGTGCCAGTGAAAAGGGCCTGAGTGTGAATGTACATAGTTACATGTATGATCTCCTCCCATGTCATCTGGGAGCAATCTTTGTGTAGGTATTAGAGGACTTGGAGCTTCACAGCAAATACCTGCAGCACATTTGGCTAACAGTATGCATCAAACTGTTTTATGACCAGCAGTGTTACGAGTCCCTTTTGAATTCATTTCAAAATATTTATTTGATTAACTCTGCTGCTTACGACCTAATCTGCAGGGATGATTATGAATAGAGCACTGGAAATAGAAAATGAGTCTGCCCTCCCTCACTTCTTGTGGGTGTATTTATGGACACCATGTATGTAATTACAGTGTGAACCTAAAACCAGGCTCAGTTCTTTTTTTATTTTTCTTGGTGACATATGGAATCAACCCAACCTATAATAGTTTATTTTGCCATAGGAAATTACAGAGTTGGGAGCAGCCTTGACTACACACACACACACACACACACACACACGCACACGCACACAGACACACACACATACCTTTTTTTGTGTCCTCTCCTGAATGGCAGGCTTTGTGTGACTCCAGTGGAGCCACAGTGAGCTTCAGCCTGTTAACCCAGGGCCGTAGGCTGAGCGTTAAACATTTTCTTTCCCAGGTTTCACTTGTTGTTCTTTTTGTATGGCTAAAATATATTCCTCACTTTTAGACCTCTGAGATTGGAAGCTGAAACGTAATGTTTAATTGATTCCTCCATTCATGTGTAATCATATTGTTTTGTAATGCGCATGTCCAATACTAATTTTTCTCCCTTTTATTCCAGGTTTGCCTTGCTATTGCCCACTATTCCCACCCAGCTGATCTTCAACTGCTGTTTGGTTTTGAGTACCAAGGGCGGCGCTATCATGAATCTAAAGGTAGGCATATAGAGTAGCATGTCGAATTTCTTTTATTGTGTCTTTTAAAGGTCCCCTATTATACTGTTTTTCATCAATATATTATAGGTCTCAGATATATACAAAACGTGTCTCTGAAGTGTTTGGCTCCAGATACCAAACAGATCATGCATTGTAGCATCCCATAATCGCCTCTGTTTCAGCCCTGTTTCAAAAGTGCTGATACTCTGTCTTTTACTTTAGATGAAAATAAGGAGCCACTCCCCACGCCCCTCTGAGAGATATTAAAAAGAACACAATAGGCGCATTCACACCGCAGTACTTTTCCCACAAAGGTTCATGAAAACTTAGTTCATGAGAACTCTTTAGTTCTCATGAACTAAGTACAGATCGCGTTCACACCAGAATAAGTCCCTGGGGGTGGATTAGGCAAATGAAGCCGCTGACATCACTTCTTCTTCTTCTGCTTTGGGTTTACTGGCAGGCCGCAAACCACTTCATGGCGTATACAGCCGCCCAAATTCCCCGGCCGGAAGTCCCCGGAGTTGGGGACTGGCTTCATTAGAAGCTGCTGGGACTCCCAGCAGCTTCTACTGAAGCCTTCCGAGTAAATCGCCAGAACGCCGACACCTCCTCATCTCCACCGCTCCCATGTTTTATTTTGTGTTGCCATAAGTTAGTCTCTCTGCGTTTCTGCGCTGGGCTAATGCTAATATTGCTAATGCGAGGATAATAAAATGGCGGCTTCACAAAACTTTTTGGGAGTTTTACGGGGCGTGGTTTGCAATCCGCCCAGCCAATCAGACATAGGAACCTTTTTCTCCCACGAAAGTCCCTGCTCTCTAGCAGGGACTGAAAAGGGGGTAAAAAGGTTCTCATGAACTAATTTTAGTTCCAGCTCTTTTTGGTGTGAACGCGACAAAAGAGTTCTCATGAACTAAGTTCTCATGAACCTTTGTGGGAAAAGTACTGCGGTGTGAATGTGCCTATCGGTGCTCTAGGAGGAGATTCAGGTGATAGGGTGGGGGGGGGGGGGGGTTACCTTGGTTGGTGATTGGCTAATGGTTACACAAGCCAAAACATTGTTCACATCACAAAAGCCGCATTCACACCAAGTACTTTGCCGTACTTAGTTCCCAGCACTTAGTTCCCCTATGGAACTAAGTGCCGATCGCGTTCACAGCGGAATAAGTTCCCTGAGGGAGGATTAGGCAAATGAAGCCGCTGACGTCACTTCTTCTTCTGCTTTGGGTTTACTGGCAGGCCGCAAACCACTTCACGGCGTATACTGCCACCCGAAGTACCCGGCCGGAAGTCCCCGGAGTTAGGGACTGGCTTCAGTAGAAGCTGCTGGGACTCCCAGCTCCCATGTTTTCTTTTGTGTTGCCATAAGTTAGTCTCTCTCCGTTGGTGCGCTGGGCTAATGCTAATAATGCTAATGCGAGGATAATGAAATGGCGACTCTTCAAAACATTTCAGAGTTTTACGGGGCGTGGTTTGCAATCGCCCAGCCAATCAGAACTGTGGTACTTTTTTTCCCTAGGAAAGTACCTGCTCTCAGCAGGCGCTAAAAATGGGATGAAAAGTTCCCGGCACTTAGTTATTTTTTTGGTGTGAACGCGACATCAGGGGTACTAACGGAACTAAACGCGAAAAGTACGGGTGAAAACTACTCTGTGTGAACGCGGCTAAAATGGCCAAAATCTGATCAGCTCGTTTTCAGACAGGTTTTTATATAAATGGATCAGGACAAAAAGTGAGCAAATCTTTTTTCCTGAAACTTTCAGGATCTCTTTACACAGAGGGGACACATGTCTATGTATAAAAGACATGACAACGTGGATTTTGCATAATAGGTCCCCTTTAATATATGTACACCTCCATAACCTGGACTCAAAATCAGTCTGACAAAAAGTGGATTTTGCATAATAGGTGACCTTTAAGACATACCAAGTTCTTTTTTTACTCTTATCTTTGTATATTCATGTATGTGTATTTCCAGGGGAGCGAGTCAATGGTTCCACCCCACGAGAAGGATTACGGACCCCCATATTTGACCGCCCGTCGGACCTGGATCGGGAGATCAAGAGAACAGGAGCATCAGAGTGGAGAGTGTGCTCCGTCAACGAGGGCTTTGCCATCTCACAAAGGTTTTCAGCTTGTGTTGTTTGATGTTTGCTATTCACTAGCAGTATAGGCAGAGCATGTCTGTAGTTCCCTCACTTGGCCTTAGCTGTTGAATGCACTAAATGTCCCCTCTACTCATACCTAGTATGTTTTGGCAAGACAGTATATTTACACTGTAGGCTTTTTTTCCTTGCTTCATACGAGACTCAAGAAAAAAACTGAATGTCTCAGTGTAACATGCAGGTCTGCTTTTAACAATACATGCTATTCATCTGAGTTCAGTGGTGACATCATGGTGGGTTTCAAGTAAGGATTGTACTGCGTTAAATGGACTACAAATTGCATAATGGTAGTTTGCAAAAAGCAGTACACATAACATGGGGCTAAAAACAATACTCACACTCCACTCGGTTTAAGTATATGAGGGGAAACTGAATAAAAGAAACTCACTATAAAAGCTTCTCAGCAGCTCAGATATTTGGGACAGGCCCAGCAAACCTAGTGTTAAATGGTTAGTAACAATACAATCATGGCTTTTACTGCCTTAAATATGATGGTATGTCAGCAAGAGGCAAAACACTTTGACTTATTTGTATGTCTTTCTAACAATATGATTGAAAATATTGAAATTGTTTTATTTAATGGTGCCTTGGTCTTTGATTCCTGTATAACAAACCTCTTTCTCTCACTCTTCCTGTTAGTCTCCCAGAGTACATTGTGGTCCCGGTCTCTCTGGCAGACGAGGATCTAAAGAAGTATTCCGTATTCTTCACTGACCAGCGCATCCCTGTGAGTTTTCTGATATCTGCATTAACACTGTGCCGCAAAACTTTTCATTTAGCTCATGGATGTATAATAAGAACAGGATACAGCGTGGGAGGCGGGGTCTCGTTCTTTCCTATGAGAGAGCTCATTGGCTCATGAAGGCAAAATGGCCCAACTTTTGAGAGAGCGAAATGTCACAGATTACCCATCATGCCTGGCTGCCAGAGCAGAAGAACCCGTATGTGCAGTCATAGAACATGCGCCCCTTAAGCCCCGCCTCCCGAGCTCCCACTCTCGGCTCACTAGAATGAATGGAGAGATACAATACATCTCTAGATTTGGCTTTTAGTGCATTTTACAACTTTAAGGACTTAATGATTCTAATAAGGGCTATAAAATAGTTCATACTGGGTAGTTTATGTAGTTTTAAAAAAAAGTATCCACTGATTTACAGACGTCTCTTTCCCAATGTTAGTCAATGGGAAAAAGTCTTTCTGGGCCCAGTGACGTCACGGACTGATACGGAAATTCTAGTACCGCCGTTTGGACACAACGAATTTTGGGCAAAGAGTCCGGCGCACTTCCTGGGGGCTTGATTTAGGTCAATGTACTTCCGGGTCAGTTCGGCAACACAGAAACCACAACAATGGAGCGGTTCATCAATTTTTACTTTGAGCTTGGCCTAAAATATAAAGATATAACATCAGTGCTTAGCAATAGGCACGGGTTTCACATAAGTGAAAGACACCTCAAGAGAACACTCAGAGCGAGGGGACATATTCAAAATAAGTGTTATACTGTAACAACAACATATGTGTGATGTGTTAAGAGATTTTGGTAGCACTACATCTTAAAAAAATGAAGTTATTGAATTTTTCTACGAGTATATATTTTCGCCGTTGCAGTTGCACTCCTCTCTCCTCCAGCTGCACATTGTGACCAATTATTGATGTTTAGCTCGGATTACGGCGCGTATCGAACTGTTCTGATAAAAACGACTCTGTAGCTCGTTGGCTACCTTGCTATGATTGTAAAGTAATGTTGTTTGCATTTTTACAACGTTATGTTCATGAGTTATTGATCCGCGAAATTCGAATCTGTCAATAACTCAGCTCAGAGTATGCTTTGCGACGTGCATGTCCCCTCGCTCTGAGTGTTCTGTTGAGGTGTCTTTCACTTGCCTATTGCCAAGCACTGATGTTATATCTTTATATTTTAGGCCAAGCTCAAAGTAAAAATCGATGAACCGCTCCATTGTTGTGGTTTCTGTGTTCCCAAACTGACCCGGAAGTACATTGAGCTAAGGCGAAGTCCCTCCCTTGCCGGTGAAACCCTTTCCGGTGTCGTCAATCTTAAAAAATAATTTCCATGTCAAAAAAAGTCACAGTTTGTCGTAAAACTGTTGAAATACAAGACTATGAAAAATACGCAACTAGAAAGACTACAAATCCCAGAGTCTTTTGAAGCTTCAACGGAAGCGTCAGCCAATCAAATCATATGCCAGTACAAGCTCTAGCCAATCAAACCGCGTGCTTGTGTGTCCTGGGTGGGAGATTCATGTGATTGGTTGTTGGTCGAGTTTCAGACACGACCGTCGGCAAGTTTCAACGCACGCTGTCGTGTGGACGCTGTGTAACACCGACGTCACTTCCGGGCCGAAAATTACGGCCCCGCCCACTTTTGGGGGAAAACAACGCTGTCATTTGAATGGCGATCAATACAAATTCAGAAGTTTTTGCCAATCCAATCAGAAATTTAAGAAAAACGTGGATTTTTAGATCTTCAAACAGCCCGATTACGATGGCCAGTCAGGCAAACAATTACATTAAATAATTTGAAATCGACGATCGGGCTCGATATATGATTAAATTAAAATCAGTAGGCGGGGCCGTAATTTCGCCATTTCATGAGCGAGACGGAAAATAATTGTTTTATCATACCAAAAAGCTGCTGTGTCGCTTATTGCACCTCAAACATTAAGACAAATCCAGAGTTACGTTTTTCTGTACTTCCTCTAAGAAAAAAGGACAGTAAAAGAAGAGCTCTGTGGCTTCAGGCTTGATCGTCATTCAAATGGCCAAAAGTGGGCGGGGCCGATATTTTCGCCCTGAAGTGAGGTAGATGTTACTCTCATCGATGCTAATGCTAACGCCACATTAGCATCAGAGATGTTTTCTACTTCATGCTATCTGCACAAATGGTTAACATTGAACATTAAAAAGATCAGGCAGTTCAGGGAGAATTGAAGGAAGGCAGGCAGCTTTGCATGACATTCTTCTGGACGTGTTTCATTGTGGTGATAGTGAGGGTAGTCAATCCCTTGTTCGGCAAGACAGTAGTGACGGCCATCTTGGTGACGTGTGTTGTTGTGCGAGACCAGAGAGGTAGTTCATTGAGCGGTTTCACACAAAAAAAGTCTTGCTTCAAAGTTTTACGGCAAACATTTTTTTTTTACTTGCAAAATTATCTTTTACATTTACAAACATCATATGTGTAATTTGTGGCACAATTCAAACGGGATCGAAAGATAACTTTTCTCTCTCCATTGACTTCAATACACAATTTTTACGAAATAACGTCCCATGGAGGTCCACCGGAAGGGGAGGGACTTCGCCTCTCTATTGCGAGATCTCGCAAAACATTATTATTTTTATTTTTTCAAACACATTATTTTTTCTTCTCCATGTCCCCTAGGGGGGACATGGAGTAGTAAAACTTAATTTATCTCTATTTATTATTAGGCTAATAATGTAATTGTAACAGCACATATAGGAACACTAATAGACTAATTTATAATAACTATCTGTTGTACACCAGTTGAATAAACTGTAGCATAACTTTTATTTGCCGATTCATTTCTGTCCTTTCTTCCTTGTAGCTCTGGTGCTGGAATCATCCAAATGGAAGTGCTCTGGTCCGCATGGCCGTCATAAGTGATCCATTGCAGCAGAGGAGGATCGATCAGAAGTACACAAACTCCTTTACTTTATTCAGATTCAAAATGTCTATTAAATGTGTTGTTTCTTCTCTCTTACACACTGGAATCCAAAAACAGTCATCAAATGTTGAACTGCACTAGTGGAAAAAATGTAAATGTATAAGTTTCATCTCAGGTATTATTTGGTACAGGTATTTGGTAATGACGCTGAATATGCTAAAGTTCTATATAAATATATCGATGACGATGATGTATTGCAGAGATGTTGCCATTGCTGTTTTAAGACCTCTCGTGTTTTGTGGTAGGGTCTTCACTGCCATCACAAAAAGCCACCCACAGCGCAGTGAAGTCCTCAGGTCAGATCTGGACAAGTGTCTGCCCAACATCCAGGACATCCAGAGTGGTTTTGTTAAAGTCAGGCAGATCTGCGTCATAGGTGAGCCAAATCACAGTCAATCTGCAACTACTTATACCTGTGAAATACATCAAAATGTACCTTTTTTCAAATGGAAATGGGAAGATTTATTCTCATACTTGTGTATAGTTTTGTAGATGTTTTTAAGTGTTGGACTGTTTTGATTGTGGGCAGATCATTTTGAGGAGTCAGACGAGAGGTGGTTCTCATCTATTGAAAACTCAAGATGGCTGGAGTATGTGAGGTATTTAAACAACCTGAGTCTTTATAAACTTTATTAAAAATTGAAATATTATGCTGGTGTGATGTTCTTTTTAACTTTATAATTCCATCTGGAACATAACAGCCCTTCACAAACAATTTGTATTGACAGTCTAAGTTAAGATTAATGTACATATCCTTTTTGTACTGTTTAAGTTATCCAACTAATGTAATTATGCTGTATCATTGGAAATACATTGTGTGTTAAAATGAATGGACATTTATCTCCCGTTTGTGACTGCAGGGCTTTCCTGAAGCACTCAGCAGAGATAGTGTACCAGCTGGATGGAAAGAATGCTTCAGTCATTCTTCAAGGTAAACTTAGCAACTTCATATTTTCTTTACTTTATTGCATGATGGTGAACTTCACTTTAGATTTTCCTGATCCATCGATTGTGATATTGTAGCAACGTGACTTTGAACATTTCAATTTCATCCAACAGCAGGTGTAAAACTCTTTGAATCTGTATTTGTTCTCCCTGTACAGAGGAGGAGGACAGAGACCTGAACTGTGTGGTGTCCTCACTGGTGCAGCTCATGTTGGACCCTCACTATCGCAGCCTCGTTGGCTTTCAGAGTTTGGTGCAGAAGGAGTGGGTGATGGCTGGCCATCGCTTCTTGGACAGATGCAAACCACTTTAAAGAAGAATGACAAAGAGGAGGTATTTGTCAGAGACGGTTTTAAAACCAACTCCAATCTAATAGAAATGCCAAGACACTAACGCTTCCTACATGTTTTTCTCCCACTCTCCTCTCCCTCTCTCTCTCTCTCTCTCTCTCTCTCTCTCTCTCTCGTCTCTCTCTCTCTCTCCTCTCTCTCTCTCTCTCTCCTCTCTCTCTCTCTCATCTCTCTCTCTCTCTCTCTCTCTCTCTCTCTCTCTCTCTCTCTCTCTCTCTCTCTCTCTCTCTCTCTCTCTCTCTCTCTCTCTCTCTCTCTCTCCAGTCCCCGCTGTTCTTGCTGTTCCTGGACTGCGTGTCGCAGATGATGAGCCAGTACCCGGCAGCGTTCGAGTTCACAGAATCCTATCTGACTGTCCTGAGTGACAGCATGTGGATCCCACTCTTCAGTACTTTCCTCTTCAACTCTTCCAAACAGCAAGCTAAGCACTTGATGGTAAGAGACACAAGATTCAAGGCTTTTATTGTCATTCGTACATCTTAGTACACACGCACTTATCATTGTAAAATGTATTTATTTTATTAGTTTAATACAAATAATTTTCTACATGGCAATACAGTAGTAAACAATGTTGTGCACTAAATGCAACGGATTCCACCATGATCCTAAATGATGTTGAAATGAGAACATGATTTTTTTTTTTAATGGTTGTTGCTTAATAAAAAATGTTGTACATAACCAATGCTCAAACCTCTGATTTGTGCTTGTTTAAAGGTGTTATATTAGATGTCTGAATGTCCAAACTCAGTGGTCCAAGACCAATGAAAGCACTTGTCATAATTCCAGGTGACAGTGTGTAACAAAGCAACATGTTTTTGTGGTTTACTTTCTCATGTCAAAGACTGAAATGTCCTTCTGCATGTGTCAGATCATTTACTGGAAAGAGTGCAACGTATTGCATACAGATAAGAACACATTTAGCTTGTGATCAGAAAAATACTGTTGACACTTCCAGATTATAAATAACCTTGTGTTTGCTGGACAGGACTTTGCCAAGAATAAAGCCATCCCTCACGGAGAAGACCAGGTTGTCTACTTCCCTCCGGTTTGGGACTGGTCGCAGCAGTTCTCCCCCAAAGACCAAACCCTCTTCAACAACCCCATGTATGTCGGCAAAGGAGCGGCCTGCGTTCAGAATGGAGAAGTGAAGACCTTCAGACGCACAAAGGTACACAACACACTGAGTTTACGGTTTTATAGCAGCAGTAGCAGCACATGGTTTTAGATGCCGTCTTTTACTACCTTCGATACGCAACACTTGAATTACAGTGTGGACTTTCAACCACAGTTTAGTTGTTTGCAGCCATGTTGAAAACAAGTTGTAAGGTGGTTTAACGGCAAGGACTTTTTAAAGTCTACACCCAAGTTTTAAACTTTTGTTATTCGGTAAACTTTAAATCACAGTTTTATTTACTTTTTTTACTATTTGAAGTAAGAACATTTTTTTATCCTAATTTTCAATGTTTAAGCTTTATTTTTATTCTGCAGGCTGGGTATCTAGAGTGTAAATACATTGTAGATACCTCTATAGTTTCTAAATAATGTAGGTTGCCCACAACTCCAAAGCTTTCTTTTTTTGAAGGTCAGAAGATCAATAATCATGTGTAGGTATTTCCGAAATAGGTTAGCTTTGTCTTCTGCCCTCTTATTTGATTTCATTTGATGATATGCATTTTGCTGAAATACACACTATTCCTGATGGAGTAAATGTTTAACATGAACAATCCGTCCAGTCAGCAGTTCTGATTACTGCAACTGAGATTTTTTGGTTGGGGTTTAGAAATTCACAAATTATTACACAGACAATAAATCATTGTTTTTGTTTTATTTCTTAGGTTTCAGGGTCAGGGGGATTGAGATATACTAATTCAGAACCTTGAAAGAGCTTAGGTCACATAGCTCTAGTTGATTCCCACTAAACGAGTGTGTCCCCTCCAACAGAAGGCGTACAGCCACACGCTGCGAGGGATGCCTGCGTCTCTGCGCAATGGGACGAAGGTCGGGGAGGACACGTTGACCCGGCGTGGCTCCCTGTTGTCGGAGCTGAGGTCTGATTTTTCCCCCGTTAAAGACGAAAGCCCGTCAGAGCGCTTCTTCAGAGACTGGTTCTCTCGCCCCGCGGACCAGCAGGGCCTCCTCATCCCGCTGCTCGTGCCCTCGCACCTCGCTCTCTGGAAGCTCTACTTCCTGCGCTGGGTTCCTGAAGCCTGCATCCCCAAAGGAGGCCCCATCACCGCTTACCGCAAGCTCTCCCAACTGGTCGACGAAATTGAGATTCTGCAGAACCGGCTCAGGCAGTATAAAGGACGTGGTCCCGGCAACGGGCCACTCCCCAGCCCAAGTGGGCCCCTCTCAGACCAAAGGAGGATGTATTTTAAGGCCAGTTCCCCACATGACCCCCCTTCACCTTCTGACGTCCTTACCTCCTCCTTCCCCTTCTCTCCAACGGGTAACCTGTGTCGCGGCGGTAGCCATGGGACCCCCATTAGCAAATTCCTGAACGGGGCGAGGATTTGGCTCTCTACGGAGACTCTGAACGACACTGTCTGAAGAGGGGGGGGGGGGGGGGGGGGGGGGGCTTATAGGCTCGCTTTTCTGAGCTCAGTACAGGTTTGTGTAACAATAAACCTTCTTATTTTCTTTTTCCTCTTTCTTTAATACCAAGAAGGAAAATGGAAAAAATAAACTTTGAGTTCCTTTCTAACCTGAAGCGCCCTCTATAGGACTGAACCCTTAATTACCATTACAGCAGAGGAAATGAGATGATCTAAAGCACATCCTCCTTATTGGCCAAGGAGTTGTTGTTGTGAGGTCTCCTGACTGCGAAAGATTGTAATACAAATTGTTTTAATATAATTATTTTTTGGATCTACTTGCGGTCTTTCTCGAGATTAGTTGGATGACTGCTTTTTTCTGTTGAGCATCCTGTAGGACCCGAATAAAGAGCGCTTTTGGAGATGTTTATATTGAGTTGAGAGCCTTTACCTTTTGACACATTTGCATTGCTCAATACGACATCCCCACTGTTATGGAAATGAGAAATGTTATCCACATATAAATGCTTTGAATTAGAAAATGCCCGTTTTCTTACTGCAGCATTAATGATGCATTTCACTGAACACTGATTTCCAACTAATCCTTTTGTTTGTACCTTCCAGGAAAAGTAATTGACAATATAATAACTAACGTAGTTTTTATTTTAGAAAGAGGAACAGAAAAGAACACTGCTTCTACATATTCTTATATGTGTTAAAACAAAGAGGATCTGTCATGGCTGAATGTAATGGGGCGTTTTTCGTTTTTTCTTTGCATAAGCTTAATGCCATTTGCTCCAAGTGCCCATACAACTATGGTTATATTGAAAGTCTCACTCTGTGCAGATAATAGTGTGATTTCAGGGTTTGGCTTTGTAGATTTACGCTATTTTTGAAGCAGAGAAAAGGGCCTATACTTTCAGTATCATAAAGCAGGTGATATTCAGAGGGCAACGTGGAGATGTGAGGACTTCAATCTGTGGTAGATATTTCCTCTTCTCTTTCTGAAGGGGTTCTATTCAACTTTTATACAGGCCTTCTGGTAAGGCTCTAATTATAAGAAGAATAAACTGTTCATAACAACAGTACCTGCATGGGTAAATATTTTAAGCAAAAGGACAGACAAGGGCTTTGATTCAAACCAGTCTCTAGTTTAGATGGCACTGATCCAATTAACCAGACAGTAATGGGTTGATGACGAGTGACAAGAACATATCAGCATTAAGCACCTGGATAGCAATGTGTGATATTTTGTCCACAATGACTTCAGTTCACACAGGTTGTTAAAGGAAGGCCTGATACAAAGGGAAAGGCTTAACATACTGTATGTAGCTTTAACAATAGTCACTTTGAATAACATGTGTTCTTGTTTTTTTGCCAGATAATGCTTCTCTGGTTATAGGAATAATGTAATAAAGTACAAGTAGTGATTATGTACTTTCAGTCAGGGTAGTGATGGCAAGGTTAGTGAGTTAAGATGTTTAAATTAGGAAATCAGAGACATTTTCGAGCAAGATAAAGTTCAAGTGCTCTGCAAAGACTTTAATTTGGAGATCCTTTCAAAGTGTCTGCTGAACTAGAGAGGGGTTTGAGATGTGTCAGGGGAAATGGATCAGTCATCCAGATCCCATTTAAACTAGGGAGGAATTAGCACTGTCATGTCATTTCTTAAAATAACAGTACAGCATTTAATATATACATTAATACCACTGGACAGTCTCAACATCTGTCCTCCAACACAGGAGCGTCCACCCTTAGACGCTAGATTGACCAGTTTCCAATAATATTCAGCTAAATGCGTTTCTATAGCAATAACTAACTAGTTCAGGTGTTTGTTTTTTTATAAAGAAGTGTTTATAGAAGTCAACCTGCTCTCCCAAATGCTATTAATTGCACATTTAACTCAAGATATAGGATAGTTTATTTGAAAATGGTTGTTGAATATTATTTTTGCAGATATTATAAATACTGTATATGGTTGAAATCTCCCTATTAATATCTTTGATTAATGGTACTAGATTACTTTTATCTTAGATTCAGTCTTTTTGTTTTCTGGAGAGATATTGATATGCTATGTTCTTCCACCACTTCACCATGTTGCACTCTGCTGTAATTGCATGATGACTGTGCTCCCACAGTTTGATATTGAAGAGCAGCAGATGTATTCAGATATGCAGATGTTCTCTAAGAGGGATGCAAGGGCTACTGTACATCCCCCTGTGCCTTGTTGGGAAGATTGACAATTTTTGTAACTAAATTCTAAATATATTGACTTATTTTAGTTTTTCTAAAACTGTTGAGTTATCAATTCTGTAAATCTATAGTAAATTCACTGGTAATGCACTGAAGCTGTTTTCCCTGACCAAGAATAGGGCTTGAATGTGTACCAGTAACCAATCATTACAATATTTTTCAAATGAACTTGTGTCCTGGCTTTTTATTTCACTGGATTCTGACTCAATAATGCGATGCTTTTTCTATTAAAGCTTGGGAGGGCTCTGAAAAAAAAAAAACGAGCAACCTTTTGTGTCTGTAATAATGAGTCTACCTTCCTTTCTCCTTGCATAAACTCATCATCTGTGATGACTTAATTGAATGAGCTGTCGGTTGAGTTAAATACAAATTATAATTCTAAATAGAGAACATAAATCACATAAACCAACTAAGCCACAACACCACTGTCACAATCTACTATCATAATTAATATTAATTTATATTTCAGGATGTCTTCTACATCTTGTTTAATTCTATCCATTATTTTTGATTTGGATTGACAAAGAGGAACTCAACACCGGGGAAAAAATGGTGTGGTTAAGGTTATTGGGATTATTTAGAAGTATCCTTGAACACGTCAAATCTACTTGAAGCATTTCCATACAGTATTGAGCATGTCAGGTAGATGTGTCTATGGAAGTTGTTGGTTTGAGGCACTGCTGGGATTTGAACCCAGGATTTCCTGTTTAAGGCACTTTGACCAACTAAGCCACAGCGTCAACATTAATTGTTGTATCTCTTATTATGATAAACCTAAGATACACCTGCTCCCCTTACTGTACAAAATCACAATAAGGGAAATACATTATAATTCTGTCAGAAATACATTCTTTCCATCTATCTGTCTGTCTATCTATCCATCTGTCTGTCTGTATATCTATCTATCTGTCTGTCTGTATATCTGTCTATATATCTATTTATCTATCTGTCTATCTATCTATCTGTCTGTCTGTATATCTGTATCTGTTTATCTATCTATCTGTCTGTCTGTATATATGTCTATATATCTGTCTATCTATCTGTCTATCTATCTGTCTATCTGTCTAGAAAAAAAAACAGGAAATTGAATCAATTTGGTGACGTCATTGGTGAGCGCCTATGCTGGCCTTCGAAATGGGCTCGACTCCTTAGCCTTGATTTCTTCAATTGTCCCTCCGCATATCAACTTTTTATAAAGAAAAGCCTGTTCGCGATGACATTTGGAGGTACGTGCAAACAACGACTCAAAGCAGAGCCATATTTTCTAGGCATGTCTGCCCATTGCCATGTTAGTTATGAAGACTGAAGGCAGTTAATGTAGCTTGTTGTAGCTGTGTTAGCCGTGGAGCTAACTAGCCGGAACCTCTGGGCTGGTGCCCAGAGATACATTACAGAGATAGCTTAACTGTCTCATATACCATTATTTATAATTTGAACTCACTTATACGTTTAGTGTTCGTGTATAACATGTCATTCTGTCACTTTCCTGTGTTTATGCTAAAATGACGACTCGAATGTGCTAGCTAACTTTAGCCAAGTCAGCCACTGTGCTAGCTAACGGTAAACATGGTTACTCTAAAGAGAAGTGAAGCGGCAACTGGAAGAAAACTTTGACATTTATAAAGCAAAGGTTACCTATACAGTGCTGTTCAGGGTTTTGTTGCAGTAAAAAGGTTTACTGAGTATTCTGGACAATGTGTTAAATGAAACCAGGAACAGACTCGAGTCTGAATCATAGACAAACACAGAGCTGTTTGAAGTTACATTTAGCATAAATAAGAACTTGCTTCTCTTGGTATTACTTCCAATGACCAAATGTAATGCTATTATCCACATGTATCTGCTTAATGAGCGCAGGAATGTACACCTGTCATGAAAAGGACAACAGAAAACAGTTGAGCAAATTGTCGTTTGTTTTTTACGATAGAATATAATCTATATAATTACAGTAAAACTAAGAGGTAATAGCTGAGATGTTGCTTGTGTTATATTTTCTGGTGTACTTATTTTGTTGTGATATAACGGGATGGACGTCCTGCAGCTTATGCGGAAAAAATATCTTAGCATCATACATTACATTACAAAAGGGAGGTACTTTTTGCCATTTCACATTTCTGATGTTGGGAAAGCCCACGGTGTTTGAACCTCCGGTGGGTGAGTCATGTAGGCTCATGCTCTCCACCCAAGCTTTGCTCAAACTTGCAAAACTTAAAATGAAACCCTAGTCAAGATGCCAAATGTTTCAGGATTAGCTATATTTTGATTGCTGGATTGAGAGTAAACTATACTTTACACATCTATAAATAGTCCACTAGATAGAGTGGACACTGTTGGATTGTTTGACATATTGAAAAATCATTATATTATTCAAACTTGTATTCATTCTCAAAGAAGAGTTGGTTTAACAGACACATACTATTTATGATACTATCTCTGTATAATAAGATAAGATGTGTAGATGTGTGTGAATTTGGGGCTGGAATCAGGTCTCATGGATGATTCATATTATACAATGATAATAAGATCCTGTTTTTGTTGTTGCTTTTTGTTCCAGGTGAATTGGTAGACAAGGTCAGCCAGTTGATTTCAACACTGGTTCCTGTGCAGGCTGACTGGCTTGCAACTCTCACTTCCTGTGCAGTACAATAAAGCTACTTGCTTGGTCAGAGGATTGCGATGAAACACGCTCAGGAACGCAACCAGGAATGCCTGCCTCCTAAGAAAAGGGACCTCCTGATTTGTAACAGCAGTGGAGGTGGAGGGGCAGGAGGAGCCGGGGCTGCAGGGGGGGGCAGCAGCGGAGGTGGCAGTAGAGCTGGTGGAGGTGTTGGAGAAGATGATTTGGTTTCCATCCAGAACACTGGAGCCAACAGTGACACTCAGGGAGGATCACCGTCGGGAGAGTGGCTGCGAGCTCAGCCAGGGCTTCATTATGGGATGGAGAATTCTGAAGGCATGCCAGCAGTGCCAGTTGACCAGTACAGTATGCTGTACAAAGTGGCTCTTCCCTCTGTCACCTACGCGCCTACCAGTCTTCACCCAGTGCTAAGCCATATCTCTCAAGCCTACACTGTACACTCCCCTCTCCTGCAGCATCCAGGCCTTTCCTACCCTCCCCTTGGTTATGCCCAGATTCCGCATTCCTCTCTCCAGTTTGTCAGTTCCCCTTATGCAGCCGTACCGTACGCTCTACCCCCTGGCTTTGTCCCGGGATCATTAATCTCTCCCTCAGGCACCATTCCTCAGTCCCATGCTGTCTCCCACCTTGTTCCCTACCCCTCTGTCTTACCAGAAGGTGTTGTTTCCCCACCTCCTCAAGCCCAGGTAGCCACTCATACCTTTGCCAAAGTTTCAGCATCAGGTGGCGTCCCACTGATGCTGCCCTCAGAGCAATCTGCCCAGCAGCACCTTGGTGCTGTGGGAGTTCTGCCTGCATCAGAGCTCGGCTCTCGAGGGATGCCACTCTTCTATCACCCTCAGGGCGCCAGGGCGGCCACCAGAGACTCCCACAGTGCCCAGCAGGACAATGAGCCAGAGATGAATGGAGGCGATAAAGAGCAGGGAGCGAGGGAAGTCGTACTGGACTCGGCGTACACTGCCAGAAATGCACGTCTGCTGCAGGTAGCATCCAACTCTGCAGCCCAGGAGTACAGCCAGGACAGAGGAGGGCTGAACCGACGGCTGGAGGAGAGGGGCTCCCCTGGCCAGCGCAGCAGCCCAGACAGCGACCTGGAGGTAAGACACACTGATAGTCTCCTCATGAGACACATGGTTCCTTGTCAATCTCTTTTCCTAACTTTTAGCAGTAGATGGAAGAACAAGAAAAGGTATGGCAGAATTATCGTACCTTTTTTATTTTTAAGCTAAAAAAAGGTTTGAAGGATGAGATTAATAAAATGTATTTCTACCTTTTAGGTGCAATAACATGCTGTGATTCAGGATGCTACTGTGGGATGATATTTAGATGTGTTGGGAATTGTGTAATAATGAATGAAGTGACACATATTCCTCTTATCTACTTCCAGGTTCAGCAGGTGGTTGGCCGTTTGGCTTTCTCTAGTCAAGTGCGGAAGGAGGTGTCCTTTGCTCCTTTAAACCTCTCTCAGAGAGCCAGAGATCTCCATGGAGAGAACACAGGCATGATTTCAGGTCGGACTGCGTTCCCCACTCACACTGCGAGTTACAGTGATCCCAGGATGGCCGCTCTCCAGCAGCAAGCAGGACCACCCGGCCACGCTGTGGTGCTGGCCAACGGGCAACCAGTTTTGATTCCCTTAGAGTATCACCTGCAGCACCACCCCCAACCCCCCCAGCAGCAACACTACCATATACAGTCTAACAACGCCTCAGTCGCCATGTCCTCCCCTAACCCAGGCTTTAAAGCCTCGGATTCTTCAGCCAGAGTGTGCCTCCTTGAAAGGGTGGAGCCGACCCCAGCCCAGCAGCAGCCCCCCCAGCAGCCCCCTGTCCAGCCGGCAGCGGATCAGGCCTTAGCTTTGAGCCACGCTCCTGCCTCGGCTCCTAACAACCCGTCTCACTTCATGAAGGGAGCCATCATCCAGCTTGCTACTGGAGAGCTGAAGCGCGTGGAGGACCTGCAGACTCAGGACTTTGTGCGCAGCGCCGAGGTGAGCGGGGGGCTTAAGATCGACTCCAGCATGGTGGTGGACATCCGTGCCAGCCAGCAGAAACCAGGTCTGGTTTCGCTTCACTTCACTGTGGGGGAGCAGCAGAGCAAAGTGACCATCGACGTGCCCCCGGAGCACCCCTTCTTCGTGTTCGGGCAGGGCTGGTCGTCCTGCAGCCCCGAGCGCACGGCGCAGCTCTACGACCTGGCCTGCCACCCCCTGCAGGTGGGGGACGTGTGTGTGTCCATCACTCTGCAGCAGCAGCCTCAGCCTCAGCAGCAGAAACAACCACAGCACCATAACTCGCAACAACAACAACAACAACAACAACAACAACAACAACAGCAGAACATGTCCAGGACTTTAAGCAAAACCAATGCTTCATCAGGGCCTGGTCACCAGCTCATGGGGCCCCCTGCCCCTCAACAGTCCCGGCCTCCATCTCATTTCAGGCTGGACCGCATCCACAGAGAAAGACAGAGGGACGGTGAGAAGGAGGCGGTCGATAAGGAGGAAGCCACGCATTACGGGGCCGCTGGGCTCTCTGAGTCCCCCATAAGACCAAGTAGGACCTCAGCAGAGCACCCCAGGAGCCACAGCAGTTACCACCTGCACACAGAGGGCTCTGCTTTTGCAGGGGCCGGGCTGGGAGCAATGCAGGCTGCGCTAGGTGCTTCTCAGAGACGCTGGTCCTCACCTGGCCTCCAAAGATATGGTATGAAGGGAGACGAAGGGCCACGCCCTCAAATAAGCACCTCTGGCCACACGAGGCCCTCTTTCATCCCCCAGGAGGTCAAACTGTCCATTGAGGGGCGCTCTAATGCAGGGAAGTAGCATCACTTTTGGTAGCACGTGAACGAGTCTGACAAGGAGAGAAAGAGGAAAAAAAAGTGTGAATGTAGCCTCAGATTGTTTGAGATTTTGCACACCTAGATTATACAAAAATACAAGACCTTTGTCTATCTGGTGAGAAGTTCTTGTTTGTTCGGTTGTCACTCAGCCAAAGGACACGAGCCTGTGGTTTCCCAGCCAGCTCAGGTCTGACAGGGAGCTGACGAGCTGAGTAGAAAGTATGTAGCGGATCCGATGCCCACCATAGTCCTCGCACACTGCATTCCTCTTCCTCCCTCCCTCCTTTGTCGCCACTTCCTCATTCCCATGCTTGAGCTTACCATCACATTCAGTGCACTCTTGTTTCCTTTTTGACCAAATGGTCTCTTTGGAAGACCAAGGACTATGAAGAATGTGTTAGTAGCAGAGTGAAGCTACACCTCGGCAGGTTCTGATGTTTTTTAAAGATCCCAGCCAGCGATCTTTCGTCTCCTCCATTCCTAAGATCCTGTTTTCTTCAGAAGCATTTACCCAAAAAAGGAGTGCAGTTGCTGACGCAGCGGCTCCTGCAGTGCTGTTGGCACTGTTGACGCTAACTGTCAGGTTATGTTACATTATGCTTTTCTGGCAGGAGATAAAAAACCTCTGCTGTCAGCAGAGATAGTTTCTCCCCTCCTTCCTTTTCAGGAGGCGAGTCTGCAAAGAATGAGATCCTCTCTCAGGCGAAGTGTGGCACGTCCCACTTGTCTTACAATCGAAATAGTGATAAATCAATCAATGTGTCTGTTCAGCAATCAGTTTCTACTAAAAAAAAATGTGCTCATGCCCTCGGGTTTAATCTATGTTTGTGAATGTGTTTGCATAAAAGCCAGAAATTGGAACAATGCTTTGTTCTCTATGATAAGTAGAGATATCCTGCATTCCAGTATCATCAGTGAGAATATCCATAGTGTTGTCCTTAGAAGAATCACTTCCTCAGCACCACCCCCCTCCTCTATATACCTCAAAGCTCGCCCCACTAAAAGCAAATGTGTGTTTTTCAGAGGAGGCACCAAAGCCACCTGTGAGAATGAGTCATGACCCTGAATCCTCCCTGGTTGTAGAGAGAAACCCTGCATGTGAGTGGGTCAGTGATCAGGTTTTGTCTTTGCTCAGTTATCAAATGAAAGCTATATTTGTTTTACAGCACCCGGCCGTACGGCTCCCCCTCAGGCAGTCTGTCATCGTGGGCTGTTTCATATCCAAGGTGTCAGATCTGACCCTTTTTTAACCCTGACCTTTAAAGGTGATGCACTATTTTGGTGTTCCTTCAGTAATTCTACACAAGCAATTATGCATGACTAATTTCTCAAGAACTCCTTGGAGAAGCTTCTCTTTGATTCTCCATCTCACTGATGATATGTTATCTCAAGTGCATCTCCAAGTTGTGATCATTATCTTCTGTCTTGTGTTTAACAAACACGGTCCTTTGCTTTTGTACTAGGGTATATTGTATCCAGTGGATCTTATGATGGTCTTGGAGGATGTCACTCATTGATTTCACACTGACCTTGTTGATAGGGGTCACAGTTCAGTAGGTGTTTGTCAGCAATGAAGGGAATATGTTTGAAGTATTGTTGCCAGTGTTTTGTGGTGAGAGAGCGCCAAAAGAAACTGACTTGCTTTTTTAACTCTGTTTACAAATTAGCCAAGATGGATGCTGCAGTTTCCTCCTTCTGACAGATGTTCATCCTTTGTCACTGGAAAATCCAAAAGGGTGACATTGAATATAAGTGCAATTAGACCACACATTAAATCATTCAGAGGTTTATAATCAGACTGCATTCCTCACGCAGACATTCCCATTGAAAAGTAAATCACACAGTTCCCTCTTTCCTGTCATAGAGCTTTAACCTCTGGGAAAACATCGGGTCACTTCTCATGCGTTATGTTTCTTGGTTGTCAGTTCTGTGTAGTTTTATTCTGTCCATCAGCCACTTGTCTGTCCTCTCCAACTCTCATGTTCTCCTCACCTCTCGTGGTTCTCTGAGTTAACCGCCTGACCCTCTGTCAGCAGGGCGGGGGTCCACAGAGACAGAGACACATCAACTGGGAGACCCTTCCTCTGTGTGTTGTCTTTATACGCAGCTTTAAAGGACAGGTTCACATGTTTTAAGTCTGTTAAAACTCTTCTGACATGCCCTATAGATGTAGATTGCCCTGTTAGACATAAATCACTTGAAACATGAAAAATGGCTCATTCATTATAAATAGTGTTATATAACGTGCTCTATTATTTTAGGCAGGCCTCACTGTTGCGACCTGATTGTGTATTTGCAAGAGTCTGGTAATAAGATGCATATCACGATAGAGGCGCTACACTTCAATGTGTCGCTATATTGAACGGCCAAGTATTGGGATTTCTAATATATCATTTTAGGAAAACTATCGTATAACGAGCACACGGCCATATGCATTCATCTAAGTAAGCATCAGAACAGGGATCTGTATATTATTGTAATACTCAAGTATCAATATTTGTTAATCCTCTATTGTATTAATCTAGGCTTGAAAAATGTGAACCTTTCCTTTTTAAAATGCTCAGCAACGGGGGTCGAAGTCAAGAACACGTCTAACCATCAGAGGCTCATCAATTCAATTCAATTCAATTCAAAACCTTTATTTATCCAGGTAAAATCCCATTGAGATCAATGATCTCTTTTTCAAGGGAGACCTGCATGACACCATCACATCTGGTTCCTGCTGTAAGCAATATACATAAAACTTGCAAGCATTTCACAGTCGTGGCATCTTCTATGCAGTAAACTCAGTATTGTACGCTTTATTGTCTTAAGCTCAGTGAAGCAGTAGGGCAGATGCAGTCATTTTAGTCTAATGTCTGGTTATAGAATGTTGCTTTTATTTTAATTACCTTTTTGTAATACAAACCAGTATTTTGCTTTGCTAGTTTATTTTTTTCTCGCTAGTCCCCATATTCCTATATTCCAGGAAGCTTTTACTGTCGGAGAAAAAGCACTCGAGTGTCACTCATTTTCTTGTGTTCTTTAAGCATTAATTTTGCCCCAATTGCTACACCACTTCAATATTTAGTTAATCACAATGCATTTATTGGGGTTGAAATAGTGTGACGCCCCTGTTGACCCTCACTGCAGACCCTCCTGTTCTGCCTCGAGCCTTTTTCTTTTTTTAGCACGTTAAGCAGAAAAGCTTCTTCTACCAAGATGTCCGATAAATCGTATTCACATCACTGATCGTCTGTTGCTGTAAGTAATTGCACTAAACGCCCTCCTTTTACAGTGTTTTCAACTTCTAACTGTTGGTAAATTGAAGAGTTTGAAAATGTAAAGCACACAAAATCACGGAGAAATTGCAGGCTGTGTGTGTTTCTGTAGATAGCTGTTTTTTTGTTGTTGTATAGATAGCTTTGATGATGCTTGTCGATAATGCCTTAAACTCTGCTTTGTACAATGTGTGACATTGAAATAATGGAATAAGGCTTCTGGTAAACGTGCGGTTCCATTTTGAGACTAAGCAAATCAGAAATGTCTCGCTCTGACGCTTTCACGCTTCGGGGGACGGTGTATTCCTTTTGGACTCAAGACAGTTCTATGAAACCTGCCACTTTGTTAGCGTGCCGTTTTATTCTTCTTTATAAATTCCTTTTTTAATACACTCTTTTACTTGCCTTTAATTCCTGTTGTGTGTAAATGGAAGCTCTTCTCCGCACTTTTTACAATGTGTTTACAAGTGTCAGCAAAGAAGGGCAGTCCATTATTTCCAAACACACGCTAATGCTAATGTTGTTTTATGGTTGCACAAGTTCAGTAGTTTTTTTACCCTTTTGAATTAATGGATAGTGTTTGATGTCTTGTGTTCCCCCCTCCCCCCCCCCCATAAGTGTATGTTCAGATTTATTTTTGGCACAAGGCTTTTTAAGTGACGTGCAACTATCAAAAAACAGCATATTTTTATTTTTAAAAATGCCTAAATCTGCAAAATATATGCAATGATGTAAATGTAACATTCAATCCTCAAGTATAATCCAGGTTGTTGAACTTTGTATAGTGAGTTTTAATATCGTATGGCCGTACCACCAATATGTATTGATCTTTATCAGAAGCCTTAGAGTTGTCGAGCGAAAGTGCTCCCTTAGAATACCCTACACCTACCTGACTTTAACAAAGCATTAATATCTCTTTTGTTTCATTTCTGTTTGTACGGTTTTTGAATAAAATAGATTTGTACTGTATATTTGTACCTCTCTGAACTACTTAGGGCGGATTTGTTTTTGTTTTGCTGTTTTAATTCTATGTACTTTAAGGACACAAAGATATTGTATTTTTATTGTTACAGCTAACTTGGAGACATTGCATTTACCATGTTTGTTAAGTAAACACAATATAATATATATATACAAATATAAATATAAACTATTATCCAACCTGTGTGCTGTGTTTCTTTGGTTGCATTTGTGTGTTTTGTACTTCTCTTTATAAAAGCATGATAATGCTGCAGATGGTTATGGGGGAATTCATTCAGCTTCTTAATACGGGGTTAGGGAGTTTCAATTAGATTTGAATGTCAAAACTTGATCTTTACAGTTTCAAGTACAGCTGGCAAATGCATTTAATGTATAGTAACTTGAGTCTTATAAGCAACTCAATGTAATACAAATCTAACCACTACTATATATTAAATGTCACCAAGTATATAGCATTGAAATATGAAAATTATATTTTGATCCGCAATGTTCAGATAATTTTAAGTGGTGGGATTTACAAAACTTGATTTATATTTGGTTTTGATATCTGATCTCAAAAATCATGTCAATTTAAAAAAAAATGTACTTCAAGTTATTGAAATTGAACCAATTTAAAGAAAGCCATGGTTAAAATTGCGCTACTTGCAATTGTCTAAACATTTTCAAAATGTAAACAATCAGATGGACGGTTTTCAAAGTAAACAACTGTGGCATTTAAATGTCTACTAAGCTGTAAGTATTTCATGGTGACTTAATTTTCATGCATTATTTTATTCCCCAAAACCTGCCATGTTTCTCTATTTATTTTAGATTTCGTGGACTAGAACCTCAGAAAGACCACAAACAAAAAGTAAAGCATAAGTATTCTTAAACATTTAACGTTAAACTCCACCTACCCTTTGCATTTTAAGAGAACACCTTGTTAAAGAAATGCTTGGTCATCGTCTCCATTCAAATCCATTGTGCATTTGTGTGTATAAAGCAAAATGAGAGAAGCGAGACTGGACAATACCATTATAGTAAAGTTAATGTTTATTTCCACATTCTTCACCAGGTTTCATCATGATCTGTACATCTGTTACTCCAGTAACAGGATGGCATCCAGTCAGAATGCATTGATATCGCAGCAAGCATGAATGTTCCCATTAGCAGTTAGCTCATTCATTTGGCCTTTGTTCAGACATTTGTTTTGTAAACATGGACATTGAGAGGAAATCCTGATAGAATTAATATAGAAAGGCCAACATTTTCTTTTTTTTGACAACATTTTTCTTTTGAATAAACTAAAAAACAGGCAGGCATAAACTAACAGTAGAACACAAGCTCATATCGAACCATTCTAGGACAAGTGCAGTTTCACGACATGCAGTGCTTACCTAATCCATTCTGAGAGAGCTGCTCATAAAACACCAGCACCACTTCAGAGTACTTCCTCTGCAATAATATGTCAGACCACAGGCGCCACCGTTTTCTGTCACCCCCACTGCAGGACAAAGGGGATCACAGCAATTTGAAAGAGCAACCTCTGAGAATACCCAGTATTCATAGTGTGAGAGAAGAGAGAAATAATGACACCTGAAGCCTCGGTATGTCATGAATCGGATGGCAGTGAGACCCTGTTGCTTTCATGTGCTGAAGTAGGAAGAGAAAACACATATCCAGAGACAAAGTGTCTCTAGAAAAGTCACAAACCTGCCAAAAAATGTTGCTATCACATCGTAAGATAGATCTATAAATGATTCTTATGGACCAGGGTGTCATCTCGAGGTTCAGAGCCCTCACTGAGTTCATTGCCTGAGAAGCTAAACTCTTTACATTGAAGTCACATTCTGCATAGTTTCAGTGAAAAATGGATTAATCTCCCTTGGAATAAATAACACATCTGTTGCATAGAGGTTTGATGCACTCCTAGGAAAGCCTCTGAGGATAAAACCAAAGAATATCCCGTATTCTTTTTTACCTCTTTGTTAAATTTGCTGTGACAAACAGCCAGGTAGATGGACTCTTGTCTAGGAGTGACTCAAACAGAACCGTGTCTCTGATATTCTTTGGAGAATATTTCAGAAACTGCTTATTGTAAATGTTTACATCTGGTGAAGTTCAGAAAACTGGAGGTAACCTTACAGGCAGGAAATTAAACAAGTAATATCCAGACATGGCCTCTAATTAAAACATTTTATACCACTGACAGTAACAAAATAACCCAAAACATTTTCACAATAAAAATATATTCACATCATATTGCATAAATATGTGCTGGAATGAGGTTAATGAAGTAATAAAAATCTCTCTCCCAGTATGGGCTGTATGTATCATGAGATTAGCCCCAGTGCTCAGTAATGGTCGGGATCAAAATATAAAAAACAGGTACACAAGTTTAAAATCTGTTCCTTATATGAATCAATAAATAGCTTCCATCAATTTAGCTGATGGAGGATATAAAATAACCCCAGTGGTACAGCTCACGTTTACTGGAGGTAAAACATCACATGCAGAGGAGGCATTATTTGTGTATGATCCTGTAAATAATTACACATTTGATGTTGTTATTTACGCATGAGGAAAACCAATGTGTACTTGTGGGCAGAATTCAAGTAAAGTATCATTTTATGAACATTGTGAACACTAGATGGAACTTTTTAGCACATTATTCCTTAATGTGGAAATATATAAGAGGTAACTAATGTATTGTACAGTACAATAACAGCAGCACAGACAGAAGTTTTATGAGCCTTGGAAAAGCTTTGTAACAGAAAAGGTAAAAAAAAGAAATGACATTGGCATAATATTTGGAGTGTAACGACGTAGGGAAAAATATTTGCAAATGTAAAGAGACAAATGCATCAAGTTGTACGACTCAGGAGGCGAGGGGGAATGATGCTCCACACTCGGCGTGTTCAATAGGACAAAACATTCAATTTCCTGTGAAGTAGCATTTCTATCAAACCTAGGAAATGTGGAACTGCTGTGATTTTAAATCAGTTGCTCCAGTGAATGTTTGTGTCCTATTAAATTGCCTGAGTGATCAACGAAACACTGTTATCGTGGGAAATATCCCAGACCCTCTGTCCAGTACATGAAGAGCTTTGGAAGCTTGGAGGTGGAGCGCAGTAAGCCACGAGACAGCTGAGGTAGAAGAGTTTGACTGAATATGAATTTCCCAGGGCGGCAGCTTGGAAAGAGAGAGAGGTGTAGCTACCAGTAAACCCAAGTCACTGGGCTGGTATACGAGGGGGGGGGGGGGGGGGGGGGGCTGCCTGCGGCTACAAAGTCCCCACTCCTGTCACTGAGGGTCCATGTGCAAAAAGACAATTTTTTCCCCATCAAAGGAAGTATAACTGCTCCTACTAGAATGAACTATGTTAACATGTTAGCCCTCTGACCAACAGATAAATCTCTTTACAACATGCTCTCATCCATACAATATGAAACATTCTCAACCCTGTTCCCAAGGCTTTCTATACTGTAATAAATTAGAAATTGAAAACGTTTTTGCTGTATTCAACAAAGCAGTTAGTCTGTGCGACACAGAAGAAGCTGGAGGTAAACCAGCGAGGAATGGTTCACTGTGACCAAAGGGCAGAGTTAATAGGCGCTTTCACACCGGAGTACTTTTCCCCCCGAACTAGGCCGATAGGGGGGGAGATTTGGTTTAACACCAAAAAGGTCTGGAACTAGTCCCTAGTTCACGCAAACCTTTGAACCCCCAGATAGTCCCTGCTAGAGAGGTAGTACTTTCCTGAGGAGGAAATGGTTCGTGGGTGTGTCGGCCACACTAACAATTTCTGATTGGCTGGGCGAATTGCAAAACAACCCCGTAAAAGTTTTGTGAACCCAAAGCAGAAGAAGAAGAAGTGACGTCAGCGGCTTCATTTGCCTAATCCTCCCTCAGGGACTTATTCCGGTGAGAACGCGATCTACTAGGACAGTTCGAGCGACTAAAGAGTTCGGTGGGAACAAGTACCAGGGACAAGTACCAGCTAAGTACTTGGTGTGAAAGCGGCTATAGTCGCTGCTAGAGGCCCGATGTTTTTCCGCCATTAGGGCATCTTCATGAACAGACCGTTATCCATGGAAGGGACCGGCATGGGGCAGGGGAACTGGAAGAGACTCATGTCTGCTGTGAGGGCAGCCATGGCCGCTGGGTCGTGCTCGATCTGTGTCCTCAGGGCGGGGTCAATCTTCTCCAGCCGCCTCTTGATCCTCTTGGCCTCCCTCTCTCGGATCAGCCTGGCCTGCCTCTTCTCCGGCGTCTCATTGGCTCTTTTCATGCGCATGGCCTCCCTGTCTCTTTGCAGCCTGCGCGACCGCTGGTCCTCGGACTCCTGCATCCTCTGCATGCGCTTGGCCTCGCGGTCCCGCAGCCTCCTGACTTCCCTCTCGTCCTCCGACTCGCACGCCCGCTTGTTCTTCTTCGCCGTGCGCTCGCGCTCCAGTCGATACATGCGGGCCTCCACGGGCTCGTTCTTCCTACGCAGGGCCCATTTTCGCATGGGAGACTGAGCCTCCATCAGCTGCTGGTAGGCGATGCAGCTGTTGCACACCAGAAGAACTCCGGCGGGATACACCGGCATGGGGCTCAGGATGTCTGAGATGGGAGGGAAGCCTGGGGGGGAGGAGTTCAGAGCGTCGGGGATGGACCCCAGTGAGGGCCCGTCAGAGAGGAGGCTGTCGGGCAGAGAGGGAAAGGAGGGTCCTTGGTCAGAGCCCACGCAGGGTCCCAGGCCCTGACACTGCCGGGGGCCGTGGCACTGGCTGGGGTGGTGGTCTGGAGCCTGGCAGGTGTGATGGGCTTGACACATGTTGGGGTCAGGGGCCTGACATGGGGGGGGGGCCCTGACAGGAGCTGGGGCTGGGCCCTGCTGCGTGGTCCGGGCTGTTCATGGGGCTGCTGGAGAGGGACATGGAGCACGTGTCCCGCCCGTCCATCAGATCCATCCTGGAGGTGTCGATGACATCTTTCAGCTTCTCCCTAAGAAAACAACACAGTAAATAAATAAATAGCTGGTTACTTGTGCCTTGAGGCTCTCTAAGAAGCATTAGGCTCTGATACATATTTTCTCCTTTCTTAATCTGACGTCCTGATCACTGCATCCTTTTATGTTGGTGTGTTTTCTTTCACTTGCCTCAGTTGACACAATTCTATAATTACATTTATACAGCTTAAAAAGGTGAATGTTATGTTATTGTTTTTTTATTTTCTCCATTTCTTTGCTCATGTTCAGCTCTGAAGGCACATCAGGGCACATTTGCTGCTCTCTTTGATCAATTCTGTTCTAAGTCCTGTATCCTAGTTACTATCACCAGTCTGCATCAAAGGCTGATAAATACAACGATTTGTCGAATAACAGCTTGTATTGTTTGGAATATTCAGCTTGCAATATAAATGAGAAAAAATACACTTTACATTTTCTGTTGCTTGTATTCATGCCAACAGCTTGTTAGGACCACCTGGTCCGTATGGTTATATATTCTTAGACTCAAGTTATTCTGGCTTCATCCTGTTCTGATGCTTTCCCAACTATTTATCTGAGCGATGAGGTAGGCAATATGCCTCGTGACCTGCGTTTAACTAAGAGAGGAGTTTAGCATACTGCTACCGTATAACACATCTTCCTAACAGGTGCTTTAAATCTTCCTTTATTCACAGCTCATATAAATACACTCCATCACCATCAGCGCTCAGTTTATACTTATGGTGTTTTATTTGCAGTTACATCTGACTATAAGTATAGGTCTATAATTATAGGTCGTGATTTTTCACATTACATTTTAGATTACATGTCCTGACCTTGCCAGTGCTGTCCAAATCTGAAACATAATGGTAGTTGCTAAGCAACTTGCATGTTTACTTCCATTAAATCTGTCAAAGCAGTACTAATTATATTCATCCCTCATGCTCTGCCTCCTGCCTGATCTCTTACTTTGAGAAGCACAGCTCCATTGTGTTGGAACATGCTGAATGTAAGACTAATTATCACTTCATTTTCAGAAAGTTCTCTACACCTTTTAATCAACATTTTTATTAAAACCTACTTACGTCTTTCAAGGATTTCTAACAGATTCTAACAATTATATAAAAATGTTTTACTGCGCTATTTAAAATAGTTCCTCCTGCTAAATCAATGAGGTCTGCTGCCTTTGTAGTAGGTTGCTAAATAATCTGAAGCTTACTGAACCCTTAGATCTTGTTGAAAGGTTTAAAGATCTATAGAAAAGAGCAGCAGCAAAACTGTAAAACTGCATTTTGAATTATTGATTTTTATTATTAATTCATTTACTCGATAGCTGTGGAAGCAACTGACCTAAAATGTTTGACATAGAACAGCGTCATTTTTGATAGAGATGTAATTAATTTAAAATCAAATAGAAACACTTTGGGGCTATAATAATAAAACATCTAAATATATGGTTTATTTTTAAATATGAAAGCAATGGGGATTAAAGACTAGCGATTCTATGGAGATGAGCCAAACCTGTCAAAGTTGTTGGTGTCTGTGAAGCGCGCCCCGCAGACAGCGCAGTTGGACAGGCGGTCCTCGGAGTGGATGAGAAGATGGCGCCCGAGCGAGCCAGGCGAACTCAGGGCGCGCCCACACACCGGGCACACGTAGCTCTTACTGCTGCTCATCATACTGGTGTGCTGTTAACGACAGCAAAACAAGATCAGAACATGGAACTGGGAAAGAAAAGGACATTTAAAGTACACCACATACAAAATGAATGGACTCATTCAACATATTTCAAACTGTAGATAGTGAATTATTCAAATTGATCAAATATTGAAAATGTGTATATTATTCGTATCAAATCTATTTTGAGGAATGGTAAAAATAATAATCTTATTTGATGGTATGGGAGCGTTTTGTACAGTAATCTGCATGATATAAGCATGTTAAGTTGCCATTTTATCATAAATGCTGTTGAAAATCCTGGGAACTTCCACAATGCTTTTTTAATTAGTGCTCTAAATTGAACACTAATGCTGCTTAACCTTTTATTTTATAAAGTCTACGAGTATAACAACATTTAAATATGTTAGAAATACAATTATTTGAGAAGCATTTAAATATGATCTTCAGTGCCAAGAATGCAGACTGAGGGAGACGCTGTCGTAATTGCTCAACATTACACTCATCTGATAGCATCTTTAGCAACAACAACCACAAAATGCCCGCCATTTGCAAAAAGATATGAACATGGTTGAGTGTCAGCATTCTGCAAGGTATAACTCAGCTCCTGAATATTAAGTGATCACATAAACAAAGGACAGAGAAAGGTGTGGAGTCCAGTAAAATGAATGAATATTTTTGAAGTGTGAGACTCCTAGGCAGTCACATGACATAGTAAGCACTATATCATACAGTTGAGTGCTGTACTGATGCTGGAAGCCACTTAGGGGCTTTAAAGGTTACAGCCCACCTCCAGCTTATAGAAACAGACTGGACTGAGGGGTGTAAAGCTGTTTTTTCCCATGGCTCTGTACTATATTAGGACAGGCGAGACAGTGTTGTTTTCACCTGGTAGACATGGGAGATGAGCTTCTCAGGGCTGCTGAAGTCCAGCGAGCAGAGCGGACACACAAAGTTGATGCAGTTGTCTCCCCCTTCCTCGCTCTCCTGAAGAAAACAAGCACCATTAAAAACATGTCAGGAGAAAAACCATTGCTATATGCAGAACGAGTTTACATTACAAAACAACAAAAGAGGGAAAATGAAATGGAATTACAATCACAAATAATTCTGTGGGTAAAAAGCTTGTTTGGATAAAACAGTCTTTCTGTTGCTCAGATTGATCTTAATTCAAGTTATATTGAAATACTTTTAATATATAAATTGGCAGTAATCTGTTTTGAACTCTGATGACGTTTGCACTGCCATCTTTAACTTTGTACTTTTCAGCGGTGTTTCCGCTGTTTTCCGCAAAGTCAATAAATGCCAGAAAGTAATTATGTGTTAATGTGTAACTTATTAGAATTCAAAAGCAAAGTACATCCTCCTCTTTGGAACTTAGTATGCCGACAACTGATTATAAACATAACACGATGGATTCTTAAAAGCACGGCACATTTTTTTTCTTTTTTTTCTTTGTGGAGTCACTTCTCACTTTATGTTTCTAGCTGGAGCGTTTCTACAAGTGGTATATGGAGATGTGTTGAGAGCGTGATTAAGCAACATTTCCCACAAACCCCCAGTGATTCATTAACAGTGACTTGATGCTGTATGCTGTCACAGATGTGACTCACACACAAGCTGAAATGCAGGACATTTTCAAACAGAAGGTTTGCGCACAAAACATATTGGCTGATACCAGGGGTGTTCTGTTCAAGTCCATTAAATGAAAGTGCTTGCCATTTTCTTTATTGCGTAGGCGGATACTTTGTCACAAGTTGTCACATCCCACAGACTACAGAGATGGTTCCTGCTACTTATAAATACCTCGTATACCAATTTGATATGAACCTAACGATCGAGATGTTGAAGATGATTTAACAAATAAAGATCTTATGGTCAAAATAAGATCTTGAATATATATCTGCACACTGCCGTACAACTTCTTGAAACACAGTTTGTGTTTCACTGTTTTAATGGATGGTCTAATAAAAAGGAAACATTGTGTAAATGTCAGATGTACGAGATATCAGCACTTCCTGTTTCTATACCCAAAGTAATTCATTCAAATGATCTGCATTTTTTCTTAGCATGAACATGTATGCAACGAGGGCTGCAAATACAGATTATTTTTTAAATTGTATTGATTAATTTGCTAATTAAGTATTTTCTCAATTATTGGTTTGGTCCAATAAATGTCAAACATTGTGGCAAATGTCCATCAAAGTTTTTCAAAGCCTGAGGTGATGTCTTTATAAGTCCTGTTTTGTGAGTCCAAATCCTAAAGATATTCAGTTTAATATGACATAGAACATAGAAAAGATCCATGATTTCTGCCATTCTTGAATCTAATATAACTTAATATTCACTATCTGTGAATCCACAGTTAGTAAAATACGATATACTTGCGCAGTAACTTAAGCAAAACCCATCAAATACAGTGGTATGTTTTCCTACACAGATCCATATCCAAATGAATATTCACATCAACTGCTGTTTCAGGCACTGCTGGGGGATGAGAGATTAAGTTCTACATTTTCACAGCCAACAGTCTTGCCACATGTGATGTGCCTTGTTTCCCAAATGGAAGCTAGACCCCTACACTGTGACACAGAGCAGATCCGATCCATGTCAATAATATAGCTCTCTGGAGTTTGTATGTACATGCAGCAACACCACCAACTTCTCAGTACAGTGAAGGCCTATATTGTAACATATATTTAAACTAGACACTTTAAAATACTGTCAAAGGCATAAACAATACCACTTTAAACCAGGATTTGCCCCCCTCCCTCACCTCTTTGACCCCCGCTCCTTGAAGGCGGCACTGCGTTCTCTTGGTGGACATGTGGTCGTCAGCGGAGGTGTTGGAGGACGAGTCTTCACCGTGGTTGTCAAGGTCACTATCGCTGTCTTCTATGGAGGCAAACACATCCCTATCAATACAGACAGACACAGAACACAGAGCAGGGCTTACTCTCACTAACGCCCCTCAGTCCCAGGACGTCCCACAGAGTCCCTCCAGTGCTCCCCTGCCCCGGCCCTTCATCCTTTACCTGAGATGCTATCCTGCTCTTGTACTTCCTGGGAATTGTTGCTGCAGCATTCACTGCCTTCGGTGAATTCGTCCCTGCCGTCCATGTTAATAGTGTGCTGAAGTCCTGTGAGGCCTAAAGTGTGAAATGGCCCTGGAGAGAGAAGGAAAGCCTCAGTCAGTAACAAACCTGGTTAACTGATGTGGGTGCGGAATATGACCGTTTATAAAAGTAACATTTACGGTCCTTAATTATGATTTGCTGCTTAGCTTCAGCTAAAGAAGAACCCATTTAATTGGCGAAGAATGACTATATGTTTTCAGTGAATGATTGCAATTTTTTGGCCTATTTTATTACATATAGCCAGGTACAGTATATATAGTTACCGTTTCAAACAAACAATGAGCCACAGGGGGAAGTGGTTTACATTGATTTCAGAACAGCTAAGGGGCCATTAGACAATATGAGTTTCCTGACATCAGCAATTTTGTCGTCATGTGGTGTCTATGCATTAACATCTCTGGGTCTATAAGAGCAAATGAGCAATATTCAACATGGAACTTCTTTTGCTTTTGCGTCAATGAGAAAAAGTGCTGTGATTGTCTATACAGTTGGTGTTCAAGAATTACATCACAATATATATTTAACACCCTCAAATCAAATGCTGACAATATAGACAATATAAATACAATGCAATATAAATCAAATCAAGTTTTATTTATATAGCACATATATAAACGATTTTTCGACATATAAATACATGTCTTTGTTTAAGAAGAGCCTTGGTATTGGTCGTTGAAATAACAATGAATGAATGTTTCCACCAATCAATAATACAATTCCAGGAACTGCAAGTCAGTTTTGCAGTTGAAACCAGTGGGACGGGCTAAAGATGTGGAAATAATAATTGTTTTTTATGTTTGCATGTGCATCAAAAGGTGAGGAGGACATAAATAAGACACCAAGCCCGTCTATCAGGTTTCACGTTGTTCAAGCTGGTCTTTGTATGAAAATAAACTACAATTTCCTGAGCACAGTGAACCATGCAGGAAGAACATAAGTGTGTCTGTGTACAGACAGACAGGCGCTAGTATGACTTTGCACCATGGTGGCAGGACCTCCCATTGAGGGATTGGGTTCACCAAAAACATGATTTCCAAAGATATGTTGATTAGAATATTTATATTTCAATGAATTGTGTCTGTTTTAAAAATAGAATATCCACCTTTTCACCCATATAATGTATGCAGCATGATTGCTTTATCTCCATAGCAACATACTGTACAAAGAGACAGCATCTACTGTCAGGGCATACCACAAGAAGGTATGACTTTTTCCGAACTAGTGCTTCGCCTACAGCTCACAGTTCAGGATTTGTCCACTCACATACAAAGAGCCTCTCAGAACACTTTGCTATAATACAATGGTAGAAATGATTACAATAATACAAAATGGTGGCGACAGGAAGTGGAACCTATCATCAGAACAGCATAGTCCACCCACGAAATAAAAAACACTGTGCCAGATAGTGAATTATTTATACAATTCTACTTTTTTGCGTGCACTACAAGAATGCATTTTCCCCGATTTGGCTGCTTTTATATCAACAACCCCGCACTGAAACATAATGAATGCTAAGCCAGAGCCCACTGACATATATGTGCACACACACATTAGCTTAATTTGCATCCCAACCCCCACTTTTTCACACACATATACACTCGCAGAGACATGCTAGCTCTGTTCCACAGCTATGCTGCAGTCCCACGGGGGAAGCAGCCTGCACTCTTTTCCCCTAGCTAGCTGCCTTGCTGCTCCGTGTGTTTCTCTCACTCTCTCTCAGTACCACCCACACACTGAACAGCCTGGCTCGCCCTCTGTCCTCCCTGCTTGTGTGTAGCTCTGACTACTTCCATATCTATACCATCAGCTCTGAGGGGGAGGATAACGCTTCATACCCTGAAGATAATATGTTGGTCAATTAACTCCTCGTGATGACACTATGTTTTGTTGGTTTTAGGTTTCTGGAAAGAAATCTTGCACTTGTTCCATTATCACACTTGACCCTGAGCAAACCTGTATTTAACTGCCAACACAGCTTCATTGAAGACAGTTCTGTTGAAAGCTTCTCTGGCATGCACACAAGAACATCCCACTGCAGATCAAATTAATGGCATCTTAAATCCAATGTTCTTCCCCCGTGTCTTCTATCCCTGTTATCTCAGATCAGAGATGGGAGAGAGATCCTGACTTGAGTACCCCTGAGGACTGACACCAAGTAATTACAGCCCCCGTCACAATCCTGAGGTATTGCTTGCGAGCGCGCGCAAGCAATGCAATACCACACACACACACACACACACACACACACACACACACACCACACACAACACACACACACCACACACACACACACACACACACACCACACACACACACCACCACACACACACACACACACACACACACACCACACACACACACACACACACACACACACACACACACACACACACACACACACACACACACACACACACCACACACACACACACACACACCACACAACACACCAACACACACACACACACACCCACACACACACACACACACACCACACACACACACACACACACACACACACACACACACACACACACACACACACACACACACACACACACACACACACACACACACACACACACACACACACACAGTTTCACTACTGGCGAGAAGTTAGTATGTGACGCACTTTGGGCCCTTTTCCCCTTTGAAACCAAAGCATTCATTAGCACTGGTAGAGTGGGTCTGAGTATTGAACTATGAACTACTACAACAAGCTGGCTTCACAGCGCATAGCCAATGATTGATGTGTGAGAGATACCCATCCCCCCACTGCTAGGGTTCTGTCTGTACATCTGTCTCTCCTCACTCCCCCATCCTCCCTCCCTCAGTCTCTGCCACTGTGATGTTATCTCTGAGTCTGTGTGTCTGTAGGCAGGAGGTGACGCAGTGTCTGACTGAATCCAGACAAAGAGACAAACTCATCAGCCAACAGACACAGAAGAGGGAGAGAGGAGGGTGGTGTGGGGGGCGGGGGGGATGATGGCAGTGGGGGGTGGAGGGGCAGTGCTCAAAACAAAACAGACAAAAGACAGAATGCCAAAACTCTACTCAAACACCAAGCAATGGGGGTCCTGTTGAATTCAAAGCCCCCTCCTTCTTCTTTTCAGACACCAAAAACACACACATGCAGACACACAACATCGTCTGACTCTGCAGGAAGTGCTGGGGCCCCTGTCTTGCATATTCTCACACACACACACGCAGGACAGCGAGGATGGTGGTCCAGACATATGATCAATTCTCACTCTAATTAACTGATGAGATAATGTTACAAAGAAGAAGGCAAAGGGATTAACCATTTTTCTATTCGCAGGAGATTTCCACTAGTGTGGCCCCTGATATATACCTAAGTGCCCCTCCTTGATCAACTGAAAAGTAATATTGACATTCCTATTGGGATTTTAATACAGCCCCACTGTCAAAGCACAAAGCCATCACAGATGTTCAAGACACATTTGTGCTGAGCTAACTTGGGAGAAAACATGCTTGGAGAAACAAAGTTGTTCTGAATGTTTACAGTAAAAGGCCTACATGCACTTTAACTGTCTATAAACTGTCCGCCTCAAGGACAAAGACACTTCTCTCCATAAAGCATACACCACCTTCAGATCTTATTAACTTTTATACAATGCTGTTGTTATACATCACACTCAAGGAGGAACTCAAAGCTAGACAGACAGCCCTGTTGTATTATTGTCTGGAATTCCCTCTGTGTGTGTGTGTGTGTGTGTGTGTGTGTGTGTGTTCTTCTTTGTGTGTGTGTAATCAGCCCGCCCGCCTGTCAGACTGTCTCCCTGCCTGTCTGGTCTGTCAGTCTGTCTGTCTCTCTGCTCTGACTCTCTCGGGGGGGGGGGGGACAGCTCTGAGCATGCAATTCATAGCTCACAAGAAAAGACAGGTAAAACAATCAAGGCAGAGCAGAGGAGAGTCAACGTGCCGAACACAGTGCCAGAACTCGCACTACAGTGACACAGCGGGAGGCACAGCTTGTCAGATCCCCAAAATGTCTTGGGATTTGTCACAGCATGAGGAGCAGTGCACTAACACACGCCAGCATTACACTGCTCCAGAACCTCCTGAGGGGTTCAGCTCCCGCTCTTGACTCTTGTAGAAGCGCTACAGAGCAGCAAATGAGCCCATTAGCCTGCAGGGATTACTGCAGTCGCGAGATTTCAACAGCAGTTTAAACGAAAGAAGGGCTGCACATACATAACTTCAGAAGATTACACTAGACAATCCCCTACTGTGGACTGAGGCGTGTTCAAGAAGTCAGCATGATGTACACCAAAAGGGAGGGGGGGGGAAACCACTAGTAGGTTATTCACATCCGAAGTCTCCAAGGTATTTCTTAGTTTGATTAAAGTTAACTTTGCAAATTTGTATGGCAATATTTCATTACAATGTAAAATTGTTCAGTTCAGCGTAGTGCCACTGGCAATATGTGGGTGAGCTATGCATACAAACAGAGATGTGTTAGTCAAAACAAAACTTATAGTAGCAATTAATACATCTCCTTCTTAAGTTGTAGAAAAGGACACAACATACATTCATCAACAACTGTCATCTTACAGTGCAGGGCAAGTGCACAGATTTTAAATAGCTTGTGTGCTTGACGTGGCTGCAAATAATGATTTTTTTGATTATGGACTAATCTTCCATATTCACACATTTGAAAAGCTGGAACCAAAGTATTTGAACATTTGATTAAAAGTCAAATATCTAATGCTTTGTATTGCTTTCGTGTCATCATGTGCTGGAACTGAGATGTCAGATCAAATAAATTGACAGCATGCAGTGTGAAACAGAAATGCTTGTCCCTTCTGATCAGCGTTTACAATATGCTATTGAGGTTCACTACAGATCTGCCGTTGATCAAATCCCGACATGTGTGTTTTTTCTAAATGACAGCTTAAAACCAAACCCAGAGACATTACTAGCCCAAAGCTCTGAAATGAAGAAAGACACCATCACAGGGCTTCTTTCGCACCAGTCTTCTAGCAAGACATACACATAGTGATATAAGCTACTACCCCCCCACCATGCATCTGAAACTTTGCACAATTTAAAAGGAAATCAAGGTGATGAGTACAATAACACATTATCAATATCAATTGTCGAATTTGTCAAAAATAATGACAGACACTTTCAAGGAATTTAAGTATTACCATTGATATGCTAATCCAAGTTTAAAAAAAATTATACAATAACTAATCTTTTTTTTTTGTATTCTATTGCATTTACCTGGAGTTTGATTTAGACAATGAGTGTTGCTGTGCACTTACTTAATTTCAGTATTTTTAGTGATCATACACGTGTAGCTATAGCAACTACTACTTGGACAAATTAAGAGAAATGGGAAACAAACGAATGTGCTGCATTGTCAAACAAACTGCAAATCAAAGTATCATATCCACCACAACCACTAACAAGAAGACATGCTTTTTATGACTAAATAACATATGTATAACATTTGAACATCAGCTGCTGAAACAATATACTGTGTATATGCATAAGAGTATGTGATGGTGTCCACTGAAGGCTTGCTTTGGTTTAACGCATCTGCATGCTACAAGATGTACATACGGATAATGGACGTGACATGGACAATACCTGGAATACCTACAGTCAACTTTGAAGGGATTGTTCTGTTTTCGCCTGGACATATTATATATTGTAAAAACCCTGGAATCTCCTCCTAACCCCGCACGGTTTCCCTGAGACCGGTCCAGGTGTTTTCCGCACTGAGGGGACAGATGAGGAACGAAATACTAATAAATAAATAAAAAACGTGATCAATTCCTCTACTCGATCAGCGGACCATTTTACGGAGTTAAAAACCAAAAACCGGATACATGAAAGAGTCACATTCTTGCGGCGGGTAAAATAAAAATCCCCGTCTCCGGTCGATCAGTGTTTTTTAAAAGATGTCCGGGCCCGAGCAGAGAAACACCGAGCGGACCCGAGCCGCTGGACTCACTGCAGCGACGCTCAGCTGATCTCTAACAGCAGCGAAGACACACCGAACAGGATTGTGGGATATGAAGAGACGATGGGGAGTTCATGCTAAAGATACTGTGGTGCGTTCAAGTCATGTGGGAGAAATAAAAACCAAGGTGGTGAGAAACTACACAAAATTACCACATAGGCCTACTATCTCAATCGTATAAAATGTGGAATTTAATTTGAAAACACAAAACAGAATTAGTAATTTGATTATTTTAAATGAACACTGATGGGATGTGCCTTTTTCTGATATCTTTGAACAAATTGAAAAATTGTTAAATGAGGTAGAAAAAAAACATTCTGCCACAATTTTTATTATAATTTTTTTATTTGACAGTAAAGAGAAATCTTAAAACGAATCTGATTGATTTTCTTTCAAATTACAGGTATTCGGGGGTGACCACATATTTCAGTGTCTAAATTGATCTAAATTAGTCCCAAATGAAAGTAGTCTATTTTTGACATTTTGTCATATTCAATATTAGCTGCAAGTAGATGTATAACAGTAATAGGATAGTAGTAGCTTTTACAAGTCTCAAAAGGGCTAAATCCTAAAACCATAACAGCTAATGAGCTTGCAGTGTCAGCGGATTCATCTTCATGACAACTAGGCACAGAACGCAACAGGAAGCAGTATCCTGTCATAGTTTAAAAATAAACATTAAAAAAGAAAAAAGCAGATGTTTTGTGTTACACAAATGTATCAAATAAAGCTCTACCAACAACATGTACCAACAATATATCTGATGACAAATAATAGACTTAAATTTGTTTCAACTACGCATCACACAAAGATGTTTGATAATGATCCGTTAACTTGGTCATGATGATTGTGATCAAATTGTAGGCAGGACATTTCACACTTGAAAATCAAACTTGTCAGTGCTCTCTGGTGGACAAATAGCCCAAAGACGACACTGCCTCTATATGACCACAAAGATATCTCTGGTATTTCTGAATTGCAACATTTTGTCACTTATCATCTAAAATATACATATACTGACGGTGTCTTATCGGCAGATAATGAAGGTTATGGTTTGAAAAAGTCTGGACCCTTTCAGCAATATTTTCAAGATTGACACAGCAAGGTTATGTGCCTAACTTTGTGTTCCTACTGTATTATAAAGGCGCCTAGAGTGAAATAATGCTGATAGGCGTGTTGTTTGTTCACTCAGATGATAAGCCTCTGGGCTGGCTATTCAAAAATATAAAAAAGTGACTTAATGGGTGCGTAGTGCGTGTGTTTATTGAAGTGTTGATTAATACACTCTAAAGTCTGCAGGTAGGACTGACAATAGTGCTGTGCAAAATGAGGCTTAACAATATATAGCATTTATTCAAGAAGAAGGCCAAATTGAATGAACGTATGAACGCACATGAAAATTGGCATCACATTTTTAAACAAACTATTATCATTTAATAGGGTCATTTCCAACTCTGGCCTCATAACCAGCAGGAACTATGTTCTCGAACATAGTTCCTGCTGGTTATGAGGTTATGGTTATGTCGAATATGACAGCAGGGATGTGAAATTGTGAATACATGAAAAAAAGGCTCAACCAAAGTCTTCACATGATATCCCAATCACTGCTATTGCTCTTAGAATCATAACAAGGACTCATATCCTTTTTTTTTAAACCAATGCTTTTGGTAAAAGCCTTTTGATTAATCATTGATTATAGCTAACTGTTAAGTTACTCCCATTACATTTTGTGACATTTGATCCCAATTCATCTAAAAACAGACCCAATTTGACAATATGTGATCCTAAGTACTCCATACAAGTATAGTTTAGCGATACTTTAATTGAACATTTAAAATTGTTATAAATCTGACATTGTGTTTATTTGACAGATAGTCCACAAATGTGTATCTTTCAATGTCAATATGTATATATTTTACTTTTTAGTTCTGTTGTAATATCTATTTTGAGATGTTTATATTTTATATGTATGTACTCTTTTTCATTTTCACATTATGTGCAATGCTTTGTTTAAATGCTGCTATGATTGAAACATTTCCCAAATTGGGATCAATAAAGTAAATCAAATCTTATTTGATCTTAATAATCTACTACTACTATTTCCATTCCACTAGGTTTCAGAGAGAAATACTGCCCTTTTTAAAACAACAACACAAATTAATGAGTCACATGCATTGCATTGTTATACAGCTAATATAACCACCTAGCAGTATACAAAACAATGTAATTAGCACTATGTCAACCCTCTACAAAATGCATGTTACTGCATCAATAGTAACAATCCACTATTACAACATATATTCCTGGTATTAGTGCTTTTACTTAATAAAAGTTCTTAACACTTCTCCAACCACTAAACAAACTATACATCAAGCCCAACCTACGATGCACTTCCTTAGACAGCACATTACCACTAGGTGGCGCTCCAAACCATGGACTGCTAATGTCATAACATTTCATGTGTTCGTCATCACTGACTGCCACGAGTAAACGGACCGCAGCACGACATTGACAGGGTAAAAATATATTCTTCCGCAGGGTTAAGAGAAAATACTGCCATCTCAACAAAATAATCTAATTTTCAATGTTAGCGACAGACAGCATGCGGTTGAGCTCAGATTTAAAGCCACGTTACACACGATTAGTAGAATTAATAGAGATCCAATAGGCTTATACGATCAATTAGATAACATTAGCTAGCTGGCTAAAGATAACAAGCCGCACGTTAGCCCTTTATAGTCAGTGGCGAGAACGCTTACTAGCAAGACAACGACAAGCAAATTATCACCAGCATTAACAGCAACTTGGATACATCTCGTATCATGAAGACATAATTCAACTATTACCCATGGTGTCCAGTGAGCACTGGCATATCAGATGTATCTTGCAGAGACTGGAGAAGTCCTCTTCTACAAGCTATCGTTACTGTACGGGGATGATACACTCTGTCCGCGCTTCTTTCTCCAACCTCTGGGATATGTCAGTGTAACCCTCCGCCTGCGGTAGATGTGCTGAGGCTGGAGTAGCCACCATTTTGCATGTCTAGTGTGTTCCTCCCTCCATTGCTAATAGAGACGATTCCAGCTATTTTCTGGCATCATTACGGCTAGTGAGTATGTTCTAATAATAATTTATCGGCAGGAATGTATGAAAATGTCTTTACGTGTGAATAACTGTCAGGGGTTTGCTTGTATCTACGTTGACAACTCTCACTGTGTCGCTGCATAGGAAGTCGCAGCCCTCAGTACACCGGGGTTGTGCCTGTCAGCGGCTAACTTAGCTAGCATGCTTAAAGTCTCAGCCGTGCTAACTACCTGCTGGGCTAGGGATGTGGAGCTCAATAGCCATTTACGTGGAGTGGCTTTCCACCAAGTCATAATTATCGTGACAACACGTTATGCCAACTCTAAGTTTAATATTTATATAGAGAACCACCTAGAAGGTTCCTTACAATGTGCCATGTAGTTTAGACAATATTCGGACTAGGTAACAGAGAAGCAAACGAGTCGTCAGGTAGCTAGCTAACGCCACCGTGGAGGCGCTACCCTGATAATCCAAATGCTCCAAGAAGGCCTAAAACTGCATCATGTCCTGATCAATTGTCGGCCAGATGCAGGTGTCATGTCCAGCCTGTAAATGGCCTATCGTTTTAGTTCGACAATTTGTGCTAATTCTATTAATATCAACTTTAATTTAACAAAATCATGTCAGCCAAGGTGAAGCTACTGCTGTAGTGTCAACCTGATATGCTGCCCTTTCATTGAAAAATACCAATGGTAGCTTGTTGTTAGCAGACTTTTGGCAGGTGTAATTTGTATCCGCAAAAGTGGCAATACACACTGTACGTTTTCCTTAAATGTTTGTAATTGTATTAGGCGTTTCTAACCTTTGACCATTTTGTAAACATTTCACCAATAATGTGACGTTTCATTTACATTTCCAGGAAGCTAACGATAGCTAGCTTAGCATGTTAAGGACGTGGACTCCTTTTTACTCTAGTTTCACAAGTTTGCTTCTTGATGTCGACAACGTATTTCTTGAACACAGTGACATTAAGATAACACACATTTTAATATTTCCTATACGTTATCTTAGGAAGAGTATTTTAATTGAAAGCAATGTGTGGGTTAAGGAAGTCAGAAGTAAGTAGGAAGTTATCAAATGAGCATGACGTACAGTTTGGATGATACCTTTTACTTTTCTGTCACATCCCTTTATGATATCTGTACAAGAAGGGAAAAAAGTGCCATTAAATAGAAACTAGCTCCATGTTATGAACAAACTGTTTTACAGGAAACCGGTGTCTAATATAAAACTGGTGAAGAAAAAGCCAGGATTGAACAGAATCCAAATGTGTCCTTTGTGATGTTTAATAAGTCAGTGTGATAAAATGACGACTGCCTGAAACAAGACAGCAACGACTTTAATTAAAACATAACCTTTTACTCTGCCAACAGCCATGTGGTGAGTTACTTTTTTGGCAAAATAAGTACCCGAGCAGGTGCATGAAGTGGAGCTTTATTCAACAGCAGTTATGAAGTATTACCACCGTTTTAAAAATCAGACTTTCGTACACTGACTGAATGGAAAATAGCTCCTGCGTTAAAATATATATATTCTCTTGACATCAGAAGAGTTCTTTACACTTTCTGGTTAACACATTACTCGATACAGATATTTCTTCTATTCTTTACTCCCATATAGTAACGGCAGATTCACAAAATCAGTGGCGACGAAAGTAATGCAGGAGGTAGCATTAGTAGTGGTTTTGCAGCATTAGATTGTATATCTTTACAAGCCTTGTCTGGTTGCTAGTTTGCAACATAACTGCAAATAAATGACTATTGGTATATGTTAACTGAGCCTCTACAGCAACTGCTTAGTAGAGTAGCGAAATGCTGCCTCTGGTTAAAGACTTGAAGCCTCGTTTGCACACATTCATTTGAATTCCATGATGATCCTGTTGGTTGAGCTACTTCAGTGCCTCTCCCGGTTTAGTTATTCATTCTCATGTTTACCAAATAGGCCTAGTTAATATTAAGCTCAGACTCTCGACAGTTTCTACTAACATGTATATGTCGTAGTGGACTTCAGTAAGAAGAGGAGGAAGGTGGGAGGGCTGCAAACAGTGTTGTATACAAGCTTACTAACATTTGCACATCAGTGTAAACATCAGACCCCTTTTAACCCCTTGAAAAGCCATAAAGCGCAGTTCAACTCTGTTTTGGTGGGTGACTGAAAATGTTTACATGTGACACACTGGCCATCATATTTTCACTATCAAATACACTTCTTATTCTCCACAAAGGCACAGGACACAATGTTTGACTGCACGTTGTTCTCTCAACAGATAATCACTTATAGTTTGTGTTATAAGTAATAGAGTTGTCTCCTTTGATAGTATTTGATTTGCATCATAGTTGGGCACAGCGCGAGAATAAATAATAATTAGTGGTGATAATTATCGGTCCGATATTAGGAATTATGACGTCATCCCGATAAAAGTATTAATAGCCCCGATAATATACAATATATTTTTTGGGTTAAAAAAAAGATAAAAATACTGCGGTGTGGATTGGGATGAGGGGCGCTTGTTTTTCACTCGGCTCCTCCCGTTTTGCCAGTACTGTGGTATTAGTGGTTTAGGAAGAGGGGAGTTCTTCACAAATCCAGCGCTCCCTAACTCATGCCTGGCTGTGACGTAAATGGTGTGCGGCCGTGAAGCCAGGACAGTAAACAAACATGTCGCCGGTAGTATGGGACTATTTCAAAGTTTCAGAGTTAGATAGTTCGCTTGATATTTGTATTAACAAATGCAGAAGTTCCACGAGGAGGGAAAAAGGCTCCTATAATACTTCCAACCTGATTAGTCACCTGAAACATCGCCATCGCTACGATGGTGTGTTAAAAGCGTACGAAGACGCCTGCGCTGCTAAACTAGCGGCGAATCCAAAGCCAGCTGCAAAGGCACCGGGGCTTTTACCTATCGACGAGGCTTTTGAAAAAGGCAAGAACTTTATTTGGGAAAATAAATATGGTCACTTTGAAGAGTCAAAACTGTTCTTGGCTTTGTTTTGTTCATAGTAGTAATGCTCATGTCATTTGCTCACTACTAGTCTCTTTTTTACCACCAGGTGTGCAAAAACTACAGGTACATTTAATATATATATATGATATTATTATCGGGTATCGGTCTTGAGAAGCAGGAAGTTATCGGTATCGGTTTCAAAAAACCAATATCGTGCATCCCTAATAATAATAATAATAATAATAATAATAATAATAATACATTTTATTTGTAGGCGCCTTTCATGACACCCAAGGACACCGTACAATTTGTTAAAAAAAGAAAACGCTAATAGGCAACAGAACATGATAAAAACACAAACAGGAAATCATGGAGGAGACAATCAAGTGGACACAAATGAAACATATGCCATATACCAAAGGGCGGTGGTGGCGAAGTCCATAGGGACTTGGCTTGGCAACTGGAAGGTCACCAGTTCAAGTCCCGGAAAGACCAAGTGCTACCGAGGTGTCCCTGAGCAAGGCACCGTTCCCTACACGGCTCCCCGGGCGCCGTACATAATGGCAGCACACTGCTCCTAACACTAGGATGGGTCAAATGCAGAGAAACCGTTTCGTTACATAGTACCTGTACTACCTAATGACAATAAGTTGAATCTAATATAATATAATGGGGAGCACTACAGTGAGAAAGAGACAAAGTACATTTTTCAACAGCTTGGCAAATTGAGTGGGGAAAAGCCTTTCCCCCCCCACTGGTGGTGGCTCTGTATTTTCTTCATGTTTGATCTGTCTGATGATCTTTTAGTATAGCTTAACTGCAACTCTCCCAACAAAAAGGGCTGTAGTGGATATTGATTGAATCTGTGCTTTCCCTTTCAAGGCCTCATGGTGTTCAATGATCTAATGTAAAACTGTGTTTTAATTATGTAATGCTTCTACTAGTAGGATGTCTCAGACTGCAGGTTGATTGCTCCCTGTGGAACAAGAGAGGTGTGGCATGCTTTTTGTTTGTTGCTGGTTGTCAGGCTGTGAAAAGCTAATCTGGGCTGGCTCCCGCTCTCATGAGAGTAAAAGCTTGTTGTGAACATTTCACAGAAGATGAAAAGTACTTCCGTAAAAGCAAGAGGTGTTGATGAACGATAGCATTAGTCCGGTTGTTGGTTTAAAGACATTTAAAGCTCTTGGGTGAATAGACATAGGATGCCTTGCTTAAAATACCTAGAATCCTATTGTGTTTTTTCCCTTAACCTTTTGGCGCAGAGGGAGCACCTGCATCTATCTGCAGGTGCACTGTTAGTGAACACCACCTAAATCTGTGATCTGGCTTCACAGCAGCACAGTTGCCTTTTTGTCTGTCTTTGACTAAATCTGACCTTGGTGAGTGAACCTGAGGCTATAGCTGCCCAGATACCGAGTCTTTAATCCACCTCAATGTGCTCAATCCCTCCTCCTAATTGTTTTGTTCCAAACTAATTGCGCTGTTCTATTTTCAAGAAATGGTGATGATGATATGAATAAAAATGGTAATTATTGATAATAAGAATGACTGAATATGCCGTACTGCAAGAAAGAGGTATTGTAATTTCTTCAGCTCTCAGCAGAGGCTGGATTTAGCTTCTTTAACCTGTACTCATTTGATTATAAGCACAGCGTGAGGAAGGAGTCATTATTTATGGGGCCCAACACTAGGCCCTTTCAGCTCAGGTCATTTAAAAGGTGTTAAGACGGAGAGTAGATCTTTGACTTTATGAAAGTGTGGCCTTTCCTGACCACCCACCCCATTCCTCATTGATCACAGTGAGTTTTAGATTCTCTACAAACCACCACCTCATGTAACAAAAGATGTTCTCATTCCCGATTATGTCTGGATCCTTATTTCCCTTAGTGAACTGGCATAGTTACACATTTTTCATTTCATTTCAAACCTTTATTTAATCAGATCGGTCCCTTGAGATCATAGATCTCTTTTTCAAGGGAGACCTGCATTTAATCTCACCAGCGAGAGTTCATGTAAGTACAAAGGTAAAATGATTTGTTTCTAATGCAGATAAAACTTGTAATCTCCCATATTATAAAGGTCTTTAAAGAGGCAGGGGCGCGTATTTGTTCTGGTCGATTTAAAGCAACATTTTTCACAGTATCCTTAATCTATACATGCTCAAGTGATTTCTTTTTGTTGAGTTGGTGTCAGGTGGGAACAGGAGCTGGTGTTGATTTTCCATGTAAAGCTCTTTGGCAACTATCCAGCTCAGGATCTAGTAAGGTTTCCATAAGTCTTACTGCTAGGCGCCGCTCAGAGCAATAGCAGCTAGCTTTCTGGATAACACAAATGCTTAATATGAACTATAAAGTGTCTAATCTCACCTTTGAAAGTGTTCCAGGTCTTTTAGTTCAAAAAACATTTCCAAAAAGGATTGTCACGTTTTTAATTCTGAGGGTTAGAAAAACACAACAAAATGAATATTAAAAAAACCCAAATTGAAAACCAATACCCACCCAACAGCAGAATAACTCATTAGTCAAATGAATGAAGTACTGCAAGACAGTCTTCATGATTTTAGAGACGAAATGTGCCTCTTTATACGTGACCATCATTCATGAAAGTTGGATTAGAATTGAAAAATCAAGCACTAGGGATAGAAACAATCCAAAGAGGATCTAAATAAGTGTTCTTCCTTCTCCACTGGGAGTTTGAAGATATCATCATCTAAACCACAGATTTATAATATTCTGTATCAGTATTCCAAATGTTTTATGCATACCCTGCCTCTTAGTTTCTTGTCTTGGTAGGCTACTTAAGAATGGCTGATATACTCCCTTTCATAGAAAAACCGGCACGCCCTGCGCCATCAAAGAGTTTGTTTAACTTCAATTCTGTGACACGAGTTTCTTGGATATTACTTGGTAAAACAGCATTGTAACAGGACAGCTTTCAGTCATGTGATTACCTTGACTATGAGGCCTGTTTTAAAGAAGTATGCTCAGTGATCTATTTTTTTTTTTTTGGTCCATATACTGTAAACACGATATAATTTATTCTCACAACTGAGCATGTACATCTAAATATTTAACGCTCCTCCTGTGACCTAAAGCTTGTGTGCTCTCAGAAGCTTTCCACGAGGGAATGTAATTTCAGCTGCCACTCGCCTTTCCTCTGCACTTTGAATACTATTTAGAATTTCAGCTCTAAAAGGAATAGTTATGTTTGCCTCCTATAACAAATGCTAATCAAATCGTTTGCCTATGGTGTTTTTAGGAGTTGGGTTGTTTTCCAAAGGACACTTCGATTTTTTAATTTGAACTTGGAACAGTGAACATGCACATAAGAAATACTGTATTTGGGATAAATCTGGATTCTGCTGTTAACCAGATACTGTGTACATTTACATCCACAGCAATAACTTAATGACTTAGTCCGCAATCAAAAAGATAGTAATTTTCCCTATTTGTGTAGCTTATCTGTTTTGTTGTGGTTTAGTGTCAACCCTAATGCAATGTGCCAACCTGTATCTTTCCTTGTTGTTTCCCAGAGAATGCCAGCTCCGATCAGACTGCGGGAGCTGATCCGGACTATCCGGACAGCAAGGACCCAGGCAGAGGAGCGTGAGATGATCCAGAAAGAGTGCGCTGCTATCCGCTCGTCCTTCAGAGAGGAAGACAATACATACCGTTGCAGAAATGTGGCAAAGCTACTTTATATGCACATGTTGGGCTACCCGGCACACTTTGGGCAGGTATGTTGACTGATGGAACGAGGGTGACTGGGCGATGGGCAAACATCGATGGAGGAAGCTTATACCTGTGGAATGTGTTGTAACATGATGACTTGATTTCCAGCTGGAGTGCCTGAAGCTGATCGCGTCCCAGAAGTTCACCGACAAACGAATAGGTTATTTGGGAGCGATGCTGCTGTTGGACGAGAGGCAGGATGTCCACCTACTAATGACAAATTGCATTAAGAAGTAAGTGAAGGCAAAATCCTTAGTAAATATATTTTAATATTTTGCTCCTAAACATGTTTTTTAGAAATGCAAACTAATTAAAGATACAATTCATAACCTGTGTTTTAAATCATAAGGTGAATGCAATTTACAAACCCCACAATCCTCCTGACCTGCTGCTGGACCTGTCATAAGCAATCATCTTTTATCTTTATGTCTTTGTGTCCATGGCTCATTTATCATCTCTTCTCTCCACACAGTGACTTGAATCACAGCACGCAATACGTCCAGGGCCTGGCTCTGTGCACTTTGGGCTGCATGGGTTCCTCAGAAATGTGCCGCGATCTGGCCGGGGAGGTAGAGAAGCTGCTCAAAACATCCAACTCGTACTTGAGGAAAAAAGTAAGCGTCATTGTTGGCATGTTTGTATGAATACTTAAACTGTTAAAATCTGTGGTCCACTATTCTACAATAACTGTGTGCTAAAAAGAGTGAAACAGTGTGTCCCATGTTTTCCTCATTGAGTGTCTTGTGTCTAAATATTTGTTCCCAGGCGGCGTTGTGTGCGGTTCACGTCATCAGGAAGGTTCCAGAACTTATGGAAATGTTCCTTCCAGCCACAAAAAACCTGCTGAGCGAGAAAAACCATGGTAAGTGTGAACGGTTTGTCAGGATGTAGTTTCTGGCCAGTGAGGAAATGTGCCTGTCCGACAGGAATGCAGACGCTGTCCCTTTTCCCTGCCGCTCACTCAAGGTGCTTTGCTCAGAACACCTGGACAGCGCGTGTCCTTTGCAGAGGAGAGGGGGATTAATGAGTCTGTCATACACTCTGGGGCTGATGTGTACCCCACTTAGGGAGGAGATACAGTGCAGTATGTCACAGGAAAAGATCTTTTGTAATGGTACTGAAATCACTTCTTTGACATTGTGTGGCAATGCAGTAGATTTCTTTAGAAGCATTTCTTTAGCTTATTGTGTAGATCAATCGTGTCTCTGCTTCACATGCAGGATGGTGTGACATGGCCATGAGATACACAAACATGTACCAAGCTAAATTGCCAAATACAAACTGATAATCCATCAACATGTTGGATTTGTAAAGATGTCTATTTCAACTAGACCACATATCATACGTTTTATATAATGTGCATTCACTTTTATACTAACACACAAACCAATGATGTGGATTACATTTAGAAATAAATAACATCATTTTCTACTTAGAAAATGTCAAACAGCCGCTATGAGTTTAAAACTGTTGTCACACATATTTATGAGTGGGATCTGTGGCTTCAGAACTGATGATGAGTTTTCAACCTTGTAACATTCAGATCAGGTCACTGCAAATGATTAGCCTGCTGTGTGAGATATTTAAGATGTATGGTGCTGCCACCTGATGTCCCCGGTGGTTAATCATATGTATGCTAGTACATCATACTTTTTGACATCTTGGCTGCTGTGCAATTTGTTAGCATGGATCTTGATACACAAAAAAAAAAGCCTGGTACATGATTTGTAATGTGTGGAAGTCAAATATTAATCGCAGCATGGCAGATTACCTCTTGACTGATATGGGCACACAGTACGTAGACGTTGTTTAAGACGGACTATATTGTTGTCATCACGCCTGTGTTCAGGCCGATAAAAGCACTGAGCGGCAATACTGGAGCATGTTCACTCATTTCAATGAGAACTCTGCATGACTCAGCAGGGTTGCCAAGGCCGAGGGCTCCTGCAACAAAGTTGAACCTGGCCAAAGTTTGGTTAGGCCTTATTAGGCCCGGCTCACTTTAATGCTGCGCTTCCATTACAGTTTAGGAACTGGGGCAGTTACTATAGTAACGCAGTGTAGGCGGAGCCGTGACGTCATCTTCAATGAGCGCCCCAGAAAAACAACACAGCCGTTAGCTGTTAGCACTCAGAGCTCACAGCTCCTCATATCTGTTCAGAAACTAGACACAAGTTAAACAAGTACAAACCACAGACTGCCTGTGTCATGGAGAATACAGTCGCTGGTTTATTTATGTCTGTATAGGCCGTTGTTGTGAGTGTGGACGGTCGGAGCATATATAACGTTAGCTTAGCCAAGCTCCATTTAGAAAACACGCATTTTAAAAGGGTTTTTCGCCTGCCGTCTGTCTGCAGACTTGTCAAAGCATTAATTCATGGTTGTTACTAACCGGTATCAGTATGTTGTTACTTCGGCATCATTTTGAAACGTGTATTACAATTAAATCACGGTCAAATATGTTCATCTTGTTGTAGTTGTAGCCCCCTTGCCAGCGATTCTCTCTCTAGTTTAGCATACTCAGCCCGACTCAGCCTGGTTGTTCCTGGCCCTAGAACCACGATTTAGTCGGGCCAGAAAAAAGGTGAAAAAGTAGCCCCGGGCCAAAACTATGCCAAGTGGAAACGCAACCAAAAACGGGCTCGGCACGCTTAAAGCGAGCTACCCGCTGCAGTGGAAATGCGCCATAATTGACCTAACACAGTGGCACCCACCAACATGATCCCTTGCGTTTTTATGTTGGAGAAATGGGTGATGTTTAACATGTTTTTCTAACTCTGTCTATTCCCCAGGTGTTCTCCATACGTCAGTTGTCCTCCTGACTGAGATGTGTGAAAGAAGTCCTGACATGCTGTCCCACTTCAGAAAGGTATTAACAGATGATCTCACCCAAAGGATAACGGACTAGAAACGTATGCATTCGTCTTAAGCTCACGTCACATTTCATTCTCCTTTTGCGCACACATTTCCTTTTGGTCTAGCTAAGCTTAATAAGAAACATGTTAAACTTGTGAGGCTTGGTTCGCGCTCCAGGTTTTTTTCTCTACATTCGAAGTATGTCTCAATCTTTGATCTCCTACCACTGTCTTTTCCTCTTGTATCTCAACTGCTGCTGTCCCCTTTCCTCCTCTAGGTGTAAAACTGTGCCAGAAGCACCACCCCTCATGCTCATGATCTTAACATTATTTTAAGCTCTCTGAAAGTGAATGATTTCCAGTTTCCCCTCCCTAACATCTACCTCATATTTTTTCTGTCATTTGTCTTTGTTACAATTCCTGCATTGTGTTAGAATGAGAAGGTAAGAGTACATTCTGATCTCATAGCTGGTGCATGCTGTGAATAGTAATCACCCCTCACACTCAGACGTAACCTAATTTGTGTTGAGTAATTTCATGTTGTGTTTTAATTTATAATTTGAATTTCCAATTTGTAAAGTGATCATTATACTATGTCAGTGTTTTGAATATTATAAAATAATCTTATGGTCCATTTGTCGGATACATTTCCCACTATTATTTTCAGTGTCATTTGAACCTAATCTGCAACTCATTTGATCACTGTTTTGAAAGCAATTGGGTGGTGTGTTTTCACATGATTGCCACAGGTGTTTTCACCAGAAACAGATGATTTCCACTGTATCTGTGTCACTGTTAGAGTATAGCCTATGTGTCGTGTCAGAAAATGTCTTTAAGTCACCACTTTGGCATTTTGGGTTGCTTGTTTGTCGTCTTACTCACACTAGAGGATTATCATTAGCGTTCCCAAATAATCCAGTCGAGGAAGTTTTGTCACGAGGCATAATATTCATATTTAAAGCTTAATAACCCAGCAATCTGTTTCCCATCGTGCTTTTCTTCGGTTGCATTTTGAAAACCGTTTACAAAGGGCAGAACATAAAACTGACGGGATGTTTTCTATATCATTTTGCTTTTGTCTGCATTGAATCAAAATCTAGTTTTAAATATACCTTTGTTTACTTGGAGACTTGAAATCTTCTAACCTATTTGTTTTTACTATGATTGTTTTGATTTAATAACCTCAAAAATGTGGCTATTAAATCACCTAACCTTGACTTGTAGAGATTTAGACTCAACATTATTATTCTACTTAAAAAGGCAAACATTTTAAACCCTTTGCTCTTCATATGACTGGCTGCCGCTACCAATCACAAACGAATTACCTTAAAAGTGAATGAAGACAATGTTATATGTTGAAAAGACAAAGTATGAAATCTAATAGACTTTTAAAAAAAATCAAAACTGTGATACCTTTCCTTTCTGTTGTCTTTTGTAGCTGGTTCCACAGTTGGTGAGAATCCTGAAGAACCTCATCATGTCGGGATACTCTCCTGAGCATGATGTGTCAGGAATAAGCGACCCTTTCCTGCAGGTAAACCTTTCTTTCTTCAGACAAGTACCCTGAGCTGTAGACTGTTGGATTGGCTCGATGCTTGTGCCATACCATGAGCAACCATGATCAGAACTTGTGATAAGGCCTCTCAGAAGTATCAGAGTAAATGAAAGGAATATTTTAATCTGTTTCATCATCGAAAGTGCTAAAAATGTCCTTATATTGGTGTGGATACATTTTTAATAAACAGGGATTTAGCAGTTTATTGAATTGTATAATCGCACACCTACATTTTAAACAGGGCGAGTTGTGCTTGTGAGACCAGAATTGACATTTTTGGGGATCAATAAAGTGAATTACATTTGGCAATTGAACTGACGGGATTGTACTGTGTTTTTCCTCCTTAGGTGCGGATATTGAGACTACTGCGGATTTTAGGCAAGGGTGATGATGACTCCAGTGAAGCAATGAATGACATTCTTGCACAGGTTAGGATTACACATCATCTGTTTTGGGCCAAAAGCTTCCTAGAGAGTGTTCTCTTGACAATGTGTGGTGTTTGTATTGTATATACAGGTTGCAACGAACACAGAGACGAGTAAAAATGTAGGCAATGCGATTCTCTACGAGACTGTACTGACCATAATGGACATCAAGTCGGAAAGTGGACTGAGGGTGAGTGAAATTCATATAAAGGAAAGCTTCAAATGAGCTTAAATAGACTTTTCTTTTGCCTAAATGCCTTTTATCTTCCAGGTCTTGGCCATTAACATACTCGGTCGCTTCCTTCTTAACAATGACAAAAATATAAGGTAATTCATGTGCTTTCAGAAGCTGACCTTGCACATCGAGTCCTCCAAAAAGCCTTTATTCACATTTGAATGAAATTGTCCTTCCAGATACGTGGCATTGACATCTCTACTAAAGACGGTACAGACGGACCACAATGCAGTGCAGAGGCATCGGAGCACCATTGTGGATTGTTTAAAAGACCTGGATGTGTCCATCAAGAGGTGAGTCTCAAGTCCACCCATTACTTCATGTACAATTCCATTTGTATTCATATTTAACCTTGTTGTTTCTGACCTTTGTCTACTTTTCATCGTTGTGTAGACGTGCAATGGAGCTGAGCTTTGCTCTGGTGAACGGGAACAACATCAGGGGCATGATGAAAGAGCTGCTCTACTTCCTGGACTCCTGTGACCCGGAATTCAAAGCAGACTGCGCATCAGGAGTCTTTCTAGCTGCAGAGAAGTACGGACACACAGACTTCACCACACATTAAACCTGTGCTCAGCTGCTTTGTCATAATTGGGTTCACATCCAGTGTGACCTTGGCTGCAGTCGTAGAATGAAAACAAATCGCATGTCTCTCGTACATTGATTGAAATGGACATCGTCAAGGACCAAGACAAGATGCGATGCTGAATGATGATAAAATGAGTGATCCATCGTCTGACAGACCATGATGATACCATTTATTTTTTTCTGACAGCTTTTGTCTCCTGTCTGTGGAGAGTTTTGATAATTTAGCATGTTCAGGATTATTCTTCAGTGCTTTGCTGCGACTAATTATTGTTTAATTTGTGTTACAGGTATGCCCCTTCGAAAAGATGGCACATAGACACCATTATGAGAGTCCTGACAACAGTACGTATTACACCCACACTGTAATGCCTTTGATTGTTGTTTGTAATTGATTCTCAGCATGGATAATAATAATAAGTATTACCTCGAGTACCTCATACAAACTGGTATTAGACATCTTTTAGCATTGTTCATTACAACATTTCTGGTAATCCTTACAGGCAGGGAGCTACGTGCGAGACGATTCTGTTCCCAACCTCATCCAGCTCATCACCAACAGCGTGGAGATGCATGCCTACACAGTGCAGAGACTCTACAAAGCACTGCTGGACGACATCTCCCAGGTCAGTGCAGCTGTGCTTTGGGTTATGATTAGATTTGGTTACATCTCTGTCTTTGATTCATATAGACACACTAGCTTAAGAGCGCAGCAGAGTGTAATCGTGTTTCTGTGTGTTCTGTAGCAACCTCTGGTGCAGGTGGCGTCCTGGTGCATAGGGGAGTACGGAGACCTGCTCGTGTCCGGACAGTGTGAGGAGGAGGAGCCCATCCAGGTACAAGAGAGAGAGAATCCTGGTCTAACACGTACACACACACATGGACTAGGATATTTAACCAATGTTGTGATATGAGACTAGATATTGTGTCATACTTTCCTGCATTATAGTAAAGTGATTTAATTGACCGTTTGTTGTACCACAGTGGACAGAAGATGCTAATGCAATAAAATGCTGTATGATGATAAAATGAGTGATCCATCGTCTGACAGACCATGTTGATGCCATATATTTTTTTCTGACAGCATTTTTCTCCTGACTGTATGGAGTTAAGATAATTATCAACAATATTGTTACAATATTTATTTTTAGGTATTTGGTCAAATATATTGGAATATCTTGATTGCCCAGCCCTCACATAGACACAAAAACACATACGCGCACATATTAAAGACCAAACTATGCAGGAACCTCAAACACTAGGTCACCAGATGTTCCTTTCTTCTCTTCCTTTTGATGAAAGGTGACTGAGGATGAAGTCCTGGACGTGCTGGAAGGCCTCCTGGTGTCCAACCTGTCCACACCTGTGACTCGGGGTTACTCCCTCACCGCCATCATGAAGCTGTCTACTCGCTTCAGCAGTGTTAAGTGAGTAATGGCCTCTTAGACATTTGGGTGCTAAGGTAAAAAAGTTCACATGCTACTTTTCCTCTTTTCTAACCTTTCACATTTTATTTTTATTTCAGCCGAATCAAGAAGGTGGTCTCAATATATGGCAGTAGCATCGATGTGGAGCTACAGCAGCGAGCTGTGGAGTACAACGCTCTTTTCAAGAAATACGACCACATGAGGTAAAACTGCATTACTACCACATTCTCACAGATCCAATATAGTGCAGTAGATAAGGATTATTCTCCAGGTGTTCTCTCTGCTTACTCTTTGCCTTTTCCCTGACTTCAGGCCAGCTCTCCTCGAGCGAATGCCCATTATGGAGAAAACTGCTACTAATGGCCCCACAGAGATTGTGCAGACAAACGGGGAGACGGAGCCCTCTGTTGTGGAAACGAAACATCTACCACCTGTCACCCAGCCAGCCAATCAGGTGAGGGCAGTTTTAAATACCTTATTTTGGGGAAATATTAAGGACCATACACTTCTTTGTTTGGAATTAACAGAATACTTTGAACCATGAGCTGTTTTTGGCAAACAAAAAAAAGTGCACTTGATCTTTACTGTGAAGTAATTTGACTGTGAAGATTTTTAAATGGTTTAGATGAAATTTGAAAATAATGAATGCAAGTCTATTGATAATGATTAATTATTTGTTATAGAGTAAACATAGATACTGCAGGTATTTAATGATGTTGACATGTTTGTTTTGTTCCTCAGGCTAATGATTTATTAGACCTGCTGGGTGGTAATGATGTGCCAGTCATCCAGACCACCATGCCCACCAAGCCTGCCTCAGCTGGAGGAGAGCTGCTGGACCTCCTGGGCGACCTCTCACTAAGTGGTAGGATTCTCTCTTTGAGCTTTATGTTGCCCATTTCAGATTTAAAGCAGGGTGAATGTGATGTCCAACATGTGCCTGCTCCGTTTCAGCAGTGACTTAGTGCTGACACTGTCTACTTTTGGTATGAAAAAGTGAACCAAAACCCATGTGTGTGGATGTCTCCACTCTCCAGGTGGCCCAACCCCAGCTCCTGCTCCTTCTGTTCCCTCCTCCCAACCCTCTTTCCTCCTGGACGGCCTCTCCTCTCAGCCCCTGTTTAATGACATAGCAACTGCAGGTGAGAGTCTGTTACCCCCCTTCCCCATCTGCTCCCAATTAGATGGAAGTCTGTGTTTTTGTCCTTGTGTATAAAATCACTTTGTGTGTTTCTTTCCTTGGATTGCCATAAAACGTCCATTGAAATGTTAGATTTTGTATTTCTACATCTCTTGATGGTCTGTTTCTCTGACATCTCCACACAGCTATTCCTCCGATGACGGCATACAACAAGAACGGCCTAAAAATAGACTTCACATTTGAGAGAGCTAATCCCAATCCAAATGTCGCCGTCATCACCATCCATGCTTCCAACTCGGCAGATGCGGACATGACAGAGTTTGTTTTTCAGGCTGCAGTACCAAAGGTAAGCGGGCACATTGTGACATTGATGTTAAGTGGCTGCATTTAAAAACGCTCAAATGCATAATGGTGAAGTGTAGAATTGACACCAGATTAAGTTGTTTTAAATAAGACACATGAAATTATAAAACATTCAAAATCATTCTACAAATCCCACATTTGGCAACAGCACCACCCTGAGTCTGTTTGTCTAGAGAGAAAGATCAGCTTGAGATGTGTTTGTTGGTGAGATCTGGCAGCCATGATGGATCATCAGAAACACAGTGAAGTTTATTTAGCTTAATCCTTCCAATTTCATCATTTACATAATTGAGTCATTTAAGCTTAAAACTCATCACTTTTGGTCGCTGTCAATCAATGTTTTAATAAGATTTTGGATATCGTCAAGTGTCGTCTTTTCCTGCATTACAGTTGGGGCTGCTCAATTAATCGTATTTTAATCGCGATTACGATTATGGCTTGCAACGATTATGAAAACAATGTAATCGAAATAAAACGATTATTCTTTTATTATTATTATTATTATTTTTGGTTTTTCAGTTGAATTATACTTAAAGTTCAGGGTAATCAACTGTTAAAAACATACTGTTCACATTTATTTTCTCCAATAAATGGATGTTTTCAAAGTCAATGACTAATCGCATTTAATAATCGCAATTACAATTATTGACCCAAATAATCGAGATTATGATTTGCCATAATCGAGCAGCCCTAATTACAGTAAAGTGGTTTCATTTTTTCTTCATTTACCGGACAAAAGTGTGTTTGTTGTACCACAGTAGACAGAAGGTGCTAATGCCATAAAATGCTGAATGATGATAAAATGAGTGATCCATCGTCTGACAGACCATGTTGATGCCATATATTTTTTTCTGACAGCATTTGTCTCCTGGCTGTAGAGGGTTTAGATAATTTAGCATGTTCGATATTGAGGTATTTGGTCAAATATATTGTAATATTCGATTTTCTTTATATCGCCCAGCCCTCACATAGACACACATACGTGCACTGTGAGCATCCCTCCTTATGCTCCTGTAAGAGTCCATTTCTCCATGGGTGTCATGATATTTTCATCTAACATAATGTCTCGTATTTGTTTGTCAGACATTCCAGCTGCAGCTCCTCTCCCCTAGCAGTAACGTTGTCCCAGCACTCAACCAGGGAACTGTCACACAGGTCATCAGAGTGCTCAACCCACAGAAGGTGAGTTTGTCCTGCTTTTTAGTTTGGTTCATTTTGTTGTCCTTTTGAAGAACATTTAGCATACGTTTAAGACAAGTGCCAGTGTCAAATGATTTGCAAGAATTTTTATAAACATGATCCCCCTCACCACATTTCAGCAACAGCTACGAATGCGGATCAAGCTGACGTATACCCTCAAAGGCTCGCCTGTGCAAGACCTGGCTGAGGTTAATAACTTCCCCCCTCAGTCCTGGCAGTGATGAGCTGCTTTTGTTGCTCCTAAAAGCCCCCCACCAAGGGAACTATGAAAAAGATTTTTCTTTCACCTCCCTCCTTTCTTCCGACGGACCCCCCTGTGACGTCACTGCAGTCAGCTGCCCTCCAGTTGCATGGGAAACAGCAGAGCATCTAACACAGGAGAGAGATACAGATGTTACGAAGACCCTATTGACTATTGACATCACCAGATTAATTGGGAAAACATATCAATCACTGAACTTTCTCTTTTTTTCTTTCTTAATTGGTTTCCATGATGTCTTTTGTGTAGTAATACACCCTCCGCCCAAAAGCATTACCACACACAAAAGCACACATGCACGCCATTTACTGTGGCACACTTCTCCTCTCAAGTCACTGTAGAGAAAACATGTTGTCCACTATGAGCACTGCAGTAACCATAGTTTTAATTTATAATTCAGCTCCAATGCAGTTGAAGCATTTTGCTCCATTGGCATTTATGATTGGCTTTCCTTTCAGTACATATGATGGCAGCAGAAAACGCTTTGAAAGGTCTACTTAGTGCAGTTGTAACCCCTCTACGCACCATCAGTGATATAACTTGTCAGAGTTGTATTCATTTTGAATTACATTAATTTGCTTAAAGCATGTTTGAGCATTTGTAGGATCACATCACACCTGACTCGAGCTCGGAGGGGAACTTCAGGTTCTGGTAGTAGGCGTCTTTATCCTATGTTTCTATAGGAAGCAGTCTACATTTGTTTTGTCACAATGATAAGAGCATAAACACATCCAACATGCCCGCTTTGATCACCTGCGGCTGGGTTTTCAGACAACATGCTCCAGCTTTTCCCACACGGCTCTCCTGAAATCATCTCATCTGTAGCTTTTAGTTAAAGATCTGTATAATAAATCCTACGGTTAATTGCTTTGCATAGTTAGGGAGGTTTATTCATTGGGATGGATTTCATCCAGATCTGAAATGTATCTGGAGATAAGCTGATGGCCTTTGTGTTTAAAATCTGCATATAAACTTGTCCTGCGTTTGTCTCTTCCGATACATTTCAGATGTGTTTCTCCTGGTTGAGCTTAGTCACCATGCACATACATGTAAATGAAGCCTGTTATGAATGTAGTTACATGCACTGAATGCTTTTTCCCCCTCAAGTCTTCTTCCTCATGGCTGTCTTCTTTAGGGATGTTCATCTTAATGGCACTATTTTTGTGAAGTATGTTTTATTTCTGCAGTAATTTGACTTAATTATTTATGCCTGATATCAAAGTGATGTGCCTTTCTGACTTTGCTAGATAAAAGCCCATGAACTATTGAGTTCTGTATGAGCTTCGTTTGTAAGTCCGCTTGTGCGCTGATCGTGTTTTCGATCGGAGGGAAATGGTCTTGATGATTTTGATTTTGAATCACCTCATATAATAAGTTAAACCTTTTCACTTCTTTGTCTCATCATTAGGTTATAATCAGTCACCAACTTATACTGGACTACCTTGATGTCTATTTGACAAAAACACATAATTATAGCCACACAATCTTGATTGCTAAACTGTGTGGCACACTTTCCATTAGAAATGCCTGTTGGATGATATTGATAAAAATCCTGAAGCAAATCTCAAAGATTATGGCAGCTAAATAGATGTAAACATTTGATAGGCTGCCATCGAAGTGTTTGTAAACCAGTATAAAGTACTGAAGTGTAATATCATTAAGATCCCCCGTCAGACACATGAGAGAGGTACTGTGACGGGTCGTTCTGTGGTGACTGGTCCGAACAGTTCTCTCGTCTTCAAATCAGAATTCTGACCATGCTGTGGTGGACATTAACCTCAATACCTCACAATGTTATCTCTTTCTGTTCACTTTCAGTTGTATTGGGTTGACAGCTTTGTTTAGTCATACATTGCAGTCAAGGGGAGCATCTGCATGAGAAACTAATGTTAGTTATTCATGTCATGACTTCAGACCAGCAGCCCTGCGATGCTGTGTTGAGATCCTCAGATGTTCAATCAGGCTGTATACTCATTTTCACTATGCTTCACTATCTCCTTACGTCTGTGACCAAATCAGAGAGACTATTAGCTTTGGAAATATGTTTGAGCTATGATGTGTATGGAGGAAATGATTTCAGTTTTTCTGCTATATCGGCTTTTTTTCTGTATATATTGAGGGCTTTTACAATTTTGTCTCTTGTACTATCTTTCATCATTTTTTTAGATACCATTTTCTAAAATTACCAATTATTCACAATGTATATTGTCTAAATTAATCTAGTCACCATTAGTCTATAAAGACTTCCCTGTATCATCACTCTCTCATTGTAAAAGATATATGATCTGCTGCCTGTACATTGTATATAGTTGTAAAACAAACAAAAGCTGATCAAATTAAATAAAACCCACATGAAGACTTAAAAGATTAGCTAGGAAGTATAATTGTATGCATATATGTACAAAAAGAACCTTAAAAGGATGCAATTGAGCTGCATTTGATTTACTATTCTTCATACATGATCGGATGTGTCATCTTTACTTCTTTTACAAAGATGGTAGGCTGCTTGTCGGGGTTCTGTTGGATATTGAAATGAGGGAAGATCTATCGTAACAGATGTTGTCTGAACGATGTACTGTACTACTGAGAAACCTAAGCACAGTGTTGCACAGCAGCAGAAGTGGCACCTTCATCTGCTTCCCTGCCCCTAAACGCCACATGTATCCACGCCCTCCTGCGAAGAGGAGCAGGTTTCTTGTCTCGATGTAACTCTTTCTTTGGGTCTAATGTGTTGTTTAGTGTTCTGCACTCTTGACAAGTTCAACTATCAAACTCCCCTCGACCTACAACATATTTTGTGAACTGATGCCCTGTGGTTCTGGCATGAAAGCTGTCGTGGTTGCCTGGTAACCTTGTTGTCTGCCATGTCCAGCACTTTTTCTAAAAGCATTGTGTTTCAAGTAATGCCACTCTAGGAGAATTCTAACCTCACTGTGATTTATTTTTCCCAGTTTGGTCAGTAGATTTCGATTTACGAGTTTTGTCTGAAAAGGAGCTGGTTGAAGTTTTATTTAGCTTTCTTTTATTACTCTCCTCGCTGATGTTATTTGCTTCTGTGTGACAGACCTTTCAGTTTTTCTTTGTACTCACTGCAGGAGGAGCTGTAACGCATCATGTCTGAGCCCTTGTTTTAAATTCAACTTCACATGGCGGTTAATCATGGCAGGGTATGAGAGGAAGGCAATGGATTGTTTTTTGTTACTACCCTTTTGATTTTGTGTTATTAGTGTGCTGCTTTACCAGCCCCAAAACAAGCCTGTGCTACAAGCTAAAAACCACAAGGGGGAGCTGTGCAAAACATGGAAAAGGAAGTTTCATACATCTAATCCTGAATGTTTTGGTTGGTGTTGTTTGTATTGTCTTCTTCAACAAGTATCTATCCATGTTAATCACATCTGATCAGCTCTTTCAATGATACCGTAAATCCATGCAGTTTCTAAATGTACAAATGGAAATAATGAACCCAACATAAGTGCTTTGGACAATTGTAACCCAAAAGGAAGAAAAGAAACGGAAACAAATACCCATCAGCGGTGTGATCAGCGTTTGAGTTGATGTTAGTGTGTGTGTGTGTGTGTGTGTGTGAGAGAGAGAGAATGATTGCGAAACAGAGAAAAAAATAATCATGCTTGATAAGAGCGTGATAGCCTGCGACATGTCTTTTATCTAGATAGGACATGATTTTTGGCTGCAATTTCAACTTTCAGCTTCTGAGCTGCATGTGAAAAACCAGTGTAAATAACGTCATTTCTACACTTGACCTGAGACTCTTTTTTGAAATGCAAGAAAAGTTCGAATTATAAAGTCTGTCACACCAGATTCATGAGTCAGTACTAATATGTACAATAGGAAGTTGTTCAAATAGCGCTCACAATGCTGTTATTGTTTTTAAGAATGATGAAAATGCACATCCGTCATTTGGATACCTAATTTTTTTGTATGGCTTAATCAGTGTGTAAAGGGCTTGGGAGAGCATCTGTATTGCCACCCATGTTCACTTTCCCTGTTGAATCAATAAAAGTGCATCCATTGTATTTTGAAAACAAAATCTGTTTAACTCCCCCGGCCTGTCCTGACATATATGGTGTCTGATTTGTTGGGGGAGGGTGAAGGCATGAGGTTCACTTCTTTCAGTCAACTTTGACATATTGAACTGAATCTCAGTTCCATGGCTTCAAGGTGAGTGTGTATGTCAGACTGAAAGTATGAAATGATGATTAAAGATGAAAAGTTGTAAACTATTAAATGGGATATTTTCAATTTATGCTGTGTATTCTTGTCTTTGGGTTGGAGTAAATGATCAAGCGAATAAAAAGTCAAATAAAAAAAAAAACAGTTTGTTTTCTTGGTTTCAGGGTGGACCATAGCTGTCTGATCTATTTAATTTAGTGCTGGCTTATTAAGGTTGTTTTTTTATTATGAAGTAATGGGTTATTAGAATACATTTATGTTTTGCTGTGCCATTTATACCAATGCAGCTATCTCTTAAAAATGTTTAGGTTGTGTAGACCATTACAAATCAAAAGAACCGGTATGCTCAGTGTTCGTACATTTTGTTCAAGATAGTAATTACAGTTTGCTAAATTTCCCAGTTCAAATTAATAGGTTTATTCAGTCTTTGAAATTCATTATTCTGATATACGCTATTCAATAAAGAAACCCTATTGAACTCCTCTCACCCCTGTACAGTTATTGATTATACCAGGCTATTATGTGTCATAACATTAACATAAATATAGAAACAGATTATCCTTTTCTTTGACATTATAGGCATATAAACCATGTAATAAAAACATAAATTAAATTATTAAAGCTAAATTAACTAGATTTTAAGTACAGACAAATTGCAGGAAACCTCTTCGAGTTCACTTAGTTCAGTGTAAGTGCTGCATATATACATAACAATACAATACATAACATTTTTGCAATTAATTAATGACCACAACATAATGGCAATGAGTGAACCTTTGGGGCGCCTGAGGGGCTGGAGCCATTGTGGGCTACATCTATCAGGTTTGAAGTCCACCTGTCTGTGATGAGTCCTCTACCTCTAGCCTGCATCTACAGATCATCGGCCATTGTACTTCTGATGTCTTCAGTCGTTTCTCTCAAATAATTTACCCACCTAACATGACAATTAACACCCTCCAGCATGATGGTTGGCTGCAGAAGGTACAATAATATAAAATACATTCATTGAATTACAAGTTTATTCAAAAAATAATTGAATCATGCTAACTTTACTGTGTTTTAGCTCAATTAAAGCAACATGAATTAGCCTGTACTATGTTAAAGTAGCTCAGCTCAGTTATGTACATTTTAAGAATGAAACATGTTTCAATGTGTAAAGAACAAGCACATGAGATGAATGTTAGCCAACGGCTAAAGCATATGGCATTGGAAAAGGCGCAAACTAGCAAAAATATTAATTGTTTGTGTTCAAGCTAATTTAGCAAGCTAGGTAGCATGCTAACTAGCTTAACGTTAGCTCTTACATTTGGCCTGAACAACTAATTTTAAAGACTGACCTTCGTTTCAACAATGTATGTAATGCAATTTACCCTTGATTTATGATTTGAAATTATTTGAAAATGTTTAATTTATGGCCTTATTAATATTTAACGTAATTTAATGTCACTAGTAGCATCTAGTTTGAAGGTTTGATAAGATAATATGTTGCTGAGTTGATATTGGTCCTGATGTTCCTGAAGGTTTGATAAGATAATATGTTGCTGAGTTGATATTGGTCCTGATGTTCCTCAGTTATTTTCCAGAAGATAAGTGGTCATAGAAACCTTATCCTTACAAACCGATTACCTCATTAATTTATATTAAAAAGTCTGGAGTTCGAAAAGGATTTCCCCCAACCTGGCAACCCAAACGTTATTTTTATTTATTGCTAATTAATTAAGCATTAGTTAAGCCAAGTGAATGTATATTAAAAATATATTAAAATTAATTAATGTAATTCTCTTTCCGTTTTGTTTATATAACGTTTTTATTGATGTTTCTCACTCTACTTTTTATTTTATTATTATTGTCTTGTTATTGTTTTTTGTATATTATCTTGCATTAAAGATGCCATATAAATAAAGTTATTATTCTTCATAGAAAACGGGACTGAGTATTGTTACATTAATGTTATAGATAGTGAAGCCCTATCATATCAGATATAGCTTATGATCACGAGTAGTAGCCTACAGTCTAGTTAACATCGCGAGTACGAAAGCACGCCCTCCAAGGGCATAACGTCATTTTTCGTTATGAATTGCATCGTGGTGAATGACTTGCCTTATGATTAATGTAATACGCCTCTGCCCTCAGAAACGGACCGTGGCTGCTGAATAATAAATACCCTGAACCCGCCCATTTAATGTTTATTGATCAGCTCTCCAGTAGGCCCATCTGACAGCAGTCAGATTCAGTCTGGATATGGCGTCTCTGCAACGACACGGGATGAATGTGCACCGCTCCGTGGGAATTTGTCACTCGCGTACCGGGACGACACTTCTTGTTTTTTGTCGCTTTTAATAGGGATTATTCATGGCGATGGAGGACGAGGATAATAATTCAGCGGTCGTGGCGACTAACACCCAAACAGGCATCAAGAAAGGAGGTGATGTCGGAGATAACGGGGCTTGCATTGACAGGCAGCCGGACACGGTGATCCACCGAGCGGGGCTGAATCAGACTGCAGGTCGCGGCAGCCGCAGTGGTCCCGGAGCTCATGCTGCGACGGGGATCCGGGTGCTAAAGGCAAGTCAAAACGACAGGATTTATTTACTTGTGATGCAGCAGGGCATTCAAACAAGGTGCTCCACAATTATGTCTATATTGTGTTACATGTCAAGGTTTTCTTACATTGCAGTTGGTGATTCAAACAGGGCAAAGTGCATGAGAATGAAAACGCATCCTTGTAATATTATGTAATGGCAGTGATACCCAGTGATTGATATTCTCTAGTTACTGATTGATCTGTAGATTATTGCCATTCGGTGAGGAATGTACCAGAGCCAATTCACACACACACACACACACACACACACACACACACACACACACACACACACACACACACACACACACACACACACACACACACACACACACACACACACAGTGTAGGTTGTTAGGGCTTTTATATGAAGGCCCACTGCTGAACAGTTCTTCTATGACATTTTAGGGCAAGACACATGATGTGTAATGAGTATGACATAAAAGTCCCTGAGGTAGCTGCTTCACAAGGCAATGATACACATTATACACACACACAATCTCAGCTTTGCTCTTCAATTAATGTGTATGCAATGTTGAGATTTCTCCTGTATCTAAGGGAAGAGCGTCACCCTGTTAATAAGCTCACTTAGCTTAAGTGAAATGTTAAAATATGTATTCTAACAGAGCCCATTGACCCGTAAAACAGTCAATGCGAAGGCAACTTGTCTTTTTCATGCTATTGGAGTTTTGCTTTTGAGTATCAGTGAGAAAATGCACCCGGGTGTGTTAATTTAATCAGGGGTCACATCCAAATCCCACACATACAGTAAGTGTTACAGTTACTTTCTGTATCATAATGAAATGACTAGCATTCAAACTGAGCAAGGGTAAGGAGGTTCTGTTATTATTTTACTTATCTGTCCATTTCTCATTACATTTACAGTATATTTATCTTATCCTCTCTGACTTGACTGAACATGCATGCTCTCATTCAGCCTGGCCCTGCCTCACATATCCTCACCTGAGAGCCGCCCTGTGGAGCTGCCCTGTGTTTTAGTCACCTGGGTTTACCTCTGAGGTTTCCACAGCAGCAAGCAGTGCTCACCTTAGACACACCTTGATGGTAGCTTATGAGGAAAGGGTATATGTCTTCTTTCCCTGTGGCCATTCTTCATCAACAGGTGGGAAAATTAAACTAGCCTTTCTCTGTTTACATTCCTGCCTCTCTAACCTCTGGAATAATCAATCCCCTACATGCAGGACCTATTTAGGAGTGAAAGTGAACATTTATTATTGACCTTGAAAATAGAAGTTTAACAAAATAATCTTAGGTAAGGTTCCACTTACTAGCTTAAGCCGAGTATACTTAATTTGTAGACCAAGACCATGAAATGCAGTTGTTTGTTGTTTAAATCCAGAAGTGAAAGGTGTGTGTGTGTGTGTGTGTGTGTGTGTGTGTGTGTGTGTGTGTGTGTGTGTGTGTGTGTGTGTGTGTGTGTGTGTGTGTGTGTGTGTGTGTGTGTGTGTGTGTGTGTGTGTGTGTGTGTGTGGTGTGTGTGTGTGTGTGTGTGTGTGTGTGTGTGTGTGTGTGTGTGTGTGTGTGTGTGTGTGTGTGTGTGTGTGTGTGTGTGTGTGTGTGTGTGTGTGTGTGTGTGTGTGTGTGTGTGTGTGTGTGTGTGTGTGTGTGTGTGTGTGTGTGTGTGTGTGTGTGTGTGTGTGTGTGTGTGTGTGTGTGTGTGTGTGTAAAATATTCCCTTTGTGGCTTAGCTCTCCAGAACAGTATCAACCCCCCATTACTGCAGCCACAGTAGCTGGTACAGCAGACCTTTCCTTTACTCACCAAACTACTCTTTCTTCTGACATTTCCCAGAGAGACCCAATTATTTTTGAAGTGTTCTTCCTTCACAATCAGCAGAGAATTGCTCAAAGGCCATCTGAATAGCACCAATGAATGAGGCCCAGATAAAAACATGTTCTATTAACATTGGTGACACCTTTGAATCACCAAACTAGATGAATCTTCTGGCGTCAAGGTGCATCATTTACAAACTGTGAGTGTGTATGTGTGTGTATAATGCAAAGACGACATGCAGAGTCATGGTAGTGATTGGAAAACCTTTCAAGAGAGGCTGACTTTAATTTTTAGCACAATATTATTCCTTATTAATGTCAAATTCAGATATTTTAGCATTGCATCATTTAGAGGAGCAAACAACAACATGATATTCTGGTACCTGTTCGTAACGCAGTCGCAAAGTCCATCCTCAGCGAGAAAGGTACACCACTGGTTGCAAGAAGAAGTGTTATGGTATAGTTTCAAGCCTTTTTTATACAGCATTATGTTCATTCAATTTCAGATATGTGTTTATGTTTGTCTCATTTGTAGGCTCTTTAGGCACATTTTAAGTTCCAGTATTGACACAAAAAGCCCTAAAACCATTTTTTGATGAGAATTTATAGATACTTGACACGTTTACAATTTGCATCTACCAGCACAGATGTTGCGTTTAGGTAGACCCATAGCACCTTTAAGTACATTTCGAAGCATCCTTAAGTTCTTTAGGTTGTTAACATGTTTATGGTGTCAATCTGTGTGTTAAAATGACTCTCTCTGTGTCAGCAGCGCAACATGAAGCGGAATGGGAGTCGTGGCTGTGTGATGAGAAAGACCAGATTTGGATCAAGAGAGCGGGACTGGCTGAAGGGGGACACCCAGCGGGGCTGTGTGTGTCTTTATGGGGGGACAGTAGACCCCCAGCCACCTGCCTCTGGCCCACAGGCCTCCTCCACCCCTCAGACAGACCTGCAGCTGGTGCTCTGCTCCACCAGTACCACAGTGGAGGAGCTGTGTGCTCAGAGGGACGGACAGGGGCTCTACGTTCAGCTGCATGGAGACCTAGTCAGGTATGCATTAAGGTCATTCATGTGAAGTTAGCCTTTATAGATTTCCTGTGGGGAAATGTGTTCCCTCCATTTAAGACCTTTGACATAACATACTCATCCCAGACTGTAGTTTGGATTTGTGTGCCTTTCTTGTTCAAGGGCCATGGCAGGAGTATCCCAAATACCATGTACGTCTTTCAAAGCAGCAGAGTGATGCGGGTTAAACCTGACTCAGTAACTATGGATGGGCCGCCACATGCATGCAAAATCCAAGAGCTACAATCCTTCATCATCAGTGTCTTCATTCGATCTATTCAATACAGTACTGCTGTGCACTCCAAACATTCTGACAGCTCACATTCGCTGTGTAATCATGTTCATACACTGAAATGTCTAAAGTGAAAGAGATATGAGAGAAGAAATGACTTGAAGCGTAAAGAAAATGCTTCGGCTTGTACAGTTGAAAGATGAGATTGGTTTAGAGCTGCACTTAAAAATGTTTGTCTCTATGAAACCTGATGTACTTATATGATTCTGTTTTCTTCAAGTTTGTATCTTCCTGGTCGAATGCACTTATTGTAAGTCGCTTTGGATAAAAGCGTCAGCTAAATGCGATGTAATAGTTTTAAATCAAAGCACATCTCCTCCACCGGCCACACAACAACACATCTGAAATTCTGTACAGTAACAGCTAACAAAGGCAATCTAAAAGAAATGCATTTTTAAATAAACGCACAAATATCCTCCTTATTTATATGATATAGAAACTATACCAGCCATACACAGCACTGAGAACCTGCTGCAGTTACTCCAACGTCCCATAGTCTCACAGCACCTCCCTTTGGATGCCCTCAGGGAACATGACTGTACGCCTCTCAGCTCCACGAGACATATGTCAACGGAAATAGCAAATGACCCCTTTATTGTCTGTGAGAGAATAAAAAGCTGGTTCACTGATCCGTGACCAGGAAGGAATCTGGGCTGCTTCTCCTTTGCTTACCTGGCAAAGACAATGTGGATATGCAGGGACTAAAAAGAAAAAACAGATCCAGCTTAAATAACGGTGGCTTATGGAATATTCCATAAGAGCAAGTGATATTATAGTGCCACGTTTTTTATGATTGCAGTATTAATGGCGTGACAGTACCATGGTCATGATGCTGATAATGTGCTGAGAACATGACTGGAGGTTGTTAATCAATGTATAGGCTGTTAACCAAAAGTTGGATCCACTTACAGCATATGATCCGACTTCAATATATCTATGCTGTTTAAAGACGGTGGGCATTGCAGACTGGAAATATATGAAAGGCTTCTGGTAAGCCTGTGGATAGGCTCTGTTAGTTCAGTTTACATTCCATCAGTACACCATTTAAATTTCAGTCTGCCAGCGAATATGAGCAGGTGGATTTAAATGTTATATTAAAGTCTTCAACATCCCGAAAACTGAATCATCTCACGCCTAGACTACTGCAACTCCCTCCTGGCTGGTCTACCTGCATGTGCCATCCGACCTCTGCAGCTCATCCAGAATGCAGCGGCTCGTCTGGTTTTCAACCTTCCTAAATTCTCCCACACCACTCCGCTCCTCCGCTCCCTTCACTGGCTTCCAGTAACTGCTAGAATCCACTTCAAGACACTGGTACTTGCTTACCATGCTGCGAATGGATCTGGCCCTTCCTACATCCAGGACATGGTTAAACCGTACACCCCAGCGCGTGCACTACGCTCTGCATCAGCCAAACGACTCGTTGCGCCCTCGCTGCGAGGGGGACCCAAGTTCCCATCGGCGAAAACACGTGGGTTTGCTATCCTGGCTCCAAGATGGTTGAATGAGCTCCCCATTGACATCAGGACGGCAGATAGCTTGCACATCTTCCGGCGCAAACTGAAAACTCATCTCTTTCGACTCCACTTCGAGCGTTAGAACGATTAACGAAGCACTTTTATACTAATAAAGGACTGGCTTACCTAAAGCCAGTTGAGTAGCACTTGAAATGTTTAGCTCTATGAAACCTGATGTACTTATATGATTCTGTTTTCTTCAAGGTTGTGTCTTCCTGGTCGAATGTACTTATTGTAAGTCGCTTTGGACAAAAGCGTCAGCTAAATGCAATGTAATGTAATGTAATGTAATGTAATGTAATGAATGAATCCTTTTTTTATTTATATACACAAACATTTCATTCTAAAAGAAAAACAGCACACACTGTAAAAACAAGACATACATTGTTTGCTTTTATAAAGTTTGTCAAATACATTACTTGGAAGACCATTTATGATTGACCTTTAAAAGAGTGTTGTAATCCTTTACATAAAACATAATTATTTTTAAACAATAGTAACATTTTCTATGTAGTAGTTGATAATACATGCATACACTGTGTAAATGAACATGTCAAACATACAACTCTGTTGGCAGCTCTGACACAAGCACTGCAAGAAGGTTTTAAAGGGTTTAGCACAGGGTGGAAAGAATGGGAGCTATTTCTGGTTATTTTCTTTTTGTAGCTTGTATTAATATGCTGCTTACAGGAACTCATGGTCTGGGTATTTGCCTGCTTTGGGAACATTGTAATTTCAGTTGAGGAAACTTCCTGTTAAGATACATCTACTGAGGAAACTGAATTGATAGAGGATATCCATCCTTCCATTCATCCATTTCTGAGCCACTTACCTAGCTCAGGGTCACAGTGCAAACAGAGTGAGCAGAGCATTCCAGTGGTCTTTTTCCCAGCAGCAGACCCTTCCTTGGGGATGCCTAAGTGCTCCCATGACAGATGAGATATGTAATCCCTCCGAATGTTCTGGGTATGCCCGGGGATTCCTCTCAGTCTGTCATGGACACTTCCAGAGGGAGACTCCCAGACATTTCAACTGACTCCTCTCAGAGGAGATAGCAGCTTGATAACATGGGCCTCCCAAATCAGGAAGCTCCTCCCTCTGAGATGTAAAGTGAGGCCAGCTGCCCTGCAGAGGGATCTCCTCTCACCTGCTTCTATCTACAATCTGCAAGGCGAGGGCCCAGACCAATTGCAATTCAAGATTACCCTTGTGATTGGTTCTAAAAGAGCAGAAAGATTATCCTGCAGGATCAGGACAGAGTGAAAGGAAGGGGAATTTCATTAGGCACACCCCAAATAAGTGATGCAGGGCTATTATGTTGTAGGCTCACCACTGGCCAGGTGAAAGAAACAGCTGATGGAGGATGTTTTCAATAATATCATCATGCAAATACTTTTTATTCAACACTTTACCCTGTAATGATTGCACGATGTAGTTTAAAAATATGTTGGACTGCTATATGGCTAAAGTGTGTGTCCATAAATGTTATACATATCATAACGTCAAATAGAGCCATTTAGAAAAAACAGGCGTGCCCTCAAATAGTGTGATTTGGCTTGTACATTCTAAGTTTTGGAAAACAACAGTCCTTCTCTCAGCACTTAGTCTCCATGATAAGAAACTGAAACCATGATAAATGATCTATGATTGCTGAGGCATCACATTTCCTGCCTGCTAACCACACGTAGAACACACCCTAATAATATGATCTATCTTTCTTGTTCTTTCAAACCAAGTCAGTAATGCACATCCTGCACAACCACACCGTTTCCACTTGTTTTGGCTGATTAGAACTCCTCTTAGGTTGGTACTACTGAGTGGAACCAAGCTTATCAAAATGGTTATTGTGTCAAGAACATATAAATTAACCACAGTCTATGAACACCCACACAGTCTAAAGTAGTTAACCAAATTCAGTAAATTCGCCTCTGTGGACTCAACTGTTTCTGTAAACACGGGCTGCTGGGTATGTCTACAATAAATCAAGGGACACATTTCCATAGTTTGCTGAATAATTTACCTTCCAGCCTAAGGATGGATGAGCCCAATGGAAAGTATTTGAAAGGGATTTAACAGTGTCTTGCTTCATTGCCCAAGGTTGGAGGATTTGTGAATAAATTAGGCGTATCTGTGTTTAATGTGAGCGTCAGTGTGAGTGGTCAACAGGGACGGTCGGGGGTCGTCCTCTCACTGCCGGCCTGCCAGCAGTGGAAATCCAGCTTTTAGGTGTTAAGTGTTGCATCCACAGCTGTCTTTAAATCAAGTAACATTATACTGCAAATCATGTTGTGTATATTGTGCTTAAAACATTTCCATCATGCAGCACTAAGGTTTAAGGTTAAAAGGAAAATACTTACTTGTCAATTTGGAATTATTTAAAAATTAAGTATGAATATGTACCTTGTTTATTTTGCTAAATGTGAAAAGAAATGAAGTTTTCGACGAGGGACTTTTAACAGCTATATTCCAATGATTAGATATATCCTGAGGGATGCATATCAATGTCATCATCTCTCATTTATCTACTTATGTTGAGAACCAAATCATTGAAACGGCAGACACCATATCAATCACATTTATGGATTTTGCACAAGTGGATTTTTTGACTTTTTGGTCTGGTAACTTTGTCTCCAAAGGAGGATCCTGGGCGCTGTAAACTCTGTCCTCACTGTATTAACAAAACCCCACCAAAAACCAAAACCAGCAGTAAGGCTGTAGGTCATTTGAAACTTTACACATCTGTTATATTTAATTTGATGGATCTGCAATTTTCCAACTTAGAACTCAGCACCTCATGAACAGGAAAGAGTTGGGCTGTCTTTAGACCTTTCTTTTTGAACAGTCTTCTGTTTATTGACCAGGATAAAGGAAGTGTGGTTTGAGGTTAATGCTTCAGTGTGTGTGTCCAAATACTCTCCTTCTTTTGGTGCTGTAGGAGGCTGGACCCCTCTGAGCGTCCGCTCCAGATGCTGTATGACTACCTGGCAGCTATGGGCTACTCAGAGCCTGGACGAGTGCAGCAAGAAGCAGCTAACTCAGACCTCAGCTGTTTGATCCGATTCTACAGTGGTGAGTACTTATCGACTGGGGCCGTCATGCCCAACCTTCACTACCTGCAAAACATGTTTTAATCACATCCTCTTTTGCTCAAGTCTGTGTGAATGGGCAAGTGTGGGTGCATTTTAGGAATGCAACTTTGTTTTCACTATCAATTATTCTGCAGATCATTTCCTTGATTAATCGTTAAGTCGTTAAAATGACAACAAATTGTGAGTCAGTCAGTTTCTCAATGTTCAAGGTGATGGTTTTAAATATTAGTTTTGTCAGTCCAACACTAAAGGTGTTCATTTGAATATTATATAAAACAGAGAAAAGCAAACATGCCATAGTCAAACAACTATGTTGTATTTAAGAACAGAGATAGAGTGTGAGGGTGGGTCTCAGAGCAGATCAGCTGTTAGCGATTGTTTACGGAGGAAATTAGGGGTAAAGTTGTCTCATATTATTAAAATGGCAAGTTAACTCCGTCATTATGGAATTTAATGCAGCAGAGTTGCAGGAAACCTACCCATCATCCTCACTGGATTAGTCACCTAATCGTTGCAGCTCTGTTTCGGGCCAAAAGTGAAGCCAGTTGTTCTTTGAGTTTTCCTGAAAGTGATGCTGAAGCTAGAATTCAATAAAGCCCGGACACCCATCATGGCCTCATGATTAGTGACTGACCATCCCTCATCCTGTGGTGATTCTCTATCCCCATGTGGGCTGCCTTTCACCTGCTGCTGTCAACACATCACCCCAGGACTAGAGTGACTAAGTATCCCTCTGTCAGTGTGGTATATTAATGCACCAGCAGAATGGACGTAGCTCTCTGGAGAAATGTGTATACCTGCATGTATCTTCATACAGTTCGTATAAACCCAGAGCCATAACTAGCTTTCCCCTTTCGAGTCTTTGCATTGGTCACATGATACTCTTACATTGGTAGCAATTTAGGGATTTGCCATTAGGGTGAATTGTGAAGGACGTCCTGTAATGTGTTTCCAGTTGATAAACCGACTGATGTTTCTGCTGAGTCAGTGGAACTCCTTATGTTTGGGGTTTGAAGAGCTCACATGCTGCTTTGCCAGAGAAAAAGGGAGACTGAGCAAACCACGGCTCAAATGTAATTCCTCCCACATTAAGGACACAACTCTCACTACATTGAAATGCGGTGCTGCCACACTGAATAAGTATACAAGCCAAACAAAAATCTCAACAGCTTTGTATGGAAATCTCTGGTCTACTAACTGACTTTGAGGACGAAGCAACACATTTAGGGGAGTACATGCAAACTCTAAACAGAAATGCCCCATTTCATGCTTGATATAACTTTGAGGGTAGTAGCATGTTTGATGCTTAGTTGAGAAGTATTTCATATGAATCCTAGACTTCTCTGCTGTATAAGATGCAATGGAGTCCTGCTTTATCCTTTCATAAACACATAATGATACACATAATTATCACTTATCAGAAAGCAATTTGGCTATTAAGTTGTAGCTTTCTATATTTCTGACTTCAGCTAACATTCTCTTTATGTCCACCTGGTATCACAACTGTTTTTTTGTTTAGATCTCAAGCCCACTGTGGCCTCAGTCTTATCCCTAATCCCTGTGTGCAATGGAAGCTTTACTGTTGTTTGCTCCTTGCCAACATGAAAACTGGTCGGATCTTGGCTACTATCAGTAGTCAGACCACATTGGTCAGAGACTAGCCAGGCCCCCCTGGAGACTTCCTGCTTCCTTTTGTCAGCTCATGGGAAAAGAGCACCAGAGACCACGCATTATTGGTACTTGGGCACTCTTGATGCACCGCCAATGCAGAGAGCTCAACTTCATTTGGCCTTTTTCTTCCCCAAAAACTGTGAAATTAGTGAGAACTGTTTTGTAGTATAACTTGCAGGTTGTTGAATTATCTCAGTGTGTTCACCCACCCTCCCCTTGCTGGATTTCAGGAGCTTTCCAGTCACACAGCTTCACTAGAATACCTCAATTTTTGTCTGGCACAATGTAACTGTGGTTTTTCATTCCCACCCACAGTGGTGTTGTAGGTGGGCTGTAATGCATTGTTGAAACACACAACAAAAGCCTTGTTCTAATTAATAATTCCTTACATTTATTATAGCGCTTTTTCAATGACTCAAAGCGCTTTACATATACACACATTACACATATATGCAATGGTCATGTGGACAATACCCACAGGAGCAAGTTCAGGTGAAGTGTCTTGCCCAAGGACACACCGGCTTTACAGACACAGCAGCGGCGGGTTTCACCCCTTGATCTGATGATCATTGCACAGCGCACTGCGCCACACCGTCCATCTTCACGCCTCGAGGTCATCAAGGCGCTTTTACAAGTACACATTGGTATTATACATGTACTGTGGACAATACCCACAGGAGCAAATCCGGGTGAAGTGTCTTGCCCAAGGACATAATGGCCTGACGCAGTGGCGGCAGGAGCAGGTTTCGAACTGGAGTTCCCCAGCACTCCCCCTTGATCTGATGATCGGATGCACAGACCACTGCACCACCCGTCCCGTTCTGAGATCCCTCTCCCAGGTGCTTGTTTATTTCACAGCTGTTTTCAGAGGTAGTGATCTGACTAAGCAGATGGGGAAACTGTGGTCCCTACAGTACACTACATAACCGCCTGATGTGGTGCCCTGCAGGAGTAAGCTGGGCATTTAAAGGGAGTCTACATTACTGGGTCCTAACCTAGGCGCAGTCTTAAAATAAACTAAAGGGTGTCTTGCCATGCAGATAGTTCTGGTTTTAGGTATTTGTGGTGCTGAAATAACTGCCAATGAGATTTCTGTCACCACCACAATAGAACGGAGGTGAATGGGTTTTTGCTTATTGCTTTCACTGAAAACAATTGAACAGCATTGTATTTTTCTCTGGATTATCTGAATAATCCACAGACCACATTGGTCTTCATTTCAATTTCTTCCTGCAAAACAAATAACTGCTGTCTGTTTTATGGCCCAAATCATCTTAAGCCACTTAAGAGTATAAAGTGCAATGCAGCAGGTAACTCTTATTTGTTCAGGAAACTCATCTAAAACCTTCTCTACCCTCCTGTTCCCCCCCCCCCCCCCCCCCCCCCCCCCCCCGCACTCAACCTCCTGCTGTGGTGCACAGATGAGATGAAAACAAACATGGACAAGGGAGTAAACATTTCTAAATGCTGACTTAATAAAAAATGCTCCTAGTGAAAACACTGCAGAGACCTGAGGGCCAGTGGTTTTATGTGTCGGCCCATGCAGCTGTAGCACAGATGAAGCTTAACTGAGCCCTGCTGCACCTCACATATTTGAGCTCAGAGGCCTGAATCTGCTGGGCACCGTTCACATCAGGCACACTGTCAGAGTCTAAGCAGAAGGAAATAAGTCATCTAGGAAAAGTGTGGACTCGCCTAATAAGTTATTGATTTGGCTGGTGCTGATTCACTATTGGAAATGAAAATTAAATGAAGGCTGCCTGTGGATGTCCTAAGCTGTGACGATATGGACGGTGAACTTTGTCTGTTACTCCAAGGCCCAGTGGTCGATCACTGAGTAAAATAATAATAATGGCCTGAAGGAACAGACTGAAATCACAGTGGATAACCATGCAGAAAGTTGCTTCTTCATTTTATGGAAGCAAGGCAGAAAGACATGGTTTACAGGGACAAATGGTGGAGAAGCAGTCCGACTGAGATATACAGTAAGAGAAAAATGAATCTCTGTTGATCCGGGCTCCCACAGAATTGCCCCGAGCAACTCACAGAGAGCACAGTTTCTCCATGGTTTCCTCACAGCTCTGTGTAACGTGCTGTTTCTGTGATGGGGCTCCATTTCTCCTGAGGATTTTGTCTTTTTCATTTGAATCTATCATCCAAGACTCATGGTCAGTTTTCAAGTCAGAAGGCTTACTGCAAATGAAAAATATCCACCATGTGAAAGGTCTCTTTTCATCTGCATTCAAAAACAGCTTTGAGCTGTGCTTCTTCCATCTGTGTTCAGCACAGTGCAGATTTTCTCTATGGTATAATAATTACATCTTGTACAAAGTTTAAATTCGTTTTTTGTTTTTTTAAATAGAGGTAAACACAGACCACCAAGAGGAGGCATCTGGGTGGTGGGTTGAATTAGAATTTGCTGCCAAAGAGAGCTTGCTGTTCTGAGTCAAATCAGACTGTGTTTCCGCCTCCACTGACCCCCTACTGCATGCTAACGCAATCTATGCAATCTTGAGCCATACAAAAAAGCTCTGGGATACTGGGAGTATTGTGTTCAACTGAGTGCTCCACAGTTGCCTTAAAATCATGTGATTAATAACAGTTTCAAAAATGTCTTAACTGCCTCCAGAATAAGCTCAGATCTAGGGACTAAATGTGTTGCTCAACACAGATGAACATTGGAATACTGCGTGTTTACCATAAAATAGAAAGAACGACACCTCACGTGTTTCCTTATACCTCATACAGTAATAAATCTGTATGATGTCCTTTTGTTGTTCTATTTATGTTTTTATGTTTCATGTGGAACTACTTGAGCAGGTCTCTCTTGAAAAAGAGATCAATGATCTCAATGGGATTTATCTGTATAAATAAAGGTTTGAAATGAAATGAAATCATTTCAAATACTGATTATTTTTCTATCATACATTTATTTTTAATAGGATTTCAGGAGAATAGACGATTTGGTTCAAATCTGAGTGGTCCACTGTTGCCTAATACTTACTTAGTTCACATGTGTGATGGGGAATTTGATGATAAACATAATGTATGCTGACATTCACCAAAAGCATGCATGTTTATCATTCTAATTAGGAATGCAACTAACGATTAGTTGATCTGCTGACTAGTCTGAATATGCATCACAATTTCCTAGAAATCAAGGTATGGCATCAAATGTGTTGTTTTGTTTGGGCTAACAGTCAAATGACCAAAGATAATTTATAGGTTTTTCTGGAAGGCATTATTTTAGACACATTAATCATTCTGAGGCTGAAACCATCACAATTGTGGCTTTATTGTTTGGAAAAAAACAACTTCAACAATATTGGATTTCCAAATATTTGCAATTTTCAATACCACATTCAATATTATAAATTCATAGTTCAAGTATAAAACATGAAGATATGCTGTGACCCACAATATTATGAATATCAGTTACTTTCTCAGTTTGCTTCCTCTCAGCTTTCAAAAGCCAATCACATTCTGTCTTACACTTTTATCATATCCCCCTCTGTTCCTTTTCTCTCCCTTCTCTCTGTCACCCCTCTCTTCCCTTCTATCCCTCTTCCCTTCTGTTTCTTTGGGGATTGTAATTCATAAGTAATGGAGTAGAATCTGACCTGTTGAGACCTCATTGCTCATCTGGCATGCCAAGTGAAGTGAGAAGTTTGCAGGGGAGTGAAGGCCACAGCCATGAGATAAACACAGGAGAGATAAGAAGCCATACCGACGACTCTCTGATCTGTCACTTGTCACACAGTCCCTGTAGTTTGTCCGCCTCTCGAAGGAGGCCGCTTGACACATTGATGATTCGTTTAGTGAAGCCTCTCTGTGACCCTGCTCCTCCAGACCCCCGTAGCTTGGACAAAAACATCCTGCAACAGAAAACCCACAACTATGTCACCAAACCCCTGTGGAGCTGCTGGGAATGGTCAACATCATCCGCCATCAGAGGGATGGGATTGATTTGGCTGACTCCACAGAGCAGTCAGAGGTTGTAGAGACAGTATGGAGGTTTACCAACTCAGGCTGGACTTTGATTTTGTGAACAACCTGTTTCCGTAGCAACTAGTAGCCCCACAGGCCTTGAGGGATAGCATGTGTGTGTGTTTGTTTGAAAAGTTGTCTCTTTATGGCTTGGACTCTGATATTGTGTAAATAGGCAAATGATTTTCAGATGAGTGGTTGTATTGATTGATTTTATGCGCACATGATCAAGCATAGCTCCAGCAAACAACTTATTTAAGTGATATCATATTTTACTTATTGATCATTTTGTTGATCTTATAGACTCAAACACCTACACATCTATCCATTATAAGAGTAGGAATACAATTTTTAGCTTTATAAATGGCTCAAACAAACTTGATTCTCAGAGTAGTTGCAGCTTAATGGAATCGACTAATCATTTGACTTCTACTCCTTTCTGAGCCAAAGGGGCTTTCTTTTTTGGCATGTTTGCTCTTCTTTGACAGACTACATAGTTATGGGGGACTGAGAGAGTTATGGCATGCAACAAAGTTCCCAAGGCTGGAATATAACCCAGGACGCTGAGGTTATATTTCATACAATACAACTATCAAGGCATCCCAATGGTGCTTTGACTAATTTGGAAAGCAAATTCTCCCACAGTAGTGCAAATAATTGGTGGTTACATTATTACATTGCATTTAGCTGACGCTTTTATACAAAGCGACTTACAATAAGTGCGTTCGACCAACAAAATACAAACTTGAAGAAAACAGAATGTACATCAGGTTTCATAGAGCAAAAACATTTCAAGTGCTACTCAACTGGCTTTAGATAAGCCAGTCCTTTATTAGTATATAAGTGCTTTGTTAATAATTATATCGCTTGAAGTGGAGTCGAAAGAGATGAGTTTTCAGTCTGCGCCGGAAGATGTGTAAGCTTTCTGCCGTCCTGATTTCAATGGGGAGCTCATTCCACCATTTTGGAGCCAGGATAGCAACCCCACCAGGTGGTCTGTCTCATATGTATGTATGAGTCAAATAAATCCAGCAAAGAAAATTGCAGTGTTTGAATAAAAGTGTATAGGTAGGCTACAGGAGATAATAACTAATATAAGATATTTCTTGTTATAGAATGGAAGGTCACTTTGGACATTTTTAACCCAACACCTCCTTGCGGGTTTCATGGTTGAATAGAAAATCCTTCTTGTATAATGGGTGTTAAGAGGATTGATGAGCGGGAACAGACTGTATGCTAGCGTCCTGCAGTGTGGAGTGTGTTTCTGGTGTTTCTGGTGATACACTGTGAAGCCAGTGAGAACATCTTGTCAACCTGTGTCAGTTCGTAGCGAGTGGGTGCGTGATTATGAGTTTATTGATGTGTGCAGTGCAGTGGGCGAGTGTTTGCTTAATTACTTGTTTTAATGGGTTTATTCTAACTTACCCTCTCCACTGTTGTCTATAGGCCTATTACCGAAAAGCTTTGATGTTGTTGAAAGTAAACTACAATTGCAAATACTCTATTGAAGTATCTGAAGATATTTGTTGTAGTATCTTACATGGAAATGTAAGATGTGTGTGTGGATTCATTGCATGGCAAGAGCAGTGACAGTAATAACATTCTAGTTTGAAATATCAAAATTATATTTTTTAGGCAGATTTGCTATTTGCACCCGGGTGTCCGTAGCTAGCAATGCTATTTACACCCGGGTGTCCGTAGTTAACAATGCTATTTACACCCGGGTGTCCGTAGTTAACAATGCTATTTACACCCGGGTGTCCGTAGTTAACAATGCTATTTACACCCGGGTGTCCGTAGCTAACAATGCTATTTACACCCGGGTGTCCGTAGCTAACAATGCTATTTACACCCGGGTGTCCGTAGCTAACAATGCTATTTACACCCGGGTGTCCGTAGCTAACAATGCTATTTACACCCGGTTGTCAGTAGCTAACAATGCTATTTACACCCGGGCTACACTTTAGATACTGTTTTGGATGTATAGGTATTTATGGAAATGTTTCTTTGATAACTTCATTCCCTTGTGCTGCTGCGTCAAATTGTATTCCCCTATGGTGGATGTATAAAGGCACTTCTTATCTTAAGCAATGTAGCTATTTACACCTGGGTGTTGTACTGTATGCATCTCTTCAAGCTCTTTCTACGATTGCTTGGTAAGGTTACCTGAACATCAGGGACAAAGAACACCTGTGTTATATTGTGAACATGGCTGTAAGGTAATAAATGTCCCACAGACCCCCCTGAGGCTCTTCATGTGGTCCTGCTGGACGCTGGCAGGATCTGCGTCTTTTGGCAGGGCTTCAGCATTCTGAAAGACACAATTACACATTCATTTACAATATACAGTAGAAATTCATTTTACAAATTATTTCAGGCCCCACCCTTGTGTGGCTTTAAGTTGAACCCACAAACAAACACATAATAAAAAGGCACTTTTAAAATCTGTGCTTTTAAAAACAGTACTTTCCATCAGCACAAAAAGACCACAGCATTTTCACCCGGTTGCAAATAGACACTCCGTATTTTTTAACATCTTTCTTGGAGGAATACAAAAAAAAAGTATTTATTTATTGACACAAGCACTTACACGAAAGCTTTGCCTCAATACAATAGAGTCATAAAACTTTGATAGAAATTCAGTGTCAACAATAATGTAAAGAAGAATACGAATCTGAGAAAACATTCAATGCAGCCTTTAAGCCTTTAGTGCTACAGACACATTACAGTGTGTGAGTAAGAAGCATTGTGGTCCCTAACCAGCTCTATGTCCAGGTGTTTCCCCCAGCCCTTTCTCATAGCTCTTATTACCCACCGCTGACCCTGTAAGGGATTGTGTCTCCAATGTTCTCTCTTTGAGTGAGGAGACAGACACCCAAGGATCAGTCACTCTATTGATCTGCCAGCCAGCCAATTTGTTGTCAGAAGCACTTGGATTGTTCGTTATATGTTTCACTGGTGAAAAAAAAGAAATAGACAGCCTTTCATTTCATTTGGATGCCCTTGCAAAGCGAAAGGGAAGGTGGAGAGGAAGAGCGAGTCATACAGAACGAGGGAGAGAGAGCAGATTGCCAATAAGAGCTTCTGAGTGGGATGCAGCATAAGTTGGTTTAAGGAAAATGTAACAACAGAGGACAAGAGGCCGAGGCAGTGTCTCTTCTGTGCTGTTTTGACCTTTTATAATCCTGAGAGTACTTGACGCCTGGCATAGACAACATCCCTGCTGTCTGCTGTGTCCTTCAGCACAGGCCAGCTCCAGATGCCTGCTGTGCAGACTGGAACAATTTATTTGAAAAGAGCTAAACTTGACAAAACCCTGAGTCATTAACGATAAGACTGATGCTTCTGCCAGGTGAAGACAGCGATGGATGGATGGACGGACGGCTACGACGTGTTGACTGGCGTGTTGATTTATATAAAGTGAGGGAGGAAGAATTAAAGGGAAAAGTAAAGCGCTTGGATCCTTAAATGTGAAGATAAATTGAGAGCTGGCCTTAGGGTGAGCCTGTAGCTGCACCTTTACATCTGTCTTCTTCTGTGTAGGCCAAAAACCGACACCGTTTAACCAAATTGGCCGATTTGGCTAAATAAACATTGGATTCACTTGACAGTAATGTGTGTTTTAAAAAATTAAAGAAACATTTAAAATAGGCCCCCCTGCATGACCATCTTTTCCTCACTGTTCACTGGGCATTGTGTATCTACTTGCAACACATGACAAACAAAAAAACAAAGGATTGGTACAGCTAGAGAGAAAGAGATTAAGTCCTTTGTAGGTTTGAAAACTACTAAATCCAAACCGACCTGTATCCCACTGAATACCCCAACAAATATATGGAGGTCTGGGTTTGGTCCAGTAATAGCAGAAACTATAATAATGATTTATAATAAAGGAGTTTAATGGTGAACCTTTCTTAGCTTAACCCTGAAGATCAAACTTGTTATCATGTCATGAAATCTATCCAGATGTACAGGGTGTGAGATAATAGGGCAGTGTCCATCCGAAATGCTGATGTAAGCTCAGTTCCTGGAATGATTAAGCTAAGGCACAGACTAATATATAGGTGATATCATGCTGACCTGTGAGCATCTGCATGACTTCATTTTCTGGAAGCTTCCCTCATAATTGTGTAACTGCAGAACATTTGCTATTAATTAACTGAATTTCTTTCTCACAGGAGGCTTTGGGGTTCTTTTGCAGAAGATGGATGTCTGAAGATCGAAGCTAACCTCTCTCTCTCTCTCCTCCTCTCCTCGGCGTCTCTCTCTCCTCGCATCACTCACTCCTCTCTCTCATCTCTTCTATATATATCCTCTCCTCATCTCTCTCCTCTTCCTCTCCTCTCTCTCCTCTACTCGTGTGTGGGCTCTCCCTCCAGTAGCGTCCTGTGAATGCAGACCAGCAGGAGCGCACCTTGCTGAAAGGCGTATTCAGCGTCAGGAAGGGCAAGTCGCAGCTGCACAAGTGGGCAGAGCGGCAGGTCATCCTCTGCGGCACCTGTCTAATCGTGGCCTCCGTCAAAGACTGCCTGACTGGGAAGATGCACATCCTGCCCCTGGTGGGGGGCAAGGTGAGGGTTCAGTGTTTGGACATCAGAGAAGCTGGGCTGTAGACACACTGGAACAAGACAGCTGGTTCGGAGAGCTGGATACATCTCTCCAGTAAATAGATGACGCATCACTGCTGGCAGAATCTATCATCTTAAGCACTGCATCTCAACTGTGTGCTATGTAGGACACAGAATATATACACCTAAAGAAATAGAGCAGCAGATTTCAGTGTTACATTGTTCCAAAGACAGGAAGTCAATTCATTTGTTTGAGTTTATTTACTCCTGGCCTTCAATGGAAAATAGTTAAGAGCTTAAAAGCCATGGACAGTGCAGATTCGTTGAACACGTTACTACTTGCACACAGAAATCCACTATATCTCAAATAACAAAACAAAAGCAGGGCGATATTATGGCCTGGTTGGAATTGTACAAGCTATGTTACTGAAACACAGTTACACTCGTTTGCCGTTTTTGCTGTCACCTTGTATCACCTGTCAAATGAGGGCAACATTTTGACTCATCAATGAAATTATCGTAGAAAAAAGACGCTGTGCTGGAGGGATCTTTAAGGGTAAACCTCAGTTGTGCAGTTACAATTCATTCGTTAAAATACTTTTATTATTGCCGTTTCTTTCTCGAGCTAACTCACTCGCCTAAGGGATCAGGTTTGAACTTAAGAAATAAAAGGTATTTCTAGCTAATTTAAGTAAGAAATATGAGAATAACAATAAGCCAAATGACTCTAAATAATATATTACTATGTTATAATGTCAGAACATTTAATTTTTCCTTTACCAATATCATTGCAATAATGAGTAATGATAATCATCATGTTCCATTTGTGTTTTGTCTCCCAGTGTTCCTCCTTATCGTATCTGTGTATTGTCTTTGTATTGAGGTGGAGGAGGTGAGGCGGAGGCAGCACTGCCTGATGTTCAGCTCAGCCGGATCACAGGCCCAGACGTACTTTGTCAACTTTGACACACTCGCAGACTACCAACGATGGCATCGGCAGGCATCCAAAGTAAGTTATAGACAAAGAGTTTGTGTTACCTTGTGTGCGTGACACAATATGTGTTTTCTTTCTGCAGCAGTTTGTTTGTTTGCCTTAGTCCCGCTGGGTTTCTGCTTGAATCAGAGATTAACTGTTGGGACTACAGTTGCCTTCTGCCGGTTGAGTCTTCCAATCAGAAACCGCCTCTCTGAATGCGTCTGATTTGCTCCACAGAGGAAGACTCTCAGCGGTGTCTGACATCGATTGAACAGCGTAACTCTACTCACAAAGTTTATCTTTTCTACTTCTATCAGAGGGCTCTTCGATTTATTTTTACAAAGGCCCTTACCAGTAGAGGTTTTGTTCTAAAAGTCACTGTGGATTAGAGGATGCTAAATGACCCAACACATTCTGTTTTGGTGTTATACTGTGTGTCTTTCATCATCTTGCCAGGTTGTCACTGCTGTTCTTCAAAAAATCCATTGTTTCTGTTCTGCTCAGCTGGCTTTGTCTCTAATATCCTAATTAATGGCTATTGTACTGCTGCTCCTTCCTGGAGCTGAACAGCTTCTGTGAGAGCCTCCACCGAGGCAGAGCCAGCGTACAATTAGCAATGGAAGAGAAAGCCAACAGAAAAAAAAGAGAGGAATCCAATTAGTTGCAGAATCATGCTAAGTCAAGGATCTGTCTCTAGCATGGTGGTATGGATTACTGGTTTAAAGTAGCCTGTAGTGGCCTGTACTCAGGCTGAGTCTTAGACAAGAGGCCTTTATGGAGACTGGGGAAGACGACTGATGAATGTCTTCGGTGAATTTGGGTCAGTGTTTATGCTACATTGCCTAAATCCTAAATATGGTGTGCTCGTGTGCATGCATGTGTGAGGGAGACAGCAAGAATAGTTGTGCTAGCAAAATGTGCTTGTAGGACAGAACACAACAAGGGGAAAGTGACTCATGACTGCTGTGTACATATATAATCAAATCAAATTTTATTTATATAGCACATTTATAAACGATTTTTGGTCGAGCACAAGTGCTGTACATATAATAAAAATAGCCTACAGTAGAGACACTTTACAGCAAATACAACAGCACAGATTGTTCAGAATATCAGTATGAGAAAAACGACACCCTCTATCCTTAGACCCTCACATCGTACAAGGAAAACCTTCCAGAGAAAACCCACAGTTTAAAGGGAAAAATGGGAGAAACCTCAGGGAGAGCAACAGAGGAGGGATCCCTCTCCCAGGACGGACAGACGTGCAATAGATGCCGTGTGTAAATCGAAGAGATAATACATTTTACAGCATATAGACCGAATGATAATAATAAGAAGATGATTCCACGAGGATGTCAGCTACAATCCTGTGGAAGCCATCAGGGAAGCAGCATGGCGAGACCCAAGGCAGGACCGCAGAGACAGGTGCAGCCACGACCCGAACGTCCACGACTTAATCCAGAACTCGGGATAGAGGATCCAAGACACAGGACTACAGCAAGAGGATCAGCCTCGACTCCGGATCCCGGCGTAGATATAGATACAAAACAAGAAAAAAAGAAAAAAAATATTTGGCTGGGTTAATAACCCTCTAGAAAGATCTCATGAACTTCTCCACTCAATCTATCAAGACCCGAGCAGTTCTATTAGAAGTCCAAGGTAAAGGCACAGGCCGGCGCATACCGCTCATGGAATCCCTCACCATATGAACTCTGACCCCTCAAGTGTACAAGTGAAGAGACACCATGTGTCAGCTCCTTTTTAGAATAGTATTTCTTCTCTTCTCAGAGAAACAGGGGTATGAAAAGAACAGCCTGAAACAGAGGAAGAGAGGCACAACGTGACTACGTAAATGCACTCTCCTAAATATTAAACGAGTAAGAGGTGAAGAAACACAAAGCCAGAAATTGAAATGAAAAGGCACCATCATGCTTCCCCTTAGAATAGGGTGGAAATTATGAAGACCCAAATTATGAAGAGGGGACATGGGATACTAGTGAAGAGGGACAACAGTGAAAAGGCCCAACGTATCCAACGTACTAGCACTCTCCAAAGAGACAGAAAGTCAAAGTATACGCCGAGAGGCACAACGTAACTACGTAAATGCACTCTCCTGTATAAATTAGTTCAAGGGAAAGGGGGTGAAAAACTAAACTAATCAAAAGAAGGAAGACCAGGGTGAAATTGTAGGATAAGAAACAGAGATAGAGAGCACAACAACCTATCTCTTGGTCAGATGCACTCCCCCGCCTGGATAAGCGACTCTGTGCCCCATCCCCCTCTACCGGACCTTAGATCCGCAGAGGGAGAGGGGAGGGACCAACCCCAAGGGGGGGTTTAGGGTTTTAAAAGAAAACCCCGCAGAGATCCAAAAATGGATGAAGAAGTAATTACAAAACGGTTTATAAAACCAAGAGGTTATTCCTCATATTTCTAAAATGTTCTAATCTAATTCAGGGTTATACCAACTCAGCTCCAAGCAACCAGACGTAGCAACCAGTCAGTCCAGTCAGAACCTTCTCTAAGGTCTCCCCGCCCCCAACCTACTAATCATAAAAAACTGAAACCCCATAAAACCCCAATAATATTAATAACATTTAATAATATTAAAAATAGTATCAATTCTGTGGATAACTAAATAAATAAATAATTAAACAAAAGCCAGAGAGAAAAAGTGAGTTTTAAGTGTTGATTTAAAAACCCCCAGAATCTGGGCCAACCTCACATGGAGGGGCAAAGTATTCCAGAGCCTAGGGCCAGCCGCTGCGAAAGCTCAATGCCCTCGGGTTTTAAACCCGGTCTAAGGAACTATCAACAGCAGCTGATCAGCCGACCTCCTGCCTGGGGTGTAGCGATGGAGGAGTTCGGCTATATAGGCAGGAGCCAGCCCATTTAGGGCTTTGAAAACAAATAAAAGGAGTTTAAAATCTATTCTGAACCGAACTGGAAGCCAGTGCAATGAAGCCAGAATTGGGGTAATATGGTCATGCTTTTTATGGCCAGTAAGAAGACGTGCAGCTGCATTCTGAACTAGCTGGAGGCTCTAATTGAGGCCTGGTCCATACCCACATACAGAGCATTGCAGTAATCCAGTCTCGAGGTAACAAAGGCGTTAATAACCTGTTCTAGGTCTTTAAAAGATAAAAACGACTTGGTCTTAGCCAATAGTCGTATTTTGAAAAAGCAGGTCTTGACTACAGTGCTAACCTGCTTATCAAATTTAAAGGCGCTGTTGAAGGTCACTCCAAGGTTCATAACAGAGGGGAGGATATTTTTATTGAGGGAGCCCAGAATATCAACTGGGGAGACTGTTGGTTGAGGTCCAAAAAAGATGACCTCGGTCTTGCTCTCATTTACCTCATTCACACCAACGCAACTCCGGTTCAAGCTCCGTGCTAGAGCTTTTCAGGTTCAGAACCAGTTCTTCGGTTTAGCTCTGGCTCTTTTCACACCGCCCAGAGTCCGACTGGTAATGAGTGTTGTGCTATTTACTGAAAACCAGTAACTAGTTACCATTACTAGTTACTTCATTTCAAAAGTAACTCAGTTACTTTACTAGTTACTTACATCACAAAGTAATGTGTTACTGTGAAAAGTAACGGTTTTTTTCGTTAAAACAATGGCTCCCATTAATGCCCTTATAGCCTTCCTTTCAGTACTGTTATTGCATTGGAGAATAATACAATCTGTTGATCAACTTGACATGCATTATATGCAATCTGGATTGCATCGATATTAGCTGGCTTTCCATTTTTGTATATTCTTTCTCCAGGTAGTTGGAAAAAGTTTTCCGTCCCATATGTAATGAAATGTACTTTTTTTTTAAATGTTGGCTATAAGGGTTGTGCAATAGGTCGCCATTGTCAGTATGTGCGTCTGCGTGTATTGTGTTTGTTCAAACGGTGTATGATTGATGATATGTGTATGTCTCTTAAATGTCCACTATGTTTGTATATTATGTACATGTATGCGGAACTGCTGGACGGAGCCCAGAACGAATTTCCTTACGGGGACAATAAAGTATATCGTATCGTATCGTATCGTATGCCGTGTGCCGCCCGGACATGCTATCATGCTAACTAGCTCCCTGAAAGCGGGTGACTCCACTGTAGCAATAGCCTGCATGTGTTCTACAACATACCGTGCAATGGCTTTATCGACTTTTCCCTGGCTAGCAGTCCCTTGGTTAAAATCCAGCCGCTGTTGCTTAGGTGGAGGTGGAGTGGCGTCGGCTGAGTCTCTGTGGTCTTAGCTACTAGCTTCGTCCCAGCATGTTGTTTTTGCAGATGTTTTAAGAGATTTGAATGACTGGTTTGGGCAGTAGATAGGATCTTTGACCCGCCAGGACACAACTTACATTTAACTAAAACGTTATTTTCTTTGTGCTCGACAAAAGTGAAATAGTGAGAATATCTCCAGGTGGAGAAACTAGACTTGAGCTCCGCCGCCGCCATGATAGTCTTGTTAGTAAACAACACAAACACGCCCACAGCCCGTCTCCGCATGTGACACAGGAAGTATCTAAGTACATTTACTCATCTCTGTTCGCCTGGCTGTTGACTATATAAAAAAAACTAACGGAGTAACGCACCATGTAGTAACGGTAACTGAGTTACTGAATTAAAAAAGTAATGCGTTAGAGTACTACTTACTGACAAAAATAACGGCGTTACAGTGACGCGTTACTTTGTAACGCGTTAGTCCCAACACTGCTGGTAATTCATCGTTGCGTCATGACGTAACCGTTTGCGTGCCTGCTTCATAAAGCCAAACCGCGCGGATGAAATCAGTTGCATTCATTTCTTATGGCTCTATCTGCAGCTTTTCCGGAGTCATTTCTGTGGTTTAGTTATATTCTTATAAAAAAGTGTACTCATGTCAATAAAGTTTTTTTTAAAACACAACTGCTTCCGAGGTCGGTCTTATTTCTTAAGGTGGACTGAACCATGTGTGGAGTAACGTTGTATCTTTCATTTAAATGAACTGTAACCTTCACCCAGTTATGCAACAGCTGTTCTCAAATGAACACGTGAAGTAAAGTTTCATATTTATAGTTTTATAGATTTATAATGAGAGGTGATCAACGTGAATGCTCAGGTTCCACCTTAACACGCAGACACGTTGCTTCGCCATGAGCAGAAACCTTTATATATATACAGTCTATGGCAGAAACTCTGAAACTCTTGTTAAGTTTCTCCATCGTTGTGTACAAACCATGGTACAAACTGGATAAAACGCTGGCTTTTTGTTGTTGAGGAGTTGATCTGTCTCTGCCCCCGCCTCGACGTAAGCGTGACGTATGTGGTGCTTTTGCTCTGGCCGGACAATTTTTTGGTGCTTGAAACGAACCGGATTCCGGAGCTAAGAGGCTGCTCCGCTGCGGTGTGAAGAGGAAAACCCGGTGCTTTTCAAGCTCCAGCTCCGAACCGGCCCTGAAACACCGTTGGTGTGAATGAGGTAATTGAGGGTAAGGAAGTTTTGGCTCAGCCAGGATTTAATCTCTATTAAGCAGTCCTTCAACTGCTGTAGTGAGTTGGCATTTTGATTGAGAGGCAGATACATCTGTACATCATCAGCGTAACAATGGAAGGGGATATTATGTTTTGTGAGAATTGAACCTAGAATTGAACCTGTATATACAATAGGAAAAGGATGGGGCCCAGAATCGAGCCTTGGGGAACCCCACAGGTAAGAGGGGCTTTGGCAGAGGAGAAGGCACCTAGCTGCACTAAGAAGCTACGGTCCGTCAGGTAAGACCTAAACCATGCAAAAGCAGAGCCTGTAATACCTGCGGACTGTTCAAGCCGTGACAACAGGATACTATGATCCACAGTGTCAAAGGCAGCAGTTAAGTCTAACAGCACCAAGACAGCTGGGCTGCCTGAATCGGCGGCTAAGAGCAGATAATTAAAAACTCTTAAAAAGGGCTATGCATAGGTTTAAAGCCAGACTGAAATTTTTCGTGGATGCCATGCGTGGTTAAAAACGACTGCAGCTGGGCGTAAACTACTCGCTCCAAGGCTTTAGATAAAAAGGGTAGCTGGGAGATGGGCCTGAAATTTGCGAGAATGGAGGGATCGAGATTTTTCTTTTTAAGTAGTGGCTTAACCACGGCATGTTTGAAAGCAGCTGGGACACATCCTGAGCTAAGAGAGGTGTTTACAAGCAATAAAACACTTGCTCCAACTGATTCAAAAACATCTCTAAGGAAGCAAGAGGGAATGCTGTCTAAGATGTCGGCCGCAGGTGCTTGACTACTTCCGAGAGAGAAGAGAGGGATACAGGCTCAAAATGGTCGACGACAGCAGGGCACAGAAAGGGAGCAGGATCTGGGGTAGCACTAGTATAGGCTAGCCTTAGAGCAGATACTTTTTCGATGAAAAATTTAAAAAATGTATCGCAGAGAGTAGTTGATGGCACAATTGGAGAAACATCACAAGGATTAATGATCGAATTGAGGACATTAAAAAGAACTTGAGGTTTATGGCTGTTTTTGGAGATTAACAGAGAAATATACTCTGTTTTGGCTGCCGTCTGATAATCGGAAAGGCAAGCACGAAGAATTTCTAAGGAGACATGAAGTTTATCCTTTTTCCATTTTCTCTCTGCACGCCTACAAGCGCGTCTAAAAGCGCGAGTACAATCATTGAGCCACGGCTCTGAGAGAACTTTGTTGTGTCTAAGCGTAAAAGGAGCAACGGAATCCAGTATTAGCGTGTCGAATCAAACAAAGAGATAAGCTCATCCGCACTAAAAGCACAGTTCACCTATAATTTACAAATCGGATAAGTATTAAACTTCAAATTATATACAGTTGCAAGAAAAAGTATGTGAACCCTTTGGATTCTCCACACATAGCGTTGGGTGTTCCTTCCAAACAACTCAACTTTGGTTTCATCTGTCCACAGAATATTTTGCCAGTAGTGCTGTGGAACATCCAGGTGCTCTTTTGCAAACTTCAAACGTGCAGCAATGTTTTTTCTGGACAGCAGTGGCTTCCTCCGTGGTGTCCTCCCATCAACTCCATTCTTGTTCCGTGTTTTACGTATCGTAGATTGGTCAACAGAGATGTTAGCATGTGCCAGAGATTTCTTTAAGTCTCTAGCTGACACTCTAGGATTCTTCTTCACCTCATTGAGCATTCTGCGCTGTGCTCTTGCAGTCATCTTTACAGGACGGCCACTCCTAGGGAGAGTAGCAACGGTGCTGAACTTTCTCCATTTATAGATAATTTGTCTTACCGTGGACTGATGAACATCAAGGCTTTTAGAGATACTTTTGTAACCCTTTCCAGCTTTATGCAAGTCAACTATTCTTAATCGTAGGTCTTCTGAGAGCTCTTTTGTGCGAGGCATGGTTCACATCTGGCAATGCTTCTTAAGAATAGCAAATTCAAAACGGGTGTGTATTTTTTATAGGGCAGGGCAGCTTTAACCAGCACCTCCAATCTCGTCTCATTGATTGGACTCCAGGTTGGCTGACTCCTGACTCCAATTAGCTCTTGAAGAAGTCTTTAGCCTAGGGGTTCACATACTTTTTCCACCCTGCACTGTGAATGTTTACATGGTGTGTTCAATAAAAACATGAAAACATATAATTGTTAGTGTGGTATTAGTTTAAGCAGACTGTGTTTGTCTATTGTTGTGACTTAGATGAAGATCAGAACACATTTTATGACCAACTTATGCAGAAATCACATACTTCACATACTTTTTCTTGCAACTGTATGCATATATACCCGATTGAGAAGTGTAGCTGTGGTCAGCTCTGCTATTTGGACTAGCTTGTCAACCGCCTAAAAGCAGAATTTCCTGGTTTCTCTGTCCAATTAAAAATGTTCTGATTACATTGTGGATTGTATGCAAATGTGCAAGCTAAATGTTGGTAAAATATGCACATGGATAGTACATTTGCTAGTTAAATTAACTAGTCATTTGACCAATGGATGAATAAGTTAATTCTGCACCCTAAATGCATTGTCTATTGAGTTATCGATCAAGGACTGACATGAACACATTGACTGCTAAAAAACAATGTATCTCCATTTATGCAATGAGCTGTTATTCCCTTCCCAAAGAGCTTTCTATTTCCCATGTCTCCTTTCCTTGTGTTTTTCATCCATTACATTGATTCACAATGTTTATTTTCTATGCAAATCATCTAAAACAGAACAACTGTTTAATTATCTTTCAACCCCTCGTCAGGTTTTTGTTTGTCTCCCTGCTTTCACATAATTTAATTAGACTTTTTAAAGAGGAGTTGTTTTTGTAGAATGCCTGGTAGATGAGTAGTTTGTGGGAGATGGGCAGTTTTGTCTTCGTCATCTCTAAACGCAGTGATGTGATGTCACGCTCTGCTGATCTGTCGTCCCATTTTCTGGTTTGCTGCACAGTGTGCAGCCCTGGAGTTTGTGGAGGAGACTGCGAGCACTGCGGGTCGCCTGCCATGTTGGCTGGCCTGTAAAAAATCCTCTCTGATAATGGAGGGTGGGACAAAGCTTTGTAACTGCACTGTTACAGCAGAGAGAGTGGACTGAGATCTGAGCCACACTAAAATTAGGACAAAATCACACATGTACAAGCCATGACTAAACTAAAGATTATAACCTAATGAAGGTAGGATTTATTGCAGAGCAGTTGAATTAGACGGCATTAGTTTAAATAGGTGCACCTAATAAACTGGGATTGTTTACACATGTTTGCTAAGCGCTGACTTGAACTGCCTCATATTAGGGAGTAACTCTATCACTCTCTTAATTCCTTAATTCGTGATGGCTGTGTTTCCCTGGCAGATAAACTTCATTGAACTGGAAACTGGGGCATTGTCTGTCTGAAGTAATGTCTTGTCAAGGCAGCTGGCTGCTTGCATAATCTGAGGCCACTGCAGTTGCTTTCACTATCTGTTGTCCCAGATCACTTCAGGTGAACGTTAGTTAAATAGTGGAGCCTTCTGCTTGTTGTGCTTGTAGTTCACCTCTTTGAGGGTGGTCCCCGCCTGATTGTGTTGCTCAAATGCTCTTAGGCTCTTAGGCTTCAATACGAAATGGATATTTATTGTCTTGATGTTGGAAAAATAAAATGTTCATTGAGATTTTCTCAGCCTGCACGGCAGCAACAGGCTTTCATCAAATGTTTAAAGGGCATCGATAGTTCAGGTTAGCTACTGTATGAGATTCTTGTTGTGATATGATAGATGTGACTCAGACACGCCAAAGTATAATAAAAATACCCTCTAAGCATTTTGATTTAATTGTTATTTTTCCTTCCTGTAAAGGTGGTGGCTCAGACGGTCAGCCTGGTGGACCTGTCCTGCTACAGTCTGGAAGCAGTGCCTGAATATCTGTTTTACAGTCAGGATATCACCCACCTCAACCTAAGACACAACTTCATGAGCCTTCAGGGGCCTGGAGGCCTGCTCAACCTCCCCAGGTATTAACACATTGTTAACCTGAAGCATTTTCCACACACATTTAATACATTTCTGCAAAACAGAATCAATACTGCACGTTTCACCGCTATGCTGAAGTTGTAGTTTGTTTTTTTTAACACAGGAGGTAATACTTGTGAGTGTTGAATACAGTGATCTCAATCCGGTGAAAAATATGTGCATTTAGTATTGTCTCTGTGCACCCAGTGCTGCTGCAGGCTTTTAGTTTGTATAATTGGAAAGAAGTTCTATGCATTAAGAAAATATTCTGTACTCTGACTAGTATTGTGACGCCACCTTGGAGAACAACAGGAAGGTGGAGTTAATGTGGAAGATTTTATTGCACCTGCATGGCACCACTTCATTGATCAGCCTAGTCTCTTGGACACGTTTTACAAATGCATACACACACATCAGAATTGATGCCAGGGATGTATTTCTATTTGAAACAGCCAGCTGAGACCAAACACACTTAGTATAGACATTGTATCTGGTCACATCATAAACTGGTAATACTAAGTCACAAATGGTGTGATCTGAATGCTTTCCCTTTCTTGCCTGCCCCAGGCACTAACTGATTGTACCTAGCTGCTTTCAAATTAGTCTCAATAGGATGCTGCAAGCCAAAGGCATAAATTACAACAGAAAACTCCCACAGTGAACTCGTGGGGAATTGATCTACAGTGTTTGGTTTCCACTGTGTTCACCCTGGATTTCAGTAACTGGTGTTCAGGCTCAGCTTTTAAGTTAGTTTGCACCATAATTTTTCTTTTCATTCACATTCCTTGTCCACTGCGTTCTTCCGGTGTACAACAAATAGCTCTTCAGACAACGTAGTGCCGTGAGTAATGTGGACCACAGCAAGACCACATACAGATATGTGTGATCTCCCTGTACTTCACTGCTCTTTCTCAACATCACAGTCACCTTCTGTTACTCATTTGAAAGCAACAACAACCAAAAACTAACCTAAGTCGATCTTAGGTAAATCACGCTGTGTAATCTTCACAGCACATCTGTTTTCCGGATGTCCTGATGAATGAAGGTCCTGCTTTCTGTTCTCTCTGTTTAGGTTTTCTCAGCTGAAGAGCCTGAACTTGTCTCACAACCGTCTGGGTGTGTTCCCTGAATGTGTGTGTGAGATCCTCACCCTGACTGAACTCAACCTCTCCTGTAACAGTCTCCACATAGTCCCTGTACAGATAGGCAACCTTCAAAGGTGGGACTCACACATACATATGCTACATACAAACATAACACACTGTTTTAATGTGTTTTATTTGTTGTCCATTGTTTTATGTTTACACTTGAATGCAATATTTAGGATTTGCATAACAGTTCCCACACAATTGTTATTAACTGCATGGGGTAATTATACTACATCATAAATACATTATTTAACGTAGGGTGCTGCTCTGTCACACAAGCATGTCTTTTGAGCACTCTTTGAAGTGAACGTTGACTGTTTTCTCTACTTATCCTTGCAGCCTGCAGACGCTGTCTTTGGATGGAAACCGCCTCAGCTCCCTGCCTGAAGAGCTGGGTGGCCTGACGCAGCTGAACGGCCTGGGACTCTCCTTCAACAACTTTGCTCTCATCCCCGCTGTGCTGGAGAGGTTGAGTGCAGTGGACAAGCTGGCCATGGCTGGGAACAGAGTGGAGAGTCTGGAGTTGTGTACTCTGGCCAGAATGAGCCACCTGAAAAACATCGACCTCCGGTAAGAGGCCGGCCAGGGAATAAACAGTTCTCAGCCTCTTTACTGCCTTATAAATGTTTTTTATTTCCTCCTCTGGCATTGACAGAAGCACAAATCACAATACACTAGTCTGACCTTTAGCCTTTCCTCCTTTCTTCACCACTACTCTAAGCATTACTTATTTTTTTAATATTAAACATTTATTTTTAGATGCCAGGTTTACTGAGCACAAATGTTTATTTTCTGCACTGCCCTGCTTCACACCTGGGAGCTGCCTAGAACATCAGTCATACAGATGTGTTGCCCTCTCAGCACACAGGAAGAGCTATGAATTGTGTCTTGCTTGAGTAATGAGGGATAACAAAGCTTTACTCATTGATTTTCCGACACGTCGGAGGATCCCACTGTCCCACCCACAGCAAGGCAGCTAATAATTCAACCTTGGAAGTTAAGCTTCCGTTTGGCAATGACAGACTATATTTTTGAGTGCAAGGTACAGCGTCGTGTATGGCAGCACTCGTGAACAAAGAGGAATTGTTTATTAACAGGTTGGATGAGTCAGGGACAGTCTGGATCCCAGCGCAGGGCCTCACCGAAACTTAACTTAGATATTGTTTAACTTTTTGTTGTTAACTTTGTCGACATAGGTAATATGTTAAATATGAGTTGAAAGGTCTGACAAAAAATAAATAAAAGTTATTCCCAAGAGAAACAAAGGCAGTTTATTGTGTTTGTCTTTTAACTAACTCAAAATATGGCATAATGAAACCTGAGGGATTGATGCATTTAAAATCAGTTTTATCTACTGTTTTTAAATTCACATTGGTTGACCTTAAAGATTGCTACAATATACAGTACTATTATTTGTTCCCGCATGTCCCTCACAGTATAAGACTTTAGAAAAGTCCCATAATACCCCTTTACTCTAGTCAAAGGTGAAACTGCAGTGTCATATTCCAGACTTTAGATTTAGAGACATTTAATACTATTATACATTTCTATATTCTACAATAGTGCTGACATTTTCCCAGTGAGGTATGTTGATAATCTTTCACTGTTAACTAAACAAGCAGCTGCTAAAAACCACTCCACCAGTATTCTAACTTCAGCATGTCGACATTTCAGACTTTTTTCATTGTATTGAGAATTGTATTTGATGTTACGCTGCTTCTGTAAGAACAACCACTGATATTTCATCTTTTGTGCTCCCTAAATGCAGGTTGAATGGGCTTCTGTGGGTGAAAAGTGAGAGTCCAGAGGCAGTGAACCAGGTGACCCAGCTGGACTTACGGGACAATCGCTTGGACTCACTAGACCTGAGCTCCGTCTGCAACCTGGAGACTCTGCACTGCGAGCGCAACCAGCTGGGGACGCTCACACTCAGCGGCTCCACTCTGCGCATGCTCCATGCCGGCAGCAACCGTGAGTCAAACTGAGCATCAGCAGCCTCACTGTCTGAGTGTGCAGGCCCTTGTCCCTAGTGATACGCTCATCATATAAACACATATATGAACAGGCCAGATGTTCAGGTGCTAATTGCGGCTTCTATCTGTCCACAGACCTTACGACTGTCAACATCTATCCAGTCCCTAACCAGCTGACACACATGGACCTATCACAGTGAGTTCTGCCTGGGAATAAGAAATGGACCATGGTTTCTGTTTTACAGATATTTGAAGAGACTTTAAAAAAGAATACTCAATTTGATAATCCTGGCACAAGAAAGAAAATATTCTGTAGAATCTCTAGAGTGGAGTTAACTTGGATGGATGCCTTTCAGGCTGAATCAGTATAAAAATTGAAAATGTGAACATCCTATTTCAAATTCCCATTTATATTTTGATAAATGTTCATAACCTGCTGGATTCAGGTCGCCTGTTTCTACACAGTAAACATTGCAGTTTGTCAGGGAATAAATCATATATCTTGTGTTGTTAAACTACATGCGAGTGTAAGACACATCTGCAAAACGTCTTCTAGTCAGGCTCCAGTACTGACTTGAAAATATAGTTAGAGATAATTTGCCTGCTTAGATACCCTAAAGCAGTGGTTCTCAACTGGTCAGGCCTCGGGACCCACTTTTTCCTTTATCAATAAATCGCGACCCGAAATTTTGAACCACTCAAATCTATTCAACAAAAAATCGTGCTGTAATATATAATTAAAGTGAGGTACAGTGCAAATATCCCTTATATCTCTTCACAGAACTAAAGTATGCTTTTAAAAAAGGTATAATGAGATGATGGAATCAAAGATGAACTGTATAACATAAAAAGTCACACATGCTGAAAACCCAAACCCAGCAGGGGGGGTCTGGGGGGATTCTCCCCCAGGAGATTTTTAGAAATACTAACATATAAACTACGCATTCTGGTACACTCTGAGAAGAAAATAAATACATCTATTACTACCCGACATATTAATAATAATTTGTTTGTTTGTTGTTTGTTTTTCACTTTGTTATGACTGCTTGCTGCTCCTCACAGAGAGAAGAGCAAAGAGGAGATAGTCTGTGTGAATTACTTTAAATTGTGGGTAAGGGTAGATAGCCCCCATTGTTCTGTGACCTGTCAATCATCAAACCGGGGGTCATATTTCATTACGTGTTCATTTTTATCTGAAGTTGTACCCATGGATAAAGAATAGTTCTACCGCAAAGTTATTCTCCGTGGGCAACAATCTTGATTCTGATTGGCCAGAAGACTCGAAAAACATCAGCAAAGATGTTTTATTGAGAAGATGATCACTACGTGACAGAAGTTTTCAAGACCGTTTATGGTCTCCGGTACTTCCAGTCCAACGCCGACTGCATGCACAGCGTTAGAAAATCGGGCCTTCAAAATAAAGGTTTGACTTAAAACTTCTGCGACCCACTCGAAGGGGGGTCCGCGACCCACTTTTGGGTCGCGACCCACCAGTTGAGAACCACTGCCCTAAAGGACTTTTATTTTAGCCTTCTATTTACCTCAGTTTCAAAATGTGTACTCATTTGTATTATTTAAAGCAAAATGCCAACTCAGCTCAGTTTGAGTGTTTGTGTGTGTGTCTTTCTATGTGTGACTGTGTGTGTGTTGAGACAGGAACCTTTTGGAGTACCTTCCAGACTGGGTGTGTGACTGCAGAAAGGTTGAGATGCTGGACGTCACGCACAACCTGCTGTCGGATTTGCCTTCTAGGTTAGTGACCTTATTCTGGCACTGACTCCCAACCTTTTCTGCTAAAACATTATCTTTCATTTTGCATAATTTTAATACATTCAGCCTCTAATAATAAACAGATGCTCTTGTTTCCAGAATAAGAAGGCCACTTCTGGCTGCGTTTGCATGATGTCCTTATTTAGCATAATAGAATAGAATTGGGAGGGATGAAACCCTCTTTAACGGTCACACATGCAGAGCACTCAGTGAAATGTGTTCTCTGCTTTTAACCCATCCTAGTACCAGGAGCAGGGGCGGACTGGGACTAAAATTCAGCCCTGGAAACTGACCCAGTCCGGCCACATGAAATATCAAATGTTAGAAATTCGCTGTTTATTATTTAAAGTTTTACGTCCGATTCGCTCCTTTTTTCCTCTCTGTGCACAGCTCCAGTTTGGGCATTGGCCTGTCATCAGATTTCATTTTTAGTTGCTGCTGTAGCAGAAGTTTAGTACAATTATTTTTTGATGAAATTCTCCACCCTCCATAATTGCAATTGCTTCAGTTGCTTACTACTTTTTAAGGGTGGTGATGACAGTTACAGTACGAACTGAAGTTGATGCGATTTGATTGGATTGTGAGGCATGAGTGAGCCTCATCTGATTGGTCAATCCCTCAATTTCTTTTCAACAAGGGAAGCCAATTTTGGCTGGCCTCCTCTCGCAACAGAGAGTGCAATACTGTTTCATCATAACATCTAGAGGGGCGCTGTTTCACTCTTTGTAAAATACTCAATGAGAATGGGGGAGAGACGGGCCGGCAGAATAATTACCGAAACTAAACAAAGTGTTTTTATTTATTTATTAAAATTATAACTACAATCCAAAAAAACAGGGGAAGCCTGGCTTCCCTTGGCCTCCAGGAGAAAACGCCACTGAGTTCAAGGGATAATTCTCACCCACCTCTTGCTCTTGCTCTGCACTTGTATGTGCCAGTTGAGCTGGTTCTTCCACCAGCTCAACTCTCTGTCCCTCATCATGAACGCAGGAGGCTGGCTGCATATCTGAACTCGCGCCCTCATCATTCTCTTCATCATCTTGCACTTGTTCTAAGCTGCTGATGATAGTGCTTGTAGCAGCGCTGCTGCCAAAAAGGTCTGTCAATTTGCGACATTGATATGCTTCACCTGCGAGTGACTTCACCTTTTTCTCTCTTGCCTTCTCGGCCCCACCTTTTTCTTTTTGTTTTCTTTGATTTGTATCCATGTTTTTTCATTCTCCCTGTCTGCCACGGCGTCTAATCCCTTCGCTTCGTGTGGCCGGTCTTTTTTCTTCTTCGTGTGTGATTATTTGACAGATAAGAACCACACAACTGCATTAGCGCCCTCTGTCGGCCGTCAGTGCAATTTAAATGATGACGTTAAACTATTTTTTTTTTTTAAAGGGCCGGCCGGCCGTCAACGGACCTTGACGGCCGGCCGTTCTGTGGTTCTCCAGATTCTACAGATGGCCAGTCCGCCCCTGACCAGGAGTCTAGTACTAGGAGCAGTGGGCAGCTATTGCACAGTGCCCGGAGAGCAATGGGAGTGAGGGGGGAAGGGGGATGTCCGGTGCCTTGCTCAAGGGCACCACGGCAGGGCAGGAGGTGAACTGGGACCTCTCCAAGTAGCAGTCCACACTCCATATTTTAGGTCTGATCAGGGACTTGAACCGGCAACCCTACATCTCCCAGTCCAAGCCCCTACTGACTGAGCCACTGCCGGACATATAGATAGTAATAGATGAACCATACAAAGAATAAGGCAGAAAAAAACTGCTGATATCAGTCTCTTTATGTAAGAGAGTATCTGTGTCTTTTTAGCTGCAACTGTTAAATAGTTATTGCCCATCTTTTGCTGCCAGCCCTCAATACTCATCACTCGCATTTGCATTTGAATGAGACATCAGCAAAGCTTTTGCAAAAGAGATAATATGCCTCCATCCACTGTAGCAGCTTATGACTTCTGTGATGTTTCAGGAGGGAATAAAAAGCCAAGCTGAAAAGGTCATTGATGGATTAGTTAGCATAGAATGGCATTCCTCACAATTCCCCGCAGCAAGCAGTCGAGTCTGCAGCGGAGGGCCATGTTCTTTAGCTTGTTGCCTTTTTTTTGGTCTGTTCTTTTTTTCTCGTCTTAATCTGGCTCTCTAATGTCTCTTCTGGCCTCCAACAGACTGCTCAACAGCTTGAGTTTGAGAAAGCTGCTGGCGGGGAACAATCGTTTGCAGAGAGTGCCTGACCTACTTGACCACATCCCTCTGGAAGCCCTGGACCTCCAGCATAACAAGCTAGCCGAGCTCCCTGAGAGCCTCTTTTCCAAGGCCTTAAAGTGAGTCTGTTAACCCTCTCTTCTCTTTGAACCATTTCATTCTGTCTAGTTATAATATTACTTGTGTCCTCCCATAGCTGTTTCCTCTGCTCAAAAACAGTCTGCTGCAGTGTGTTACCTGTTTTGACGCACTTGACAGTTATTGTGTCGCAGTTCTTAATTTTGTGGATAAGGTATAGATGTTATGTAGGGATTGCGGTCAAGATCAACGGAGCATTAAAAACGTAACTGGAGCTTAATTTGCCTTCCTATTTCCTGTGTGGTAAATCACTTAACACCCATTAGCAGCTCAAATGCCTTAATGTACTTTACTGTCTCTAATGCCGAGACGTGATGGCAGTGAATGCTTCGTGCTTGATGGGTTTTACTGACATGTTGTCTAAGAGCTTACAAGGCAAGGTAGTGACACACATGATGGAAGCAATATACAGTATCTCTATAGAAACTATGTTGATGTCTTTATAAGGAACATCATTCCTATGGGCCAAAAGGCCACTGAGGAACTATGGAGCTGTGAGTTCTCTGCCAGCCTGGGGTGATTTTGTTATAAAGTGTTATTGTAGTATGCAGGAATGTTGTCCTGTATCTGTCCTTGTGACCGCGGAGCTGTATGGGCCGCAGAGATGTCATTGCACTTTAATAATGTGTGACTCGGTTTTAAAACAAGAACGTGAAATGGTTCACTCCCTCGTGCGTCAGAAGGACAGGTTTTATTACAGTAAGTGATCTGCACAGAAGGACTTAACAACATCAATTACATAAGAACCAGCGCAGCTCATATAACTGTCCCTCCTCTTGGTGCAGGTTCAACAGTATGTAAATCAAGGCTCCACTCGCAGTGATACATTAACGGTCCGGCTATAGAATTATCCTCTTCAGTACAATCAGAATAAGAATGGACATTTCAGAGAGCTCAGCCAGTTTTTAAAATGTTTATATGTAAATAGACCCAGACTGCCTTGGGGTCTATTTACATATTGAGACAAAATAGAGGGTTTCCTCCTCTGTTGCTCTCCCCAAGGTTTCTTACATTTCTCCCCATTAATTGTTGGGTTTTCTTTGGGGAGTTTTCCCTTGTGGAGTGCAGTGAGAGGGTCTCATATTCTTTATTATTGTGAAAAGAAAAATAAGTGACACAAATTTGTTCTGACAAGGGATGTTTTGCTCTTTGTAAACACTATGCAATTGGCGAATCATGGAGAGCGAAAGGGGCTCCTATTTTGTTTGTTGATGATTATTTGTATTATTTGGTACAAACTATGTATACTTCCCTGAACCCAGGACATAAATGACATGTCAATACAAAAATGTCTTGGCTCAGACCACTCAAATGTTTAGTTGATCAAGAGCACACAGTATTTGGATGCACTCATCAGCTGTAATAAAATAGGCAGGGTAGATATCTGTATTCATGTTTTCAAACTCGTATATCTGTTGTGTTTATGTGTCTTCCCTCACAGCTTAAAATACTTAAATGTGTCAGCCAATGCCCTGGACAGTATTCCTCCCAGCAGCCCATCAGAGGAGAGCCTCAGCACCCTGCAGGAGCTCTACCTGACGCGGAACAACCTGAACGAAAACTGCGGTGCTCTGCTGGTGGGACACCAGAACCTGCGGGTCCTTCACATCGCCTACAACCAGCTGCTCTCCTTCCCCGCCAGGTGCATTACCAATTTAGATTTGTTTAACCTTTGATCTGCTGATTCCCATTTTTTCAAAACGTTGTTCTTCCTGAGAACTATAATTGACAGCAAACACAAACATTCATAGAGATTTGAAATGCTGTTGTATGATAGCATTCAAACAATAGATGTATAAGTAGAATGTCTCTATAACTGCAACAAATTACACGACCCTCTCTCCCTAAAACAAATCTAAAAACAAAGTGGAATGTTAATTTCCGACTTAAAATGAACTGCAGTTGATTATCTAACATGTTTTTCTTCTTTATAGAAATACATTCAATGTATCCACTGCTTGGACTGCAAGCTTTATGTCTACTTCATTATTGCTAAAGAACTTCCACAACAACCTTCAGTGCATCTCTGCTTTGATGCCAATCAGAATAATCCATATTTTGTATTCAACTTGTTAACTGTGGATTATTTCACTGTGATTTGTGTGTGTCTTTAGTAAGCTGAGCAAGCTGGAGCTGCTGGAGGAGCTAAATCTGAGTGGCAACAAGCTGAAGACCATCCCCTCCACTGTGTCCAGCTGTAAGAGACTGCACACCCTCATCGCACACTCCAACCACATCACTGTCTTCCCAGAGATCCTCAACCTGCCTGAGATCAAGGTCAGACTCCTGTTTTTATTTGCCTGACCAGTTTGTGTATGATTATGATCAGCTTGTGTCAGCTCCTGTGTGTTTTGTACGTGTCTAGCTTGTAGATGTCAGCTGTAATGAGCTGACGGAGATCCAGCTGCCCGACTCGCTGCCTGCCACTCTGCAGGAGCTGGACCTGACAGGAAACAGCAGCCTGATGCTGGAACACAAGACCCTCAACCTGTTCAGGTGAGTCATAAACCCCTGATTAGTCTGAAATGGTTCAATACAAGTATCAGATTCTGGAGCTGTCTGGACTCAAACTGGAGGAATATGACAGCATGCATGTGTGAAATATATATCTCTTTGAGTACATTTCTTCCCCTTCATAGTCACATCACCACCCTGAAATTAGACCAGAAATCCACCACAACAGCAGCAGACTCGCAGAGTACCTCCACTCCATGGAACCACGGCTTCTCTGAAATGAGTGGCCAAAGAAACAAGTGAGTACCGCTTCGTTTTTCTGTGTGTTTGTAAATATAGATAACCAAAATGTCCTCAACTGCTGACAGTATCTATCCAAAGCCTCATTTACAAATAAATTAAATTGCTGCATGAGTAGTTATAATAAAAAAAAAAATTGTATTATCATTCAGTATCTTTTAGTTTAAATAAAGTAGCCAGCTTTACTTGGTGTCCTCGGCTGTAAAGTATTTAATCGTTTTTTTTAATCTGATTTTGTAGCATTAGATATAATGTTGTAATATCTGTGTGTATGCACATGACTCACTAGTAAACGGGTGTCTCCCAGTGAGTCATAATCTGAATCGTTGTCTCACACCTAGCACTGACATCAGGGCAGAGTAGCTGGTTCAGCAGAGCCTGAGTTCAGTTCATTTACCTAACTCTGTAAAATGCATCAGTGTGTAGAGTCAGGTGTGCCTGGCTCCGGGCTCACGGCCACCACAGGGGCCCCCACAGCAGTGTCTCTTATCGGCTGTCACCCCTTGACACAGAGCTGCGGTGTGGCATGCTGAAGTATGTATGAGGCTTCCCTCTGTATGGGAGGTGCTGAGTCATCTGTTTGTTGACGTGGATCTTCTGTGTGGGGCAGGCTGTGTGTGTCTGTGCTGGCTGTAGACCGCTTTGGAGACGGTGTGGAAGCGTGCTACGGCATCTTTGACGGAGACCGCAATGAGGAAGTGCCTCGGCTGCTGCAGTGCACCATGGGAGATGTGCTGTGCGAGGAACTGCAGCACTCAATTATAGACAATGTGTATATGTGCAACACTTTCATCACCTCACACAGGTAAAACAGATTATTTAATGTCATTATTCTCTATTAATGTAAATTAACAGATAGAGAGAGAGATATTTGCACTACTACTGATTTGTTTGTAGTCTTCAACAGAGTTTTATCAACAGCTTTGTTTGTTTTTGTATTGGACAGGAAACTAGGAATGGCTGGCCAGAAACTGGGTGCCTCTGCGTTGCTGTGTTACATTCACCACGAGCCTTCAGATCCAGGGGGCCACTTCAGCCTCACCGTGGCCAATGTGGGCTCCTGCCAGGCCGTGCTGTGCCGGGACGGCCGGCCTGTTCCTCTCTCTAAGGTTTACAGTCTGGAGAACTGCACGGAGGAGATGGAGAGAGTCAAACTCAGTAAAGCCATTATAACCGAGGTAACGCACAGATTCTAAGTATGTTGGTTTCTGCTTTCAAGCTAAAGCCATAATGTAGAACGTATTATCTAGTGTTAACGTGCATCAGGCATGGCACTTTATGGAAATTGTATGTAAGAGTTATAGTGGCCAAAATTATCGCGATTCACACCATCATCCCAATAATCATCAAATTTTGCTTAAAACGTTTGAAATCTCACTAAAACATACTTGACCATAGTATGTATATATATTATAAAACAGGATAAATGAATAAAATAATTCGGAACATTTATTCATTCTCTTTTTTCTTACCTTATTATTTTTGTTTATTTTAATCATGCTCTATTTTTAACTTATACCATTTAAGCGAGCTAGACAGCCTTTTAAGTAACTGCAAGGACATTCATGTGAGTAATTGTAATTCATTCCATAGATCTTTAATAAAAACCTTTATCGTCTCATCCCCCATATTCAGAGTTTTATATTTCTGGAAGCTATACACTCAAATCCAACTCTAACGGCCCTTCTGTCTTATAGGATAACAAAGTGAGTGGAGTGACATGCTGCTCTCGGCTGCTGGGCTGCTCTTACCTGTCTCCCTGGGTGGTCCCAAAGCCCTGGGTGCACACTGAGCCTCTCTGTTCCCGGGATGAGTTCTTGATCCTGGGGAATCGAGCGCTGTTTGAGCGAGTGTCCTACCAGGAGGCTGTGTGCACGGTACAGGCTGTGCGGGATCCTCGCGCTGCTGCCAAGAAGCTGTGCTCACTCGCTCAGAGCTATGGCTGCAAAGACAACATCGGGGCTGCAGTAATATCCCTGCACATCAGTCAGGACAACTGCACCTGTGAGCCACCCGTTTTGACTGCTGAAGCACGGGGCCCCCCTCCCGCCTCTGTGCCTGTGACCGTGACCCCAGGTCCCACTGACCCAGCCACTATTTCCTCCAGCAGCGGTCTGATTTCAGAGTTCAACAGTGAGACATCAGCCTCAGAGGTGGGCAGCGAGGCGGGGTCCACAGCTTCAGACGAGCACCCGCCCCCTGGCCCTGCACCCCGCCCAGAGAGACGCTGCAGCCTGCACCCTGCCACCACCCTGTGTGGGATCATGGTGCCAGGCTCCGTCGGGGCGGGGGCCCACCTGTTCCAGAGGCAACCCTCCTGTGCCACGTTCTCTAGCAACCACTCCGACAACGGCTTGGACAGCGATGACGAAGCTCCGCTGGAGGGTGTCATCTCTAATGGCAGCAAGCTGGAGGTGGAGGTAGACATTCACTGCTGTGCTTTCCAACTACGCTCCAAAGACTTCGACCTTGAAAAGCAGAGCTCTGACTATCCTAACGGTAAAACGCGCAGACAGAACAGCGTCGTGGTTTCTGCTACAAACGGCTGCCTGCTGGCAGTGTGTGGGAGAGAGATCGCAGACCTCAAAAAGTCTCCTTCTACCTCCAGCCTGTTTGGGAAGAAGCTGTCCAATGGCTCTGTGGTGGCCCCTGAGGACAGTCATAATCTCATTGAGGTGGCCCTTGAGGCTCCGAAGAAGAAATCTGGCTACTTCACTGCGCCGGCACAGCAGGACCCCGAGGATCAGCTCATCGTGCCTCCCAGTCTGGAGCAGGAAGTCAGAGAGCAGCTGAGAGGCCAGAGCCCCCTGGTCTCAGCCTCCCCCTTACCCTCCATACCTCCTTCCTTAAAAGACCCCGTGTGGGATCATCCACACCCCCCTGCATTTGCCTCCAACCTGGTCCCAGGTCCAGGCCCAGTCTCCATCCTACAGCAGGAAGTCTACGATACCGCCCTCTAGAGGGGGGGGGGGGGGGACAGCACAGCGCCATGTGGCTGGGGTAATGTGATAGTGCCATTCCAGTGAAGAAGAGGAGATCTTTCTCATACGTGGGAGACATTCCAATTCAAGTTGCCATTCAGATCTTTTGTGAGGACAAAACTGTGGGGTCAAGTGCTCAGTCTGAGTCAAGAAATAGGGATGACCAAAATCCAAGTTCATAACATGACGTTGTGAAGAGGATGGCTGGCTATCATCGACCAAAAGACTTAAGATGGAAAACCTCATGTTCAAATATGTCAGCAACATTTCCCTTTACTCGGAAAGCAAGCAATCTAGAGAGTGTGTATGGGAGATTGTGTTCAGTGAGGTCAAATCTCCTCTCCATGGGCTTGTGGTCTCTCATGTCCTGGAGAGAAGCCCTGAGACTGAAACTTGAAAAAAGTGCCTACTGCAGAATACACACCTCCAGGCTGTGTTTGGGGATGTTTGCTACTTTTTGGAGGAGGGACAGAGTCTCCAAGAGACCAGCATGGCACCGCGTCTGCTCTCCTCCTCTTCCTGTGGCTTACAGAGGAAACCAGACCCTATAAATGCTTATAAGGCACATAAGTCTAGAAGATGTGAAGACAAAATATCTGCATTTACATTGCCAGAAGCGCTATGGTTGGGATTTATTTTGAACATTCCCACACGATATACATGTAATAGTTTCAAATAGGATGAATCAATTCTATAGAGTACAGCAAACCCTTACAACAGTATCATCTGTGACAGTGCATGATCAAATGCTCTCCTTAAAAAACGACACGGACAAATACAAGTTTCATTTCAATTGAGTCAGATGATGATAGTCACTGGATAGTCGAAAATCTCATGAAGTGATTGAGAGAATCAGTCTTTTTATCCCCAATTAAATATGGGTAATCAGTGGTTCTAAGATTGTATGTTTTAGTGTATCCAAACTTTGGAGGCTGCTACCCTTTTTAAATGTGTAAACATCCATCCCCGCAGGTTCAGTTATTGACATGTTCTACATCTCAGCAAATGTTTTTTCAGCGTTGCTCTCTAATACACTGCCAACACATCCAAATGACCTTCAGGATGTGTTATTTTAGCACATTGTAAACACAACCGAATCCCTATCTTCTTTTAGTCTGTACAATCCGCTCTGCGTACACATGATGTCACAAAGTCTCAACCACAGCCCTACAATTACGTGCAGAGATATGGGACATAGAAACATGTTGTATGTGCTGCAGTCAGATATAGTTATCTTTTCCACATATTGCTACATGCCATATTCTGATCTGCTTCTGGAGAGTTCAGATGACACAGTTTATATAAAAATGATTATCAGTGCAGCAGCAGTATAAGATAACTGGTCCAGTCCCTTACTATAAGTCTGTAATGCATTTTCCCCCATTCAATCACATAGTGCTTCAGCAGCAGGCTTCATGATATTTGTAGAAGCAGCCCTACTTAATTCAGCTGAAAGTAAAAAAACGACATTCCTATTATTATTTGAGTTATCAAGTATATATTACGGAGCCCTGGAAACCTCAGTTTGTCCCTGAACCTTCCCACCTTGTGCCAAAAGAGAAAGTAGTTGTGGTGATGAGAAGGCCAAAGTTGGGTGACTGCTCATGTCGAGAATTTCTAAACTATAAGTGTATAAATATATAAGTTTATGTTTTGGTTGCCAGTCCGAATCTGTAGTGGTGCAGATCTGGCATTCCACAGCCATAGCTGGACCTTCCTGTGTTCCTTTCAGCCTTAAAGTAAACACTGTGTGTTTTTGAGAGGAGAAGCCCTTTGTTTCATCCCACTCATGTTCTGTTTGTGACTGGGGTCTTCAGCTGTTGTTTTTTAAAGCAGCCCCTCTCTCCTTTCTTTGCTCTACAGGAATAAGTCAGTGATGAAGCCTTAATTGATCTGTGAGTTTGAAACTTTTCTTGAAATTTGCCAGTTTTTGTCTCACATGGTTTAAAGCACTTTGTACAGAAAATAGTGATCTTCAGCGTTATGTATATTTGAGTTTAATATATATATATATATGTATATATATATATATATATATATATATATATATATATATATATATATATATATATGAGATATTGTTCAACATAGTGTGCTGGGATTATTGTGGCTTCCCTCAGTCCAACATATCACCTCTTGTCTAAGAATACACAGCCAACAGAAATGATGATAGCGTAAAGTGACAAAATGACATTTCATTTACAACACTCACACTTTGGTGCGTTTCAATATCATAAGCATTTCTTATTTTATTATTAATTGTTTTGCTTTCCATTTCATTTAAATGTCAAAGATTGATATTTATATATTCAACAACATGACTACAAACTGTGCTGTGTGATCCTACTTATCTTAAAGTATATGCCAACATTACTCATACTGAAACATTAATTATTGGGCCCCTCTCCCGGCAGTAAATGAGCAAAAAAGCAGATATTGTTTATTATATATTCGATATTGATATTTGGATGACTAATTAATTCCTTAACCTCTAGCATACATGACATTTTTGTATTCAAAACTCGTCCATTATAATAACATGAAACAATGAAAACATTAGTCTAAAATAATAAGTACGGTAACCACAGCAAATAGCTGGTGTTATTATTACCATGCTTATTTATTGTAATTAAGAAAGGGAAAACATATTTTATGATGGGACTAATACTTTATTTTCAGTCACTTCATCGGTCTCCGGTCTGATGGCAGTGAAACACAGACAGACGCTGCAGGGGAACCTGCCACAGGAGGAACTATAAAAGATATAAAACAGATTAGGATTGTGAATAATATTGGTCCGCATCTAAAACCAGTTGGTAGACTAAACTTAAGATAGTTTGATGAGGAGAGATTTAACTTTAATAAGGTTTAAAACAAAATTGTGGGAAGTTGCTCCTACAAATATGCAAAGTGTCAACTGTAAATATATATATATATATATATATATATATATATATATAAATGCTTCATTTTCATTTCCTAAATCTACAAGATCATATTTCTTAATATGTCTAAAAATGAATAATGACTGATGTATGTGATGAGTGTCATTTGGGATTGTGTGTGTAGGTTGCGTTGATCTTTTCTTATATTTTGAGTCTGTCCCTCCTTTGGCTCTGTGCAGTGTTGTTCTATTACTTTGGACTGCATTGCACTGATCTCCATTTTCACCTTGGAGAGGTTTTTGTAGTCCAGTTTTTGGGTCCAGTAGTGAAATAATCCCCTTTGTGCGCCAAAATAAAGGGTATGTGTGTTTCAGTAGGCTACAGTGTCTGTGTTATTCTTATTTCTGAACTGTAAAGGATTATTTCTTCACTGCACAACTTATCAAGCTCCCTGTGTGTTGCGAAATGTCTGTGTCTGTTTGTAAAATGAAGCTCAAGTGCACATGTTCAGTAAGTGTATGCATGCCTGTGTGAATAACGGATTGACTGTAATTCTGTTTGGGTGAATGAAACTGAACCAAAATGCTCCAGTTGTTAACCATGTGACCAAAGTAGCCATTGTTTAATCTCACAGTTCCTTTCTGTGCATTATTTTCTAGAAATGCTTGAATATTTTTTTCTCAATGCCAAGAAGCTGATGTTTATTTTTGTACTTCCTTGTTTCATGCAAATGTAAGTTCCCTCTCCGTTATTGGGATTATACAGAAAACTATCACTCTTTATGGTACTTTATTTAGAGGTACTAATTAAATTCTGATTAAATATTAAAAAGCATTCCCTAAATAGGAATCACATACAGTACCTACATACAAAAGGTGATTTCATTGTAAACAGCGGAGCATATCTAATATTTTGAGGATTTTATTTTAGCATGCAGATCATTGCTAAAATTAAGTTTTATGTTGGGATATAGGAAATAGGAAATATGTATTATTTAGGAACAGGACTAACAATGAGCACTTTAGCTGTGTATCAGACAGAGCTGTACTCCCCCTGAACTTTGAGACTGGAAGATGTTCCTCATTTTTATTTCAAATGCTGCTATCATTAGTTTTGAGCAAATAAGCGTTTTTTTTTTAATTAACTTTAAGCCAAGTAGCAATAAAAACTTTTTACTGTGAACTTTTCTGTCTAGTGTCGGTTTGCTCACATTTTGTCATGATTTCATGCCAATAAATATCGAAATGACCGTTTTTGGTCAGCATCAGATAATGTCTACAGTTTCATTTTGTCCGAATGTTACAGAAGGGCATTGATATATTAATCTTGATAAGTATGAACCAATTAAATTAACTTAGGGTTAATGCACTGAGGGAGTACTTATCAGGGAAATGAATCAGAAAGAGAGAGAGCAGATTCTTGTGTTGAAGTCTAAACTACAGTTGCAAGAAAAAGTATGTGAACCCTTTGGATTCTCCACACATAGCGTTGGGTGTTCCTTCCAAACAACTCAACTTTGGTTTCATCTGTCCACAGAATATTTTGCCAGTAGTGCTGTGGAACATCCAGGTGCTCTTTTGCAAACTTCAAACGTGCAGCAATGTTTTTTCTGGACAGCAGTGGCTTCCTCCGTGGTGTCCTCCCATCAACTCCATTCTTGTTCCGTGTTTTACGTATCGTAGATTCGTCAACAGAGATGTTAGCATGTGCCAGAGATTTCTTTAAGTCTCTAGCTGACACTCTAGGATTCTTCTTCACCTCATTGAGCATTCTGCGCTGTGCTCTTGCAGTCATCTTTACAGGACGGCCACTCCTAGGGAGAGTAGCAACAGTGCTGAACCTTCTCCATTTATAGACAATTTGTCTTACCGTGGACTGATGAACATCAAGGCTTTTAGAGATACTTTTGTAACCCTTTCCAGCTTTATGCAAGTCAACAATTCTTAATCGTAGGTCTTCTGAGAGCTCTTTTGTGCGAGGCATGGTTCACATCTGGCAATGCTTCTTAAGAATAGCTAATTCAAAACTGGTGTGTATTTTTTATAGGGCAGGGCAGCTTTAACCAACACCTCCAATCTCGTCTCATTGATTGGACTCCAGGTTGGCTGACTCCTGACTCCAATTAGCTCTTGAAGAAGTCTTTAGCCTTCACCCTGCACTGTGAATGTTTACATGTTGTGTTCAATAAAAACATGAAAACATATAATTGTTTGTGTGGTATTAGTTTAAGCAGACTGTGTTTGTCTATTGTTGTGACTTAGATGAAGATCAGAACACATTTTATGACCAACTTATGCAGAAATCCAGGTAATTCCAAAGGGTTCACATACTTTTTCTTGCAACTGTACATTCCCAAACACTTTAGATCTGCCATCTCTTGGTGGAGCTCAGAATGACACCTGGTACTTTCAAATAATGGTTGATACATTACAAGGAAAGACAATCTAACCTGAGCAACAAGTCCTAGTATCAATTGTTTTTCTTGTTGGCAGGGTCTTTGGGGAGGAACAAATTCAGACACTTTGCATCTTCAAAGTAGAGTCCATAGAGGACCAATTAGATCACTTATTCATATAAAATTATGTGAATATATTTGGACTATAGTCAAATGTTCAAAGCAGAGAAAGCTTTGCAGCACTGGATATTTTCCTTTCAAGAGACATTTGGTGAAGGCCTTTGGTTTTGTAAAATAGTCAATTCAGACTATAACAGGCTTTTGATCACGCTCCAGTATTTATTATCAACAGACTTGGCTTCACTTTGACAGTGCAGATATCTGAGGGGTGCACATCATTTCGATCTGGAAGACAATTTTAACAATAACATACTATGTAGGTGTGTGAAATGGACTGTTCCTGGGTAACATATTAGATAATTACTCTTAAAGTAACTGGCAACACCTGATATTCCTTGTTGTAAGTTGATGTCTGTCTGCTCCATAACTGAACCTGACTGAGGCGTATCTCTTCTTTTGCCCTTTAATTTGCAGATATGCAGAAAATGAATGAGAAATGAGTAATACAAATGCACAGTTTGAATGGTTTATTATAGAAAATGTAACATAAACAATACACATGTAAACTGGAAATTGCTAGGATTAAGAAAGTATTCTACAAAATCAAATAAATACTCCTGTAAGATATAAAAAGTGGATAAAAAAGCTGACTCACACATTAACACCTAATATGACAAAGCTCTTGTCACAGGGATTTTCTAATCAATCCCACTTTTGTTCAAATACGGCAAGAAGAATAGTTTTATAGATTATTGTCCTCATTTGTCCTCTGCTTCTTCAGCTCCCTCACTGCCCTGAACGCCTTGACAGCTAACACTGCACCGAAGATGAAAACAAACACCCCGAACACAGCAAAGAGACCTCCTGCAATATCTGCACCGTGGAACTGGCACTCGAATCCCTTGTGGCCTTTGCTCTTGTACATCTGCTCTCTCTCCGTGCAGATGGGGTCGTTGTAGGTCTGCTGCAGCTTAATAAAGTAGAAGGCCAGCGCGGGGATGTAGCCCAGGCCGATCAGGACGTTCAGCAGAGCCTCGCCCAGTAGCACAGGGGGGAAGCGGTAACTGATCCTGAAAATCCCCAGGCTGAGCATGACACAGGCGTAGAACATTATAACCCCCCCGCAGGCCATGGTGAAGACATACGGAGGTTTCTTCAGCTGATGGAAGAGCACGTCCAGCTCCTTCACTCGGTCTGCATCGGCTCCAGTGAACGCGTTGGCTCCACCAAAGTGATAATAGTAGATTCCTCCCAGGCTGGCCAGGTCCCTGTAGCCCCCGTTGTTGCTGTACGGCACCCCCGCACAGATGACGAGAAGCAGATTCACAAACACCTCCATGAGCTGGCAGATACCTGGGAGCAACACAATATATATGTATGTCTTTATTAGGATCCCCATTAGCACTAGCATGAGCATATTCTTCCTGGGGTCCTCACACACACAAAACATACATAAACATACATACAACAAAATTAAAACAGTTCATAATTTCATACAATTTACAGTGCTGTATGAATTGAAAACTAAAATGGTCATCCAATTATCGCCATCCTAAGGCCAAACAAAAGTAAATACAAATAAGTGTACATAATAATATATGCAGGGCTGCACATAACTGGTGCGCAGGTGCGCATGCGCACCTCCGCCAAAAAAAGAGCACCGGGTCATTTGAAACAAAGCGCATTTGCGTACCAACATTGAGAGGGAGAGAGAGAAGAGAAAAGAGAAAATAGAGGAGAGAGGAGAGATGAGAGAGAGAGAAGAGAGAGAGAGAGAGAAAGATATTTGCGAGTTGTATGAACCATGATATGAACTCAGGCCGGCCCGTAGCGCTGGCTAGATGTTCGCCTAGGGCGCCAGATCTGGGGAGGTGCTGCGCTGGCAGTTCTGGGAGGGAAAAAAACATTTTGACCGTTGGGGCTCATCCTAATTTTCGGCCTTGATGTAACAATATTCACAATTAAGTAAATGTAACACCCTTTTCACCCCGGTTCCACCTTTCATTCGCCCTGTACGATGGGCGCTGTAAGTGATGAAAATGGGGGATGTTGGCTTATCTGGCGCCCGCAGCTCACAGACAAAATGCAAGTGAGCGAGGGAGGGTGGTACCAGCGCTGTTGTTATTATAATCTGGTGCCGTGCTAGCTGCTCTAACGGAGATAAGAAGAAGATGTTTCTACAATAATGTGGAGGGAGAGTCCTCTCCAGTCAGACTGAGAGGCTGATAAGTTAACTACAGCTCAGTGAGGTAAAGGACTCTTAGTCTAAATTCAAACGGTTTGGTCACAATTTATGTAAACACATATTTCCAAGGCACTCCTTTGTAATTATTGGGATAAACAGGTTTTAAATCATTCCAATGTATACTATAGGACAGTAACCAAAAATATCCTTTAAAACTGGAGAGATAAAAAAAAAATGCATAAATAAATTAATGTTAAGGTAAAATAAGATATGAATGAACAACACAAATAAAATAAGTTACATTAATTTGTTATTGGCTATGGTAGGTTATTGGTTATGTTCACATACTTATTTGATTACATCCACTTTTCTAAGATGACAACAGAGACTTTCGACCCAAACCCAGCTGTTGACTTGTGGATGCAAGCATCTAATAGCAGACTCAACCAGAGAGAAAGAAGTAGGCCTACATCATCAGCTACCATGTCTGACAGAGAGGAAGACAGTGAGGAGAACAGTCAGGAGAACAGTGATGACAGCTTGTAGGATTACTGGTCGTGCTAATGTTGTCTTGTGTTCACCTCTGCATGTGTGTTCTGTGTTCACCTCTGTGTGTTCTGTGCCTAGTGTCTGGCAAATAAAGTCAAGACCCCCTCAAAAGTTACGGTTTATTTCATTTTAAGGATGAGCACCAAGCAACATCTCCAGGTGCTCCTTTGAGAACCAGGGCAAAACAGTTATGTGCACCCCTGAATATATGCATACATAGCCACAGGCACAGTTCAAATTTACTTTATAATACTTAAATAATTATTTTGCAACCTTTTGAAATGTACTTGAGAATGTTCCTGAATGATATGGACGGGTAAAGAGTTCCAGCTGACCATGGCTCTGTACATGACTGTTTTCTGTCCCATATTTGATTTAGATTTGGGTAATACAAACCTTCCTTCTATTGTATGTCGTGTTTGATAGTTATGTTGAGCATACTGCGCTATAAACCTTTGTGATAATATATGTGGTGAGAATTTAACAAAATATAAGTTGACCTCTGTCTGACATTTAACAATTTCAGTGTCTCCAGCATTTCAGTTACTCTGGTTCTGTGGGAGCACTGCAGTGCACATCGTGCTGCCTTATTTTGTGCTTGTAGTTTGTTTAAATCTTTTTCTGCAGCACTAGAATATAACCAAACAATAATCAAGCTGTGACAGAACCAAAGCATCCAGAACTTGTCTACTGACATCTTTTGGCAAATATTTGTACAAGTGACACACCCCTCTCTATTTTACATACAACATTATCAATTTGTTTAGACCAAGATAATTTATGATCCAGGGTTATATTGGGTCTCCTTGACCTGTTCAATTTTAAATGTAGTTGCAATTTTGGTTCACCTTTTAATTGATGATTTGATCCTATTAATAAAGATTTAGTTTTTCGAGCATTAACTTATTATTTATGACCCACTCTGATATCAGTAGTAGATATTTATTCATAACATTTGTGAACTCTCTTATAGTCGATGCTGCATAATATATTGTTGAGTCATCTATACATTACAATTTT